TTAAATTTAAAAATCAAGAAACGGGGCTGAGACGGCCCGAAGGGCCTTCAAGCCCCTTAAATTTAAAAATCAAGAAACGGGGCTGAGACGGCCCGAAGGGCCGTCAAGCCCTTAAATTTAAAATCAAGAAACGGGGCTGAGACGGCCCGAAGGGCCGTCAAGCCCTTAAATTTAAAAATCAAGAAACGGGGCTGAGACGGCCCGAAGGGCCGTCAAGCCCTTAAATTTAAAAATCAAGAAACGGGGCTGAGACGGCCCGAAGGGCCGTCAAGCCCTTAAATTTAAAAATCAAGAAACGGGGCTGAGACGGCCCGAAGGGCCGTCAAGCCCTTAAATTTAAAAATCAAGAAACGGGGCTGAGACGGCCCGAAGGGCCTTCAAGCCCCTTAAATTTAAAAATCAAGAAACGGGGCTGAGACGGCCCGAAGGGCCGTCAAGCCCCTTAAATTTAAAAATCAAGAAACGGGGCTGAGACGGCCCGAAGGGCCGTCAAGCCCCTTAAATTTAAAAATCAAGAAACGGGGCTGAGACGGCCCGAAGGGCCGTCAAGCCCTTAAATTTAAAAATCAAGCTTATTTTTCATCAAGCTTAATTCGCTAATTTTTAATTTTTGAATTTTTAAAGAAAAATTTAATTTCATTTCTTTAAATATTAAATTATCTATTGTTACTTATTTCTCAAAAAACTTAATTTTTATTAGAATATAAATTTAATGAAAATTGAATTTTTCTGGTTGCGTCGTTGCGCTGCGACCAACCTACGACTTCCAAATATGGAAAGTGACTCACCGCGCGCCCTGCGCAGCGCAAGAAGGCAGAATTTTGATCTTCTTTTCTAAAAATGAGCATGTTGCAGACGGTGTTCAAACTTTTTCTTGAAGATTTAAATTAAAATAGCTATGTTTAAATGTACTAGTATAGTTAATTCTTTTGAAATTTTAATGCAACAGTATTTTTCAGCATATTAATGCGATTATTTCATCAACCCTTTTTGTATTTTTCATAAATTTATGTTTTTAGAATCCTTAAAGGCATATAAATAACCCCTGAAACTTTCAAAGGATTTGCTTTTGAAACAAAAAAGTTAGAATTTTTGTGTACGGACCCTATCTATTGCATCCTCCAATCAAATAAATCTTCTCATTCAAAACAGCCGCCGAAGCGTTGCAAGACGCCTCTTTTACCAGAAAGATTGAAATCAAGGAAGACAAGTCTCTTTTACCTGGTAAGCTGGGGCAAATTTTATATTCACCTTTGATTTTCCCAAGCGTAAAACTCATACTTCTATTTCTCTTCTATTTTATTTTGTAGAAATTTGAAAATGAAATGGAAGGGATCAATATCGAATCGCGAGTGGTCAGCAGAGCAAGTGATTATTTATTCATTTTTGACAGAAGACGCAGCACAGCAAAATTGTTGGAAATTGGAAGGAAAAAATGGAAAGAATGCTGAAAGATTTGATAATTTTTAATTTTTGGGCTTCTTCTCCTTTGGTTCGGCACTGTCTTCTTTGCTATCAGAATCAGAAGAAAAATATTTAGGAGTAAGAGTGATAGAATAGGCTTGAGGAAGAAGATACCACTCGTTAGAATACATGTTATTGCATCGCTCGTTTGCTACATGAAAAAATTCGCCATTCGGACCGTGGTAGACATAGTCGCCGAAAGATCGCATACACTCCTTCATCATTTTGTAGTCAGCGTAATAACGGTTTTGAACAAAGATCCGAAGTTGAGGAGGAAAATGAGAATGGACAGTGTTTTGAAGAACGTACTGATCGCCTTCGATGCGATCAAGAGTCATTTGGTGGAAGATTACGTCGCCATCCGAAATGAAAAAGGCACCGGTCACGGTGAGTGGACGGTCAAATTTGTAGTTATTGTGAAGAAGAACTTAACATGAGTTATTGTACTGAAAAATATTTGAACATTATATTGACAATATACCCTTTTGATAATTAAAGAGAGCGGACTCCACGGTTCCATCATATTCATCAATATCATAATAATGCTCGAATAAGATATCACAACCACTTTTATTCAAATATGTTTTCAATTTCAACCTTTTCAAAAGAATCTCAACTTCATTTTCTTGATATTGTTGTTCTTCTTTATTTGGATTAAGATTCAGCCCGGCCAAGCTCCGAGGATAAATAACCATTGTTAGAATAATCAAGATTTCTTCGAGATTTAGCAAGGATTTGTCCTTTATTTCATTCTCTATCGCCCATTTCAGAAGAATAGAAATCGAAATTGGTACGCAGAGGTTCGTGTCTTTTGGTCAAGGCTGTTTTTGGTCAAGCTTTCGAAGTCACAATTAATTTGCCTTGTCAAGGATTGTTTCATTATTGCCATTGCAAAGGACTTCGTTATATTTGGATCGTCAATACCGAAATTCTGCATATTGTTCTTTAGCGAAATTACCCTCAATATTTTTTGTATATTTTCGATTTCTGGAACTTGAGATGACAGCCATTCGGCACCATATGACTTATGATTTTTATGATAGGTTTATATTTAAAGGGATTACTGTAAAATTGAGATTTTCGAAGAGGTGGGTTGACGTTTCGCTCTCTAGCGCCAAAATGGGTTGACGAAAAAAATTAAAAAAATGTTGTTAGATCTAAGTTTGTTCTATCTTCAGCCGAAGAGAGAATTTGAAAATCTAAGCTCTCCTGGCTTTGAGCGCCGGTCTAGAATCGGCTATTTTCGAAAAACCTAGTTCTACCCCCTTAATCGAGCTCTCAAATTTGAGTCACATTTCTCCATAAGAGTGATCCATCCAATGCAATCTTCTTTTATCTCGTCGTGACTCGCGAAGATTTCGATGTTTGCATAATTTTTAATAACGTTTGGATGATAGGGAATAGTATTATCATAATCATGCCTGGTCGCAATATGGTAGTCTAAAATAAAATGAATATTTTCGCAAGAATTAAGAATGACCTTCTGACAAGTTGATCTCAAACTCAATATCTTCAATCTTTTCCGTGAAAAGATACGGATCAAAACCTGAACGCGAGCTGCTACGGCTAGTTCACCGAATTTGACAGTTAATACAATAGCTTCACCACCAGTGTGAATATCATTTTCTTCAAATAAATGGTAAAATGAAAAAGGGTCGATTGTCCACTCGCCATTTTCTTCTTTTAATTCTGATCGTCTGATTTTTCTCCCATTCAGACTTGAATTGCTTTCAAGTATTTCTCTTTGCAATAACGTTACTGTCAATTCTTCGGACCAGTCTTCATCACCAGCATTAAAGTAATAAAGGCGTAGTTTTCCATTCTCAAAGATAACTTCCGACCACAAAGACCTTCTATGATGGTTGTCTCTTCGAACAGTTCTGGATCCCGAATCATTCGGGGATTTCCTGAACCATTCGGGATTTTCCCGAACTATTCGGGATATGCCCGAACCATTCCGGATTCTCCGAATGATTAGGGAGTGTAAGGAACTTTCATCTAACGGAAGGTAATTATTCGAATTAACAGAAATTGTCAGAAGTTCAAATTCCTATGATTTATAGAGTCAACGAGCTTGAATGCGCTTCGCGCCTGTCTTGTAGAAAATTTTACGGGTGATTTACCCATTCTTTGTAAAAAATATATTCTTGGCTATGGAGCATCGATTGATTTCCAAACGGATCACTACTAAGTTGTTCTATACTTTTTATTTTATTTTACGGACAACAAACATCGAAAAAAATTCCGAATCGTTCGAAGACTAAAACCCCATTTTCTCTTCCAATGATTCGGGAAATCCCGAATCATTCGGGATCCCGAACTGTTCGAAGTTTCAACCTTCTATGATCATAATCAAATTCTATTCTGTCAACGGACAAAATGAGTCTGTCCAAATCAGTTCGGCTTGTTGTTCTCTTCAATTTCTTTACAAAGCTTTTCAACCAGATTCTCACATTTTCTCTCGTCAGTTCTTTCGGATGTGATGTTATTTTCATAACCAAAATTATAAAACTCAATTATCCTCGTTTTTTCTTTTAATATTGGTGATTTGTCGATTCTAAAAGTAGTTGTGAGTAAATAATAAAACATGCTCTACAAAAGAATCGAAAAATCGGGCTCGACACAATTTTTGGAGTTAAGAAGATTTGGAGTAAGCTAAAAGGAGCAACTTTATTTTCCGGAAATACTCCAAATTGGAGCAAAATTTCAAAGTCGATTATAATGGTGTTAAGGGCCTCCCGGCCCTTTCAAAACCCGGCGAAAACGCGCCTCGGGGCCCGGGCTTTCTTTTGAGCTATTCAGATACCCTTTAACATTTCTGCAACACCCTTAAAATCGGCTTTGAAATTTTGCTCCGATTTGGAGTATTTCCGGAAAATAAAGTTGCTCCTTTTAGCTTACTCCAAATCTTCTTAACTCCTGAAATTGACCATAGCCGAAAAATCGTCATTTTTTCTAACGCAAATAAAAACTCAATAATCTGTTTAATTAGGCTGCTCCTATTTTCAGGAGTTTGAAAAATTTGGATTAAAATTTTTGTAGTCAATTTTCATTTTAATTTCAAAAGTGGAGATTTTTCTGGAACTGTTTCTCAAAAATTTCATCGATTCCATTTGGACCAAAAATAACACCTTGTTCAAACCCATTTTCAAGGGTGTTAAGGGCCTCCCGGCCCCTTAAACCCCGGTAAAAACCTGGCTCGGGGCCTGGGCTTTATTTTGCCCCAGTCAGATACCCTTAATTATTACTCTAACACCCTTAAAAATCGGTCTGAACAAGGTGCTATTTTTGGTCCAAATGGAATCGATGAAATTTTTTGAGAAACAGTTCCAGAAAAAAATCTCCACTTTGGAAATTAAAATGAAAATTGACTACAAAAATTTTAATCCAAATTTTTCAAACTCCTGAAAATAGTAGTTGCCGTTTAATTATGTGTATTGCTAGCACAGGGCAAGACAAAAGAATAAGATACGATCAGTACTGAAATAAATTTTGATGGCGGCAAATTTTCGACAGGATAGTTTGGTGAGAACTTTTTAGTTAGGGATAAGCATTCCGTATGAATCATAGATTGATTCAGTTGAAACGATGGTGTTGTCTTCGATTTCCATTCGACGGATCTTACCGCCAGTGTATCCGTTACCAGCCATGAAGTACAAGCTTCCGATTCGCATATTGTAATAAGAATCAAATTCCTAAAATTAACTTCATAGGTAGAAAATATTTTGGAAAGTTACCTCTGGCAAGTCGGCCAATTGTGACCATGTTCCTTCTCTAAGCAACCAGACAGATTTCACAAAGTCTGCACCCGAAGGTTTGCCACCGACCTTCAAAAATGAACCATCATCGAGGCCAAAACAAGCGCTTGAATACACCTTTTCGACCCTTTAAAAAGGAATTGTTAATTAATTTTTTAAATCATTCAATTTTCTTACGATGGATCGGAAGGGCGTGGAAGAGCTGCCCAATTTCCGTCAATAAATGACTCGGGTTCTCCGCCGTTGATGAAACCACCAACAAGTGTTGGATTGCCTTGATATTCGGCCATGCAGCCATAGTAATGGCCAAATTGGTAAGAAGGAGTAGTAGCAAGAGACTCCTCGTCAAAGATTTGACAAGTTCCCAGGGAACAAATTAAAGCTAAATCAGAATATATGAAAATGAATGAAATGAAAATAGAAACCTTCGGTATTGTCGTTGATTGTCATCGATTGGCCCCAGGTTCTTGTTCTCATTGGTAAGGTAAGTGGAACGTCAACAAACTCATCGCCCAAAAGCTTTGCAATCTCAAAAATATTCTTAGCCCACAATTTGTGATAAAACTAACATAATAAGCACCGAAAGATATTTGATTATTTTTGTTATTTTTTGCTGTCGGATTCATAAACAGACCTTATTATATTCAGCATCTGGATATTTCTCGTATCCCCGAAGATGTAAACTGTTCCGCGAATAATTGCAGGTATTGCGTGAGCGCGGAAACCCGCCGAAGGTAGATCACCAATTTTTCTCCGTCGAGAGACAACAGCACATTGTGGTTTATTCCACTTGCATAGCTTGCCGAATACATTGCAAAAGCACCGGTCACTGGTTCAGGTAATTCTTCATAGTAGTAGTTTCTGACTGGGTAGAGTCGTGAAGGTTCGTAAATGTTTGAACTAACGCGAGCGTAGAGAACTGGTGGCATTTCTTGAACGTCGGCTGTTGGTTGGGTGTAATCGAAAAGAAGAGCGCCATCAGAGTGTCTTGTCATTGTAGATCTTGAATTCACGCCATCGACTGTACTTCGTTCGAGAGTGAAAGAGTCCCATTCTGTTGTACACGGCGTATTTTTACTGACCAAAACATCAATCAGATCGGATGAGTATTCTTGTGAGACAGCGTTGCCGTAAACCCAGTATGAAAGCGGGTCATCTCGATAAGTTCCGACTTCTAAGTAGAGAGGTTGTCTGGGTATGTACGCAGCGCCCGGTTCCAGGGTATCCAATCGAAGTACGTTCGCTGATGGTACAGTCAGTTCTGGATCAACCTGGTCCGTGCACTTGAAGTCAAATGAGATTTTGTAGTACTTCGATGTTGGCGAGATTGTCCCGACGACATTGTCCTTTTCTGGATAGATTTCACAGCTATCTACAAAAGTAGTGCACATTTCTTTCCCTTCGCATGGATCAACGCAAGTTGGTGGCTCAGGCACCTCAGGAACAGGACAATCTTCCCAGACGTAGACAGTAGAGTCGATTCGACAGCGGAAGATCTCCGTACCCGGCGATGTGCAGGGAACATCGTTCCAAACGAGAGGATCATCAATTCGAGTGAAAACGCAGTCTTCATCGCCACCAACATCATTGGGCTCGCCTCCATCCCATGCAAAAACAGTGGCTTCTTCACCCGTGACCTTGGCCCATCCGCTTTTAAACTCGTCGCTTCTGACGATTCCAAGCCATTCCCGCTGGGGGTCTGGTCGATTTTGCCATTCCTCAAGCTCCTTTTTATCGTTGAAAAATGGAAGGTTTCCACCAGCGGATTCGCAGTATTCTTGAGCTTCTGCTTGCTCGTTGACTCTTATTTTGGCGATTGGCCAGGCGGTGCATGATTTTTCGTAAGTTTGACCGCTCTGGCAAGCAGCGTAGTACTTGCTGTTGCAGTCTTTTGGCCCGTCGGACACTCCATATTTGACTTTTCCACCCGGGCCGGCGCCGCCAAAGTATTCTTGCACCCAGCACTCCCCTTCAGCCGCTTGCCAAGAGTCGAACCAGACGTAGTTTCCGACCGTCATGCTTCTTACAATGCCTCTTTGCTGCTCGTAGTCTTCAGGATCGGCAAGCCACATGCCTTGGCTGAAGCAGTAGAGAAGCGCTTGATCGTATGACATCTGATAGTCAGAGATGTGGAAGGAAACATCCTTATCGCTGTTGATCTTCAACTTTGCGACTCTTTTCATAGCGACAAGAGCGTCCTGGATCGTCTCAAATATTGCTGGATCTTCGATGCAAGCATAAGACTTCAAAATTTATCAAATTTTGCCTCATGTTTTCGGCAATACTCAAGAAATATAAGTATTATTATACAATTTTTGGTAAGCTAGAAAAACAATAATTTGATCAAACTCTCCTGAGTCCAGCGATCAAGAAGATCCGCAAGACTTCCGATGTTAGCGCCAGGACTCGCCCGAGCGTCAAAAACAGCATCGAAACCGACCGGTTCATAGCTTGGGCTAGACACAACGGAGTCGCAAACACCCTCGTCCTGGAACCATCTCATCGCGTCTCTAACTTGATCATATTTCTTGATGAAACGGTTGGCAATACCCTTCTTCTGAATCGACTTTTGAACTCGGTAGGCGTAAATATCGCTCTCTGTCCAAAAATCAAGGGGCCCAGCCTCGGCGGAGACCGATAAAATTGTCAAAAAAGGCGAAATTTTCATTTCTCTAGTACCCTGGTATTCAGTTCGCTAGAATGAGTTCGCTCGTTCAGATCCCCCTTTTATAGGCAGGTGGAGTACCAGGTACGCGCACTCGGCATGTTTTTCTTAAAAACAAGCTTTAAAATAGGCGGTTTGAGAAAGGTTTGTAAAAACAAGCCATCAAAACATGTTTCACTGCCTACCCACAAGACAATTTTTTGCGGAAAGGTTGACTCAGCGCACCTCCGAAATGATTTCTTCATAGCAAGGTTTCTTTCAAAAACTAGGCATTGGAAGCATTTTTGTGTAATTCTGAAAATAGGTGCGGCTTTCCACGTGACACGATAGTGAATTAATTGTATTGACGCAAAGCTAGGCGATGCGAGCCTGTTTTAGAAACAACATTACTTTTTAAGGGACCCCTGGAAGCAGCGCCTAGCTCAACTTCACGCGCTCACGGTTCTTGTTCGGATAAAGATTTTTACAAGTTTCTTTTTGCAAATCGTATCTGCAATTCATCAGCTTTCTTTTCCAATTTTCAGTTTTCTCTATCATAAGAAATCAATGAGATAGGAGAGAAAGAGAAATTAAACTTCAAATGGCATCAAGTCTCGTAATTTTTATTTTATTTTCATGAAACCTGCACCATTGAAAAGCCCATTAAATTCTGCACAGATCTTACCTAATCCGCAAAGGGAAACAGTTCATAATTACGATAAAGGTCAAATAAACAAGAAACCTTAGCGCGCGCCCAGCGGGAATCATGTCCCGGGAGCCCAAAATAGCTGCATCGGAGCGTCCAACCGAGCTGAGCGCGCTAAGTTCCTCTTTTAATCAGCGCTTCCTGGGCGATTTGTAAACTTTGAGCTTTGCGGATTAAGTAAGATCTGTGCAGAATTTAATGGGCTTTTCAATGGTGCAGGTTTCATGAAAATAAGATATAAATAACGAGACTTGATGCCATTTGAAGTTTAATTTCTCTTTCTCTCCCTATCTCATTGATTTCTTATGATAGAGAAAACTGAAAATTGGAAAAGAAAGCTGATGAATTGCAGATGCGATTTGCAAAAAGAAACTTGTAAAAATCTTTATCCGAACAAGAACCGTGAGCGCGTGAAGTTGAGCTCGGCGCTGCTTCCAGGGGTCCCTTAAGGTTGAGACTCTCGATCCAAATTAAATAAATTTCCCAAATTATCTTGATCAAGAGAATAAGGGATGTAATAATGTGAATACCGATGATATTTGATGGCTGCCCCGATAACAAAAGCCCGAATAAGCACCACCAATCGTGCAATTCTAGCATGGAGGACCCTCTTACTGGAAATACTTTAGGCTAAAAGAAGAAAAATCTATTCCGCGGAATTCTTCTTATTTTCGCAATGTGACCGTAATTATTCCGAGAAAGTTTATCACGTGAACCTTCGGGGAACCCCGGAGGACCTCATCTGAATCAGATCCATCATAAAAATCAATCATGTGACCTCTTGAAGGACCCCGGAGAACCCATGCGATGGAAGTATTTTTGAGTTAAATTTTTCCTCGAACTCATGATTTCTTTGATTTTGTGTATTGCTGGCACAGGGCAAAACATAGAAGAATAAGATATACATACAATTTACAATGCTCTAAACTCAACGATGAGCTCATCGTGGCGGAGCACTCGCGTGCGCTCAGATCTCGCCTTTTTTCGCCGATTAAGGGTCATTCGGTGGCTCTTGAAAATCGAAAGCCACAAGAAGGTGAACGCATTGTGGAATTGTGTCACCGACAAAAAGAAGAAATAAAGAAGAGAGAAGCTAGCACCGGAATTGGGGAAAATGAAGTCGAGCCCTCGCGTTTATCGATCATTTTACGCGTGTTTTAGTGAAAACAAATCGCGTGTCGACGGGTTAAAATTGCGCTTAACCCGTTTATCGATGTTTCAAAACGGTCATGAGACAGGACAAAAGAAGTACTTAGGCACCCCTCCTTGTGAAAACAGATCATAAGGGACCAAAAATAAGAGTGATTAGCAGAGGCTGCCCCTTAAAAGAGCAGCGCCTTCGGGGCAACATGGCACTACCGGGCTAGAAGCAACCCTTAGCGACATGGATACAGAAAGAGAGAGAGTGGCTAAGGAGCTAGAGAAGTGGTTAAAGATTATACATTTTTGGAGAGAGTGATTTTGATTTTGAAAAAGAGGAAGGAAGGATTTAGGCTCGTGTGTGTCGGGTGAGTCGCTTGAAGACCTTGTTGACCTTGGCGCCAACGAGTTTTTCGATGTTGCGGCAGGGTGGGGTGTCGTTGGTTCGGTTGGCAAGGGTGGCGACGATGGCGTCCTTGACATCGCTGATCTGGCTGGCGGACTCGAAAGCAGAGAGAGCAGAGGCCTAGAAGATGAGTTTGAGTCATAAAATTGGAGTTGAAAATGTCTGATAGAAGATTACTTACAGCGTGGTTGTCTCGGAGTGGGCACTTTCTTCGTCTTCGGGCAAGAGCCTTCTGGGCCATTCCTCGGACTCGCTTGACGAAAGTCATCTTTCCTCGTCGACCATCAGTGACCTAGAGAAGCAGTTTTACTTCTGAATCGATTCTAGAAACTTACTCGGGAGATGGCGGTAAGCATAGCACCCTGGACATCGACCATGTTAGCCTTGTGCATACCAACGTTGGCCTTCTTTGTCTTGATCTTGCCGGCAGATTTGCCATCATCGAGAGATGTTGGGGCGGTAGAAGCATCGGAAGAGCAAGAGAATCCGTCACCGAAGAAACCTCGTCGGCAGTTGCATTCGAATCCACCAACCTAAAGGAACATGAAAAGAAGGCACTGAAAAGAGACTTACAGTGTTGGTACATTTGGCATTGACATCACAGTTGTCGGTCTTTCGGAAGCACTCGTTGACATCCTGGCAGGTGACACCATTTCCCTTGAAGTCGTTGAAGTTGTTGAGTCGAGTTCCACATCGGCAAGTGAACGATCCTCGGGTGTTCGTGCACTCAGCGTTGGCATCGCAGTTGTGAGAACCAGCAGTGCATTCATCAACATCTTGGCAGAATTGGCCGTTGCCGACGAAACCAGAGTTGCAGGCGCATTCGAAGCCACCGTCAGTGTTGATGCATCGAGCGTTGTCGTCGCAGTTGTCTTGCATTGTCACGCACTCGTCGACATCAGCGCATTCTTTGCCGTTACCAGTGAAGCCATCGTTGCAAGCGCAAACGAATCCACCGTCAGTGTTGGTGCAGCTGGCGTTGGCATCGCAGGCATCATCGGAAGCACACTCATCGACATCAGCGCAGCTCTGGCCGTTTCCGAACCATCCAGCATTGCATTCACAGGTGAAGGATCCAGCGTTGTTCTTGCAGGTAGCGTTGGCGTCACAATTGTCAGATCCCTCAGCGCACTCGTCAATGTCATCGCAGGCGAATCCATCACCAGAGAAGCCAGCAGCACATGAGCAGGAGAAAGAACCTAGAATATCACTAGAATATAATTTTAAGGCATGCAATACCTTCAGTGTTAGAGCAGACAGCATTAGCATCGCATGGGTTAGCATCACATTCGTTGTCATCAACACATTGTCCACCAACAGAAACGAATCCAGCAGCGCAATCGCATCGGAAATCTCCAGAAAGATTGACACAGGTCTCAGTAGCGGCGTTGCAAGAGTCAAGTCCAGCGGCGCACTCGTCAACATCGAGACAGATCTTTCCGTTTCCAGAGAATCCATCATTGCAAGAGCATCGGAATCCACCGTTCGTGTTTGTGCAAGTTGCTTCGTTCGCACAGTTATCGGTTCCAGCGGCACACTCGTCAATATCAACACAGTCGCCTTCATCGTTCTTGGAGAAACCCTCTTCGCAGCCGCAAGAGAAACCACCGGGGAAGTTGGTGCAGTCAGTACCACCGCATGAGGACTCATCCAAACACTCGTCGATGTCGAGACAAGTCTCTCCGTCGCCAGTGAAGCCGGCGCGGCATTCGCACTCGAATCCACCAGCCGTGTTGGTGCAGAGAGCGTTGTTACTGCAGTTGTCAAGTCCAAGGGTGCATTCGTTGATGTCAACGCAAGCATCGCCTTCTTCTCTGAATCCAGCGTTGCAGACGCAGCCGAATGAACCGAGTTTGTTGAAGCACTGAGCATTTGGATCGCAAGTATCAGTTCCAGCTGCACACTCGTTGATATCTCGGCAGTTGAAGCCATTACCGAAGAAACCCTTTCGACAAGCGCACTGGACGCCACCATCGGTATTGGTGCAGCTAGCGTGTTCGGAGCATGGGTTGTCGACGACGCACTCGTTGATGTCCTGGCAGGTAAAACCGTCACCAGAGAAGCCGTTCTTGCACTGGCATTCGAAACCGCCGACAGTGTTGATGCAGTGAGCATCAGCGTCGCAGTTGTCCTGGCCAAGAGCACATTCGTTCTTGTCGAAGCAGTTGACACCGTCGCCATTGAAGCCTTCGTTGCAAGTGCACTGGAAGCTTCCTCGAGTATTCATGCAGCTAGCATTTGGCGAGCAGTTGTCCAAACCGTTGGCACATTCGTCAATTTCATTACAGACAACGCCATTGCCCATGAAACCAGGTTTGCAAGCACATTCGAAGGAACCGACAAGATTGTTACAGTCAGCGTTTGGCGAGCAAACGTTCTGGCCGTTTTGACATTCGTTGACATCGAAACATTTCTGTCCAGAACCTCCAAAACCAGCGTGACAAACGCATGAGAAACCGTCTTCCAAGTCGATGCAGTCAGCATTGGCGCTGCAATCGTGAGTGCCAAGAGCGCATTGATCAGCATCGGTGGTGGTGGTGGTGGTGGTTGTTGTGGTAGTAGTGGTTGGTGGTTCAGTTGGGGGTTCTGTAGCGGCTTCGGTAGCGGCTTCGGTAGCGGCTTCGGTAGCGTCTTCGGTAGCGGCTTCGGTAGCGGCTTCGGTAGCGGCTTCGGTAGCGGCTTCTTTAGCGGCTTCTGTAGCAGCTTCAGTAGCTTCTTTCTGTGTAGTGGCAGCAGCGGTGCTTGCTTCCTCGGTGGTAGTGGTAGTGGTAACAGGCCTAGGGGTTGTAGTCGTAGCTGGCTTCATCATTCGCCAAACCATATCGAATCCGTAGAAGTTTGCTCCGGCATCAGACTTGAATTCGACAATCAAGTTGTTAGAGTCGAGAACTTTTCCCTTGAACCAACCCTGCTTGATTGGGTTGTTGAACCAGGGGTTGCTGACGTAGCTGAATTTGTCGAAGAAGTAGGAGTAATCTGGGCTGTTGGGAACATTGGCCTGGATGGCGAACTTCTTGAACTTGTTGACGTACATGCACATTTTTCTGGTTGGTCGGCCGCCGATGATGAATCGGAGATGATCCCACTCGCAGTGCTCGTTTTCTCCTGGTCGGCAGGGTCGATGGCTGGGGTTGCCTGGGTGACCGCAGGTTGCGGAATCGGAAGGTCGCTCCTCCTCAATGTCCATCTTTAAGATCTTGACGAACATTCGAGCGTTTCTGGGTCCAACGATTCGCCATCGACAGGCAGTATCCGGCTTGTAGGGATGGTCAGAGGAAAGGAAACCGCTTGGTCGGTTAGTGACACCGCAGTTTTTGAAAACAACGGGTCCGGCATTTCTACCATCACCGCCGATTCGACCTTGGAGGCCGGTTATATCTTCTCCTGCCTCAATTGCTGCATCAAGAGCTAATTGAGCCTGCTCAGTCTCGTTGGTGGGAAGGTCGGACTCTTTGACAAATCCGCCGAAGAATTCCTGGTCTCGGAGGGCTTCCACGCCGCCCAAAGTGGCTAAAAGTCCCGTAGCGAGCTTCATCGTTTTTTCTCCAAAATCAAAAAGTTTTCTTCAAAAAGGTACAAAATCTTTATTAAAAAAAAGAGCGCAAAGAAAGCCTCGGTTTGTGCCAACAATCACTCTGCTTGGGTAGAAGCGAGTGTCTTGTGAACCGAGAATGGCCGTCTAGTCGCTGCACCGGGCGTTTTATAGTGCTCATGTTAGGTGGAATAGGCTTAGCCTTTGATTAAAGAAAAAGTGTAAATCACATCAAAATGGCAGCGAAGGGCCAATTACACGCCCGACTCGCGAGATGCACGTTCGCCAGGCAGAAAGATCCGAGGATGACCTTTTCAACACTCTTAGAAGAGGATATCTCCCGTTTCCGGTTTTTTTCTTGAGGAAAATAGATGCAAAACTGCATATTTTTCTACTCAACATTGATTTTTCCTCTGCCAAATTTGCTTTTCGGGTGTTTTCAATGGTTTTTGAAGAGAAAACCGAGTTGATAATATGAAAATTTGGTAAAATGCGATGAATAATTAGATGACGTCTACAAACATGAATTTTTCTGTCAAAACTGGATTTTAAAGCGGTAGTCTGGGAAAATGAGCAATAAACTCATCGTGAGTAAAGGAAACACTTAGAATACTTTTTGGAAATGTCAATTGCCAAAACTTTAATCCAAGAAGCTATTTAAAAAACACCTCTCCGCCAAGTACTCAAAACACAGCTCAATCAACAAGAGAGATGAAAATACTTCTTACAATCTTTTTCCTCGGATCAATTTTGGCCTTCCCAAGTCGATACGCTCAATCCAACCGGGATCTTCGATTTCAGTTCGAAGAGCCGGATCTTTTCGACAATGGCCGATGGACTGAATACGACATTCGTTCGGACTTCCCTGAGTCTGCTGATTTCCTCAGCAACCACGTGGTTCGAACATACCATCCAGATCATCCCATTGTATTTGACGTTAACAAATACAATCGACTCATTCGAAGGCTAAACGCCGAAAAACAGCTTCGACGAAACCTCGATCTCCGCTAAAAAAATCCTTTCAGGCGTTGAGGATCAGGGAATAACCTTCTTTTTCTTTGAAAAAATAACAATAAAAATCATAAAAAATCCATGTTCAATTATCAATATCTTTCGTTTATTCTAGTTGAAGTGATCAAAAGAGGTCTGTTCTTGCTCGTAGCTTGTTAAAATTTAGGGAGGAAGACAGTCGTTGGATCCATTCGTTTTCAACTAAAGATGGTACATCGGTCCTTCCTATTTGTTTGGTTTCTTGGTTGTAATCTTTATCTTGGTTTAAAAAATATTGAACCGAAAAGAGGGTGTCTCCATTATACTTCTTGTTTCTCTTTCGACTAAGTTAACTCTTGAACCAGCCCTAAATAAGGAAAAGCTTCAGTTTCAATCGCAAGTATTGACAGGAGTTGGACAAAATTCATCACAGATTTTAATTGTTGTTTTTAAATTGGATATTTTTCTGGCATCACTTCGAAGAAATCGCAGTTTTATATGAAACTCATCGCTTGAATTTTAAATTTGCGCTGATGATGTTGCCCTTTGAAGAAACTTGTCTTGGCAGGTAGTCTCCGTTCAGATTACTTAGTCACGAGCACTTTCGAATCAGTTCAGTTTCTTCTCAATTCCATGAATTTTTACTTTTGTCCACAAGAAAAAGCCTGATTTTCCTTTCAACTTGAACTGCTCATCAAGTACACTATTCATTATTGAATAATGTCATGATTCTCAGGTGCCCTTTAACTTGGATAAAACGGCAGATTGGATCTAGAACGAACTCGATAAAAATAGACTTGATTCGAAGGTCGAGGACTTAAAAAGATGACAGGTGCCAATCAAGTGGAATTAACCGACAGATTGGGCTGTCATAGAACTTTCTTTTGTGTGAAGATAAGAAACTTCTTATTATTGACGCAGAAAAGCACAGAACTAGGTCTTCAGTGAAGAAACAGTGTATTTTTCACAGAATAAATAACGCTTGATTAGGCTTCGATTTGACGATTGACACTCCGTAGAATACTTTTGACTTTTTGGCGGTCGAGGAAGGAGATTTTTCGCGCTTCAGAAGAGCCAAGCCACTTCTTTACTTTTGAAGTTTTCTTTCCCATCCAGTCCTGGAAAGTCAAAATTTATCTTCTATACCTTGACCTACCTCGACGGATGAAAATTTCGCGCGAATTTTGTCGTCAATCTCGACATCTTCAATCATTTGCTTTAATTTTTCTTCTCCAAGCTCATTTTCTTCCTTGATTTCAAGAATTTTTTGATCCGCTGGGGTGCAGATTTTTGGCTGTTCCAGGGGCTCGGACTCGACTTTGTCGATCCTGAAAATTTTTATTGGGAATTTTTATCGAAATACAGGAAGAACCTGTATTTTGTTCGGACGACTTTGAATTCGACTGGAGAAGTTGCTTGTTTTGGTGGCTGGGGCGGAGCTTCTAGTGGCTTCCTCTTTTGATAGCGTTGTTGCTGAAGAAGAAAATTGATAAAAACGAAAAGAACCCTACTGATCTTTTCAGACTAGCATACTCTTGTTTCCGGTAAAATTTTTTAGGCGGCTTTTATCAGTTTCAAAAGACAGGATTTTTTTTTTTATATTTTGAAACTCAGGACCATTCCGGAACAACGCTATTTTTTGAGTTTCATTTTGGAAGAGAAAGCAAATTAGAATATTCTTGTTCAATAAAACTCTCCTTAGCGGCATTTTTTCAGCTCTATCTCGTTTTATTTCCGCTCGGTCAGGGGTACAACGAAGATGTAAAAAAATAATGAATTAGCGTCTGCTGGCTGTCAGAACGCGACTATCACTTATTTCAACTCGAATAACACTTCACGTAAGCTTTCAATACCAGTTTGCGTAGCTTCTATCTGAGCTGTCAGGTGAACTACTCGACAAATGGTCTTTTTTGGCCGAATCAAACATGTCGTTTTAGAACAACCGATAAATTTGATCTTGGTTTAAACTTACCATTAATCGTGAAAAGAGATCTATTCCTCTTTTGAAAGGATAAAGTTTCAATATAGAAAAATACTACGATCAGAGAGTTTAATTTTTATTAATTTACATAAGGCAATTATTCAAATAAATTTAAAGGTGCCAATCAGTAAGAGTCAAAACTTTTGCAAAATCGTTGTTGACACCCTTAACCCGTGAACATGAGAACAGGCAACCTGAGTAGAAAACCTGAGTCAGGTTCTGAAAATCTAAAATGACGCGACTTTCCACTAAAGAACTTTCAGATTCTGACTCAGGTTTTCTACTCATGGTGCCGAACACAGGGGACCCCAATCGAATCAGGGGTAATTTAAGGGTACTACCGTCGATTTTCCCAATGACCGGTTATGCTAAATTTTTCATCGGAAATGAATTCCTCATAAAATTTTGACCAAAAAAGGTCCGAACGTTTCATTCATAACGTCAAGCGTTTTCATAATAATTAGAGTTTTAATTGATTTCTGTACTAGAAAGCATTTTTTTCCGAAAAAATTTTTGGTGTCCGATTCTTTCAAATAAGGCTCGTTTTGAAGCTCAGAACAAGATGAGGATTATGGTGAGTTCATAAATTCTTGAACTAAGATATTTTAGCTTCTAGAGACAAAAATGCGTCGCCAAATTTTGAAAAATGCTCAATTTTGGCAAAATCATAGAGACACAATTTTAAAAAAATTAATTTTGGTATTTTTCCTTTTTCAATCAAGAAAACCTTCTGTCATTTTTAAGATGAAGGTTCAATTTACACATAAAAAATAAAATCAGGCTGAGTTTTCTAGCTACTTTTCGAGCTATTTCGCCGTTTATTAAGTCTATTTTTGCAACAATGATATTTTTAAGCTAGAAATTAGCCGACTTTTCATTGAGCAATTCAAAAACGCCTCTGACAGATTAAAGATCTAAGATAGTTTAACTTTTAGAGGCCATATGATACCCGCTATCCATGCCATGTTAAGGGTTATTCAAGGTTAAAGCTTGGGAAATCGAAGGTAGTACCCTTAAGGGGTAATTCTTGGGGTAATAAATCATCATCCTTTTCCTGAACCCAAATTCTCTCATTGCTCCTCTAGCAAACCTCTCTGCTTTTTGAACTTGTTTCTGTTTCATCATTTTCGCTCTTGCTTTTTCGTTGAAAAATAAATCCTTCTTTTACTTTGTCGTAAATTTGCTCTGCTACTTCCGACAGTTCTTAGTAGCTTTTTTTTCTTCTCAATCAGCTGCTCTGACGACTAAGAAAAAAAGACACGAAATAATATTCTAGCGCAGTAAATATTTTTTTCTCGAAACGACTCTTAAGGGGACCCGCTAGGGGGGAGAAGAACGAGGTGTTAAAGCCGCCCTTAGGAAGAATTTAAGAGCAGATGGGAAGGAAAACGAAAAAACAGCAATTCGTCGCGTCAGCAGCAAATCAATCAATCACTCATTTATCAAACGTAGTTTTTTTCTAGAGCACTGGGAAGGGATCTTGTTGTGTTTGAGAAAAGGGATGAAAATGGGAGAGCTTCAAAATGCCGCCGAAAAAGCAAGCGAAATGGGAGACGAATCCGGATTCAAAAAAATTTCAAAGAAAAGTTTCTGATATTTTGCGTAAGTTCTTCTTTCTAGCAATCTGTGTGGATAACCTGAGTCAGGGTCAGAAAAGATAAGAATTGGATAGATTCGGCTGACTGTAATTATGACGCGACTAAAATTTTAGTTCCTTCCTGACCTTGACTCAGGTTTTCTACACAGATTCCCGAGCCTAGTACAGTGTAAGTGCCTATTTATCATATTTTTCACATTTCAGAATCGTTCAAAAATGTCGAGCTTGAAATCCAGCGCGACCGAGAAGAACGAAGACTCGAACTTGCAAAACTTCAGATGGAAATTTTGAACGCTGGGGGAAGCGCTGGAGACAGAATTATCAAGGAGCCGGAAATGGCGCTTTTTAGCTTGGAACATACATCGAACTGCGATGTCAGAAACTGCGGCTTTCCTGGCTGTTGCAAGTTAGGTTTCAAATTTGATCTTTTTATTGATTGTTTTCTTTAGAATGAGGATTATTATCGACCATGCAAAAGCACACTGGAGCGTCGACGAGCCAAATAACTGTATAATCTGCAAAAATGTAAGAAAAAATAGCCAGAAACCCCCCTTTTCAAAAATTTAAGTTTGCGAAGGTCGTCCGAAAACACACCCAGTACTGCTTTGACGAAAACTGCCTAGTCCACAATTGTAACATTCTCAAATCAAAAATCAGCGCCATTGAAGCACAAATTTCCGTTGCCGAACGAGATCGAAGAGAAACCGAAATGGCTGAAAAAGCAAAAGAAGCAGGCTTGATTCTTTGATTTTTATTCTTTCTGTATTTTTTCGTTATATAATCTTGCAATAAATTTTGTCCTTAACACATTTTGACGACAGAAGAAGATACGGTAGAAGGCTTTGAACAAGCCTGGTGATCCACAAGGAAGAGTAGGTCATAAATCGTCCAAGTCCTCCTGTTGTCGACATGCTCAGAAGTCCCGTTTTTGATAAATGAGCCACGGCACGCACGTTTTCACTTTCTTCAAAATAGATTATTTTCTTGCTCATGACGTCTTCATCCCGTTTTCAGGCCAAAATCTCCGCGAGATCATCTTTTCTCAGGAATTTTTGATCAATAAGCAGAAAAGAAAGAATCAGAATTATGCGCGGCCAAATTTTGATGCGCTTGATATTTACTCGTTATTTGAAATACCGCAGTTTACTCTCACAAAACCCCAGGTTCTGGTCTGTTTTATTCTCAGAATCAAAAATCTATTGAAAAAAAAGAGAAGAATGAGGAATATTTGTACATTGATCCTCCCGATCTGCTGGCTTGTCTTTCTTTATGCCATGAGTAAGTATCGTTTTAGCGATTCTAGCTGTTAACAATTTTAAGTCGCTATGGGAATCGTCCTCGGAAATCATGACCGGCACGAAGAAGGAATCGGCGAGCCCGACTGTGACCATCTTGTTGATCCTGATTGTCGGCCAGAATAGATTACGCATTTAAAGAAAAATAGATAATATTTTCTTTGACAAAGAATATTTGCATTGAAGGTATAAAGCAATTCTCTTCGTCGATTTCAACTCCTCTATTGTCAGAATTTTATGATATGAACTTTTGCCATGCGAATCATTTGTAAAAAATGTTTATCCCCACAATTTCTTACGAAAACCGGCCGGTAGAAAAAAAAACATGTTTCCATAGCTTTGTTTTACAAACCTTTATCAAATAAAAGCTTGTTATGTTGTTGGTACAAAGCATGGTGGAAAAAGCGTGGAGTAAACTTTCCTATAAAAAGAAGGAAACTTAACAATCGAATTCATTCTAGCTAACTGCATACCAGAGCACTAGAGAAATGAAAATTTTGCCTTTTTTGTCAGTTTTAGCTGGCTCCGGCGAGGCTGGGCCTCTTGATTTTTGGACAGAGAGCGATATTTTTGCCTATCGAGTTCAAAAGTCGATTCAGAAGAAGGGCATTGCCAACCGGTTCATCAAAAAGTATGATCAAGTTAGAGACGCGATGAGATGGTTCCAGGACGAGGGTGTTTGCGACTCCGATGTCTCTAGCCCAAGCTACGAACCGGTCGGTTTCGATGCTGTTTTTGACGCTCAGGTGAGCCCTGGCGCTAACATCGGAAATCTTGCGAGTATTCTTGATCGCTGGACTCAGGAGAGTTTCATCAAATTATCTTAAGCTGTCCAAAAATAAGGGGAAATATTTGATAAATTTAAAAGTCATATGCTTGCATCGAAGATCCAGCAATATTTGAGACGATCCAGGTCGCTCTTGTCGCTATGAAAAGGGTCGCAAAATTAAAGATCAACAGCGATAAGGATGTTTCCTTCCACATCTCTGACTATGAGATGTCATACGATCAAGCGCTACTCTACTGCTTCAGCAAAGACATGTGGCTAGCCGATCCTGAAGACTACGAGCAGCAAAAAGGCATCGTAAGAAGCATGACGGTTGGAAACTACGTCTGGTTCGACTCCTGGCAAGCAGCTGAAGGGGAGTGTTGGGTGCAAGAATATTTTGGCGGCGCCGGCCCTGGAGGAAAAGTCAAATATGGAGTTTCCGACGGGCCAAAAGACTGCAACAGCAAGTACTATGCAGCTTGCCAGAGCGGTCAAATTTACGAGAAATCATGCACCGCCTGGCCAATCGCCAAAATAAGAGCGAACGAGCAAGCAAAAGCTCAAGAATATTGCGAAGCCGCTGGTGGAAACCTTCCATTTTTCAACGATAAGAATGAGCTTGAGGAATGGCAAAATAGACCAGACCCCGAGCGAGAATGGCTTGGAATCGTCAAAAACGACGAGTTTAAAAGCGGATGGGCCAAGGTCACTGGTGAAGAGGCTACTATTTTTGCATGGGCAGCCGGAGAGCCGGACTTTGATAATGATAACGAATTCTGCGCGACGACAATGATCAACGGCGGTGGAGTCGATTACAATAACCCCTTTGTCTGGAACGATGTCCCGTGCTCCTGGGCAACGGAGATCTTCCGCTGTCGAATTGACTCTACTGTCTACGTCTGGGAAGATTGTCCTGTCCCTGAGTTGCCTGAGCCACCGAAGGCAAGTTCTGCAAATTTGCACGATTTTACGATTCTTGACCTTCGAATATGTAGTTTTTAAGAAAAAGCATGTTTTAGGCGGGTGCTTTTTTATATAAAGAGCGATTTTGCAATGATCAGTATTTTTTATGGTATCAATTACTTTTCGATCAAGCTCAAATAATAAATTTGCGTATACGGTCAAATAGGAGCGTTCCAATATAATTTTTTTTTATTCAGAGCAAAACTCATATATCGGCCCTTACTTATATGCCTGACGAGGCTTTAATCTTTCATGAAGACGGATCAACGATAGTTGAGTCGAATATAGTTGTCCCTTCCGACGAATTTACTAAATGGTCTCCTTTTGCTATTGTCCGTGGAAACTTATACATTTTCGGTGGAAATTCCGATCATTATAAAGTAAGCGAAAATTTGTAAGAAACAAGGTTGAGTTTATTATAAGATTGGGCGGCTCGATGGATGCGTTTTTACAGAGCTCTCGACACGTCTGAATAACGAAATGGGCGTTTATTCTGCAGCTTTAGCGATCGAAGACGGAAACAAAGCCTTGATTTGCTTTCAGAATAAATTGGAACCGAAGAGAAACTGCGAGATTTTCGATACAGAAGTTTCAGTGCAAACTTACCGAACTCAATATTCACATGGTACTGCTGGACTGGGCTTCTATAAAGGCCAACCGACAACTGTAGGTGACAGCTATGGAGGCGAATTTGACGGACAAATGAAAGTAGAAACATACGATTCTTCGATGGGGTGGAAGTCTCTTCCTGATTTTCCACAGTAATTCAAAGCGTCTTTTTCTTAATTCCGTATTGAATTTATTTAGCGAGATACGACGGAGTTCTTTGATCGGACTACCAAGTGGATCCATGCTGGTAATTGGAGGCCAATGGCGTTCTGCCTTTACCTACAGTGATATTTGGCTTTTGAAAGATGATACGTGGAATAATATTGGAAATCTTGAATATGTAAGATTAACTAAAAATGGGTTTTGAAAACATCCATCTAGGCAGTGGGAGGAGCCTCAGCAATAAGAGTTGGAGAGTCCATCTTCCTCTTTGGAGGCGCATTCAACCCTCAAGACGCAAAGAACAAATCAATGACTATTCAACGAATCGATCTCGATGGAGAGGAATTCATCAGCACCGAAATCATTGCTCAAACAGAAAATTCGTATGGCTACACTTATATGCCTGTTATATTTGAAAGTTCTTCTGACTTTTGCGTAAATTAATATTATTAACGACTATTATATATATTCTCCATTATATATCATTATTAACATTGTATCTTTTCTGATCTTTTGAAGTTTTTCATCTGGCTTTGCTTAAAGCTTAATTTTAGCAGAGAACAGTTTTCTTCATAATATTTCTCAGTTTTTACGCCTGCTTACTTATAACATTATCAAAACGAATAAAGTCAATTTGAAAAAAAAATCATTTCGAGTCAAATAAGTTTTATTTTTTATTTCTAGTTCAATACTATTGAATCAATAGTCATTCTTTCTGCGAGAAAGAACGTTTATTTAGCAGACGCCAAAATGAAAGTCCAAAATAGAAATGACCGATGATTTTTCGAACTTCAAATCTTGCTTCGAGCTTTAACATTTATAAAAAACAAAAAACAATGGTTAAGCTTACCCAAGCCATGTGTTCGGCAAACTCACTGTCAAATCTTCAGGAGCATCTTTTGGAAAGCAGCAGGATGAAATTTTGACAAAAAAGTATTGCTCTAAAATCTGAATATTTATCAAAAGAGGGTAGTCATTTTAGCTATGACCTTGAGAGAGTCCTTATTGTCGATAGGCAGGCAGATCTGAGCATCGGAATTTGGATAGATTGAGATGACTTTTTCAATCAATCCTCTCAGTGCATTTTCTGATCGAGCATAACAGGGACTGAGTGAGATTCCCAGGGGCGTTTTTCGCACTAGAATTCTCAGTAACTACTACCCAATACTCTTGAATTACCCATTGTATAACCATCAATCTCCCCTTGCTCATTTTTCGAGAAGAAACTCTTATCAGAAGTCTCAAAGAACCACTTCAAGATTTGCTTTCTATCAGATCCGGTGACTGCTTCATCGAGTGGGTAAATATCCTCTATGTTTTCAAGAGGAAAGATGTTGAAAGAGATAGCTTGTTTTTCGAGAGACTTTGGTCGGCAAATGAGCTGGTTTGTTTGGTAAAGAAACTTTGCCATTCCGAATCGCTCGTACATCGGCTCTCTTGAAGAAGAATGAATGGATTTTTTCATCAATAACTCACCTTCCAACAGCAGAATTGACAATAATCTCATATCCTTCGTAATGCTCCAAGATCTTCTTGATGACCTTTGACCCAATTCCTTGTCCCCTCAATTTCGGCTCCGTAATAAACGAAACGATAACAGCCCGTTTGTCTCCAATGTCAACTCCTCCGCAGAAACTGACCACTTCTTTTGTCTCCTTGTTTTCCGCGCAGTAGAAGCCATCTGGGGAAATTTCAAACATTTTCTCGTAAACGTCCATTCCGACATTCCAGACTTCATCATCAGATAATTTGTGATATTTTACTAGCTCGAATTCTTATCGAAAAATGACTATTTTCTTTTACCTAAATCTTCATGCCTCAATTTTCGAATATTGACCTCAGGAACCGTCATTTTTCTCGATTGCCGAGGGCTCTATTGAAATTCTTCCAACTCGGACGGAAGAAAAGTCATTGGTCAAATATTACCTTTGCCCTTTGGTTCGATTTTCATCTCTCTGATTTCCGGTTTTTTTTTAAGGGGGTGGTGGTCGAGAATTATAAAATGATTTTTAATTTTCGGCTTTAACTTACAGTTATTCAATGAAATAACATACATGTTACATGTAACATGTACTTTTTTCTCGAACAATCTATTTCTAGCGTTTAAATCACGTAACAGGAGAATCGGCTTCAATAAAAGGTCAAAAATGACCAAAAATCGGAAAATGTCAACTAAAAAATTGCTAAAAACTACGATTTCAGTTCGACTTTGACGCTCGATTTCGTCATTTTTCCATTGAAATTTTTTTCTAAAACTAAGCCGCCCACACAATTTCAACCCTTTCTAACTTGTTTGGATTGAGAACAAGAAAAAAATTTTTCGAAAAAAATGCGTTTTTTAGGTTGAAAAATCCTAATTCTCGACCACCACCCCCTTAAATGGTTGTTTTTGATCTTTTTTTTTCAACATACTCTTCCTTGATTTCAGTTCTTTGACGCTCTTTTTTGAATGATTTTATTTACAGATCTTAGCTTTCGCGTATGAAAATAATTTATACAGAAAATCTGCCACGTATGTAGAAAATGTTAAATCCGGTCCAAGAAACAGTGAGCTAGAAAGCGATCTTTCATCTTTGCCGGAAGTTAAGAAGACAGAAAAGCCATGTCACTCATTTTAATCTTCTTCAAGAGGGAGTCTTCTTAAGCATGTCGCTGCCACTCCCATCGTCGGTCCCGATCGCGGGAGCGTCATTTTCTGACTCGCAGGAGTTAGACTCGTTTCCGCCGTGCTGTTGAGCAAAAACGAGTCGTTTTCGGAGAAGTCCTCTTCTTCGCTCTTGCTGATTGGCGGCGTCGGCGGTGGTGGAGGAAGCGTGCAGTAGCCTTTTCTAAAGGATGAGCAAACAAGCACATTGGGATTTGGTGTGATAAAAGAGGGTTTTTACGCGGCCGGGACATATTTTCTGGGCAGATAAGATTGGGTAAACGGGGCCGAGGGTTATGTTATAATGACGGGATAAGGAGTTTTTACGTTTTTATCGAGGGCTTTTAAATTGACGATAAAATTCATCGAAAACATGCTGACCCTTGCGTTCTCTTAGTTCTCTTTACGAAGGGTGCTTTTTCTTTCATCCGCTCCTGTCTGAACATCAATGATCATTGGGCAGCTCTTGAATTTACTGCTGCTGCTTTCCAATGGACTGAGCGGTTCGGTTCTGAGAAAGGTATTGATTTGGTCTTGGTGGCGCTGGTGGCTTTGAATTTGATGGTGTTGGAAGGTCGAGTATTGGTGCATGGTGTTGTTCATGACTTTCAAGGGGTTTCTATTGATCGGAAAAGAAAGATCACGTGTTCGTTGAAACCCCGAAACAGAATACTTGGGCGGAAGTAAAAATGGCTCGGCAAGGTGGTCATTACGATTGACACATTCGATTGATGCATATGGAGGCAGACTTGGCTGACTGAAATTATTATCAATGACGCGATCCTTTTCATTAAAAGATCGAAAAAGTCACGTTGGAAGATTAAGGGTGTACCTGGTATTCGAAGGTTCAGATGGAGTTTGATGTCCGTGAGTAATTCGCTCGACTTTTGAGAAGATTTCTTCCGTGATTGGCCACTAGAAATTCTTCTTTATTCAAGATGGAAAAGGGGGTTTAGTTAGGGTTGACGTTATTCGTCATTATTAACATTGCACTTAATCGTACGAGTGGTTATTATCATTGTGAACGAGTCTCACTTAGAGAGCTACGAATTATGATCAAGGAGGGTCCTTTCTTGAGAATCAAGAACTCTATTTGTCATTTGAAATGGGTGGAAAGAGAGACACGTTGGAATACATTGACGTACAATTTTTCGAACCTGCGCGCTGTCGCTGTCTTTTCGACACATTTTTCGGCATATTTGTCGGCCCTTGAATGCGGCTAAGCAAATGGCGACGATCGCTAGAACGGCAACGAGAACGGCGACCGCCACAGCGTGCTTGATTTTTGGGTTCGATTTAACAAGTACTTCAAGTTCTGACAAAGTCCCTTTTTTGAAAAACCATTTTTTCATGCAAATTAAGCCAAAAAAAAGCAGCAAAATTTTTTTCCGATTTTCAAAATTTAGAAATGCTTTTTATTCTCTCTTCTTATCAGCTCTCAAGAAATTCTTATCACTAAAGCTGCCCCGCCAATTCGTTCTTGTATTTCTCGAGAAACTTAATCTCTGACTTGTTCACTTATTTTAACGAGCTTCGCGATTCCTTCTTTGATCCCCGAGAAGATAACACAAAAATTGCATGCGCGAGCTTTTAGAAAAAAGTCTAGTTTTGCTCTTTTGGAGGAAAAAAATCAAATTGAGGGAAAAATGTAGAGGACAGTTTTAGAAGGTGTCGAAATGGTGAAATGGTATTCGCAGTTGTACAATGTCGCGTCAACCGCGTCAAGTATTTCTTAGATATTCTCTTTCAACTTCAGACGCATTTTGTATTAGAGCAATTTTCAAAGCGAAAGTTTCAGGAAACATTGATAATATTGATCGTTGATTTAGGTATCCTTTCGACTTTCGAGGCCGAAATTTTAAAAGAAAGGATGTTCTCAATCTATTATCGGTAAACTTAAACTCCACCTGAACCAGACAGCGGAATAAGCTAATATCAAAGATGATTATCGAAATTTAACCGAAGAAAAAAAAACATAAAAGATAAAAATACAACTTCATTCTGGTTTCTATATGGGAAATTTAATTTCTAGAATTAAGATTTATCTTCTCTCTAGATTCTAGAGTCTAGAATCTAGAATCATGAGATTTAGATCTCATTTGTCGATTTAAAGGACCTACTACAATGAGGATTTTGGGAGTATCAATGCAGTTATCAAAAATTAACCATACTTCAGATGTTTGCAAAAAAAAAGCAGTTGCGTATTCCAGAAGCCTAATCCCCTGGTGACCTCTCGTTCACATAATTTCATCCGCTCGGTATAAAGCCGTCCAGCAAAAGCGTTTCTAATCGGATCGGATAATTTGGAGCAAAGGTGACAACACCTGGACTCGCTCAACTTTTTGAACCTTTTTTTCATAATCGTTTGGAGCGATTCTTTTCTAGAGCACGTTTCAAGCAACTTCGGACCCGCGCCTGAGTCGAATTCACGTCGAAAAAGCCGAGAAAAAAGCCGCGCTCGATTCCGGAAGGGTTGAACTGGATGCTCGTCGCCGAGCCAGTGCCAACATGAGATAAGGTCATCAACGTGGCCTCGATACTTTTACGCTGCCGGATTTCGGCAAGATTTCCTTTGAGCACGCGATCGGGGCTTAGTCAATGGTTCACGAGAGGGATTCAAATCTACTCATCTCATCATCTCTGCTTTTCTATTTCGAAATTTTCTTAGGCTTGAAAAGCTGTGTAGAAAAGCTACAGGCTGTGCTTATTTGGGACGAGATAAGGAAACGCTGATACAATGACTGGGCAACCTCTATCGAAATTCCTTTAATCCGCCAGCATTGTTCATTTGAAGCGCGCGCAATAAACTCCAATAAGAGACATGCAGAATGATTCAACCTGTGGGTCGGATGATAAGAATTTTCGATTATGCTGGCTCAGGGCAGCTATCAAAGGCCCCGCTATCTCGTCACAAATAAGCAAAAGCTGTAAGTCAGTGGAAAAATGTCAGGAACCGACGAAAAAAATTCGACAAATTTTGCATGGAAAATTTCAACCAATCAGAAGCCTGGATTTGGCAAACCGGCCAATCCGAAGGCGAGTAGCCGCCAACGCAAAATTTGTCGAAGTTTTTTTGTCGATTCCTGACGCCCCAAGTCAGGGTCTGGAAGATCTTTTAGGAAAAGCCGCGTAGCGGCTTTTCTGAATACGAAACCGAAACGCAGCTTCGCAGGAAATTTAATTCAAGTTTTATTTTGCGAAGCCGCTTTACCGCTTCGTTATTAAAAAAGCCGCTACGCGGCTTTTCATAAAAGATCTCTCAAATCCTGACTCAGGTTAAATACACAGGTTATCAACAAAAATTGGATTTGAAAAATCAATAATGAACTTTTCTTGACCTTTTTAGGATTTCTAGTTAACTGTATATTTGAAGAGTGATTTGTCCGCGGCGTGACCCTTTTCCTAATCTGCCTCAGATCACGTGAGAGATCAGCCGAGTAGATCGTTTTGCCGAGGCGGAGCTCGATCCGGAAGCCGACGAGTCCAGAAGAAGAGGACACGACGGCGGTTTCGTCGCTTAGCTCCCACTTGATCAGCTTTGCTTCGGCGTCTACAAAACGGGTGAATATTGTTTTAGACCAGGGTCTCGAAAAATTGGACGCCGCGCAGCGGCCACGGCCTATTCATACTTTTTCGGTTTCCAGCTCTTCGGAGCGCGCCTCCCTTGGCCGCCAGGGCTCGGCGGCCACTTTATGATTCATCCCGCGCCTGACCAAATCAAACCAAGTTTTTTTTTGTGAAACCGATTTTTAAATAAAAGATCACTAAAAAAGAAAAATAATTCAAAATTTTGAATGAAAAATATTTCTTCTTTGAAGGATTAAAATGAAAATTTATTTAAGCCGTTAATTAGAGAATACTATATTTGCTTGATTCCATCTTCTTCTTTTTGAACTAGAACAGGTTTGCGCGACAATATGGGCAACACTTAAAAATTTCAAATTCACATTCTTTGATAATTAATTACTTGTTTTTCTAATCTTCCTTCTTCGATGCATTTCTTGCAGAAGCGATGTGAACAGTCAAGTATCACGCCTTTGTTTTGGACTAGTTTGGAGGCTAGTCTTGGACTAAGAAAGGCTAGTCTTAGACGAAGAAAGGCTAGTCTAAGACTAAGAAAGACTAGTCTCAGACTGAGAAAGGAGAAAATCTTTACTTACATCTTCATCGTAGAATCGTTCGATGCCAAAATCTACAAGCACATCTCGAAGGTGTTCTCTTGTGGCCGCGTCTGTTCCAGAATGGATTTTCTTGAACGAAAGTAGCCATTTCTCCAGAATTTCGGTTGTTTCATTGTATGAAACTAATAGAACGCCCATGAATTTTTCTGATCTATGATCATAGCCATCGCAGACGATTGAGGCATCATTATTGTTCAGGAGATCAGCAGCTAGAACTTTGATATCAGCGATGACTTCGGCGGACATTGAACTAATAATAAGGTTAGTCTCAGATTAACGAACTGTATGATCCACAACGAAGACTTACTCGAGGTTTTTTGCGATGAAGTAGCTGGAGATGCCGTCAGCCCATTTCTGATTTAATGCGGCAATAAGCTCGATCATTTCTTCAGACTCGAAGTGATTAAGAGGCAAGGCGCCCCTTGCAATTGCTTTTGTCGCAAGCAAGTATATCAACTTGTCCGGTTCCGAGTGATTGCGGGATTCATGTTTCTCATATCTGCATCGGTCGAGGTTCTTTGACTTTCGATCACTTCGTATACCAATGTAGAGAGCTTTTTCAGGGTTCAGACGACACTTTGGATGATCGCAGAGAACAAAATTCGTGGTGATTTCGACGCCATTTTCGATATAGGATAAGCGTTGAAGGTCGTACTCTCGCTCATTGTCATGTTTGATTTTTGTTCTAGAGAATATTCATGAACTTGGGAATTGAACAAAAGAAGTCTTAAACTAGCCAATCTGAGTCTAAAACTAGCCGTTCTGAGTCGAAAATTAACCTTTCTGAGTCTAAAACTAGCCCTTCTAAGTCTTAAACTAGCTTTGAACAGTAGATCCTTACTTTTTTAATGGAGTTGTGCAATTAGTTGTGTCCTCAAGCAATTCCAAGATACGATTTCTCGTTTTCTCTCTCTGTTTTCTTGGAGTCTCTGTCTGCTGGACATTCTCTTGAATCTCGACTGCCGGAGAAATAAGCGGCCCGACTCTCGGAGAAAGAAGTGGCCCATCATTAACAAAGTTTGTAACATCTCTGAGCACATTTTCCTCCTGATCAGGATCACTTGACTCCATTTTCTAGCATTTGAGCGACTTTGACAAAAATAACTTTCGGGTATACTGGGGAAAATCCTTTCAAACGCCGTTATTCGCTGAAAAAGCGTTTTTTTTATCCTTCCTCATCTCTTTTTTTTTCAAGGAAAAAAGATGATTCTTGACCCGAGATTGAAGTTTGGCCGCCAGTGGAATCCGAAGGGCGGCGGCCACCTTTGCCACCAGCGCGTGGATTCCAGAAATGCGTGGTGGCTTAGCGCGGGCGGCGCGCGGAGTATGAATCAACCCTGGCCGCCGCCTAGCCGCCAATTTTTCGAGACCCTGTTTTAGACTTTCTATCACTCTACTCTCGCTCCTACTCATATAAAATCAAGAAAAAAGAAACGAAAAGTTCTTCAAAACAAAACTCAAATTTTCAATTTTGAAGTTTCAAACTTGAAAACTTGGCGAAAAAACCTGCATAGAAAACCTGACTCAGGTTCTGAAAATCTTATGTGAAAAGCCGCGTAGCGGCTTTTCAAACAAAGCCGCGAAGCGGCTTCTGCAGAGTGTCAAAATAGGTGGAAATAGAACTTCTGCGAAGCCGCTCTGCGGCTGTGTTTTGAAAAGCCGCTACGCGGCTTTTCATTTAAGATTTTCAAAACCTGACTCAGGTTTTTTACACCGATTTCTGACTTTGAAATTCTAAGCCAAGACTTAAAATAGCCAAATTCAGGTTCAATTGATTTCGTAAAAATATTTCTGCTGACGTAAAAACAGTCTGAAACAGTATTTCGCTCGCGGGCTATGATCAAACGATTTTGCGCTAAACTAGTTCAAGTGGCACCCTCGTCAAAGCGGATGTTGACTTGCCGAGTTTTTTGAGCTTGTACGTAATCAACTCTCGACGCTGCTATTTGGGATTTATTTTCTTTTGCGTTTTGCTTACCGAAGAAAAGATCGGCCAGGACTGGAACCAGCGCCGTCTGCTCCGTGTTGCTCCGGCGTGAGAAAATCACCTCATTAGTAAACGCTTGGCTCTTAAAGAAGGGGATTTATGGATGTTTCTGTCGGATTACGTTCACACCGTTTCGCCAGAAGAAATTTTCATTTTCACGATGCCCATTTTTCTGCTCGATTCTTCGGAGGAAAGATCGATGACGTAGGAATTCTGGTTGCAAGAAGTGTGGATGGGACCGGAAAAAGGAGTTTGGATGAGAATGGTTGACCGAAGATCGCACTTTTTGTTCTCCCATTTGAGATGCAAGCTTGAGTTTTTCAGCGTGGCTTCCAGGATTTTTCCGGCAGCGGATTTAATCACCTCTGAAAATAATCTTCTCAGATTTGATTCAGCTTCAGGGGAGAGAGCATCAAAAAACTCGATTGATCATAAATTTCGCGAAATATACAAGTCATCGGGATTTTAAGAAATAGCGCTGTGACACCCTTATTTTCAAAAACTATAAAGAAGCCAGGAAAAGATCAGTTTTTATCAAAATTTTCATTAAAATATTGATTTTTTAGCTTAAAAAATATCCTCGTATTATCAAGTTCAAATAAGGGCGTCACTACGATAAGAAAAAAGGCCTGAAAAAGCCTAAAAAAGTTAGTTTGAAGCTTTTCGTCGATGAAGATTCATTAATCTCATATTTTTCTGAAATAATTCTTTTATTATTCATATTATTATTCAATTATTAATAATAATTTATTATTCCTTTTTGATAATAAAAAGGCTCTTTTAGATGAGTACAGCTTCTTTTAGACGTTTCGCTTGCTCACCTTTTTGCGGAAGAAGGATGCTATCTCCAGCTGTGGTATCTCGATCGCGGGCGAATATCATCACTGGCGATTGCCTCCTGCGGGTAGAAAGGTTAGTTGATTCAAATAAACTGAAAATTTCTCGAAGGCGACAACGTTTTTCTTCAAATTTCAAAGAAAAGAAGGGTCGAAAATTTGGTCTTGAAGTTTTTGAGTTTTTTTCAATTCGGAAGTTCTTGAACACGAGCAACGTAATTGCGCGGTTAATTAACAAGCGCCGGTGAGCTGGACTTCAAGCCTCTCCCGTGTACTTTTGGTATGTAGGGGCTATCACTTGATAGGAAGCGAGCATCATCCTCAGCGACCTCCAAATGCCTTGGCGATTTTTATCGACCCTTTTTGCACCTGCGGATACGTGGAATAGAATACACCTCGATCAATTATATTTTCTGAGAGCCCACAAAAATACAGTTTATTTTTTTTCAATAGGGTTTTTTAATTAAGTTTTCATGAATAACGAAGGCAACAGAAACTTGATCTATGAAACTACGATCTTTACAAATTATTCGAATTTTCAAATCAAGAAAAATGACCAGTTGAAAAAATGCATCATAAAATTATGGTTCTTCTATAAAAAAACGTTTTTATACAAAAAAAAAATGAAAATTGGCTGCGGAAACGTGGATAAGTTTGAAATGAGTTTACTTACCTAAGTTTGTCGCTCAAAAATATCGGCGGGTTGGCTCGCTGCAGCTGCCAGGTGCTGGAATCTGGGTTGTTTAGCGCGAATATGCTCAGCTCCATTTCATTGTTTTCAATTTTTTCACCATCATTATCATCATCGTTTTTGTACCAATCGACCTTTTTCAACGGCTTTTCAAAAATTTTTTTTTTTTAATATTTTTTTCAAAGAAAAGTTATTTTCGAGCTTTTTTCGTTGAATAATCTTCAAAACTGAAATCGTGCGTCAATAACCCTATTACCCCGTTTTCAGGTGATTTAAATTGTTTTTTAAAAAGCGGCGCCTGAACACCATCGCCGCTCTCCTTGACGTATATTTGTCGGATTAAACCTTCCGAAGACAGACCAGATGTCGGTGCCGCGCCCCTGATAAACATTTTTAGAAACAAGACGAATTTAAACTTTGCATAATTTTCAAATTTCCAGCCTCTTTTTACCTGTAAAAGGTGACTTGAGCGGAGCCGCGGGAATTGAACACTTCGCAGCGAGCAGATTGACTGAAGGGGAGGGACAGGATGGCTCCAGTTGCTGTTGAAGCGTTGTTGTCAACTGTCCATCTGAAAGGGACAATTTTAATGATTCTGTTAAAAAAAGGATCTTTCACAGGCATTTTCCCGTTAAAACGACACTGGTTATGTCGCCGAATCCCGCCGAATGTCGCTGAATGTCGCTAAATGTCGTTGATTGTCGTCGATGTCGTCAAAAAGGCAAAAAAGGGCGACATAAGCCGACAATTTTCGATATTCAGCGACATTCGCCGACATTCGCCGACATTCAGCGACATTCAGCGACATTTGGCGACATTTGGCGACATAACTAGTGTCGCCCGTTAAAAGGGGAGCCTTCTTTTCTATTCCTGGAGGAATGATATTCTGAAGTCTGTCCTCCGAAAATCTGGTTTTCGTAGCGGGTCATTTTTGAACTTGAAATGACACCCTTTTAGAAAATTCGTTTTAAAAAGCGCGTCACTTATTTACTCGTTAGCCACTTTTTTCATAAATCGCTTTACGCCGCTAGAAAAACATCTCTTTCGAAGCCAAAAAGCTTTGCCGAAGACAGTAGGAATTATGTTCTTTCAGTTGGCTGACATAACTAAGGATGAAAATTGCCATAAGAAAATGTTTTTGCGGGAGGGAAATTTTACGCGGGAAGTTATTAGAGCCCACTGCTTAGATTTCTCTTTCAACGAAAAAAATCGGGTCAAAGAGCCGTTTTTTCTAAAATTGAAATTATGCTGTTCTTATATTCAAATTATTTTGAACTAAAAAATAGAAAAAAGGCATTTTGCGCGTGTCCAAGTCAATTTTATCGCGACAACATTTTAAAATTTTAAAACGTGTTCCTCCGAGATTCCTCCGCCCTTATCAAGTACTTATCCTTTTGGTGCGTTTCTGCGCAAAGTGACGACCTTAGTACTCGGAGGCTAGCTATTTAGTGCTTCAAGGGGAGCGGGTTTCTTTTCAAGATAGAAAGTAAAGAAGGTACCCGAGCAAATATTTTCAACGATTATGCTTGCGAAAAATCAGAAAGAAGATCATCATCATGAGGTTCTCGATTCAACAGCCATAATTTTCCATTGACTTTTAAACTAGTGTCCGGCCCGCGGCTGAAAGGTAACGAAACTTCAATTATCGGTTACCTGATATTTTTTTGGTACCGGGTACAACAAACTTGGTACCGGGTAACCCGATCTGGGTTCCAATTTCGGATTGGTACCGGCACCGTCCGCCCCCGGATTCTTTTCATAATTTATGATTCATAAATTTAGAAAAGTTGCCCTCTGATTATGTTAAAAAATATTTATTCGTTGGCAGCAAAATTTGATTTTTTAACGAAGTCGGTGAGAACTATACAAGCACCACAAACTTGCTTTATTAACGAAAATATATATAGAAAAAATTTAGACTTTGTTTGATTTCTTCAAGCAAATATTATTCGTACCGTAAAGGTTCTGTCTAGCCCAAGCCTTAATGAATAAATGATGAAAATTTCAATTGAGATTCCATTTGGAATTATTTCGATCATTATCCCTCCTCAAAAAAAATTTCAAGAGATCGCGAAATGTCATAACATATATTATATTATATAATATAATTTATATATGATATAAATGCTATAATTATAGCCTAGAATTTTCATCATATACCTTCTATGCTCTTTCATCTTTACCATTTTTGTTACCTTTACCTTTTGGGCCCAACCCTCAATTTTGCGGCCAGACTCTTACCCAACTTGTTAAGATGAAGCAAAATTAATACTTTCTCGGAGTGACTTACCTATAAGTCGTTAGGTGATCTGCATTTGTCGGAGCACAGTCGGCTTGGGCACGTGGTTCATCGTTAGAAGCGGCGCCGCGCTCTTTCCGTAAACAAAATTACAAAGGATGACCTATCTTCCGTAGAAAAACGAAAGAAAGTAATTTTGTGTTTGACAGGGGCGAAAAAACACTTTTGAGTGGCTTATGAATTTTAAAATCTTCCTTTTTTTTAAATTCTAGCGCCAAATTCTTTCCCAAAAAAAGCCTGAATGGCTAATTAAAACCGGATGAACCATTCCTGTAAATCCTTCTTCGACATAATCGACCGTTCTTTTGACAATCGGCGGAACTCTATTCGAGTTCATTTGCGCGTCGTAGACGAGGACGGATTTCGTTGAGCTCCCAGCGCGGCTTTCCGCAACGCACTTGTAGATCCCTTCTTTGCCAAGCCGCAGAGTGCTCCTGTAACCACTTGCCTCCGTCATTCTACAAACAAACGATCTTTTTATTGTATTTTCTTGAATAGTATTCTTTAGCTAGAGAATCATAACTTATTTTTTTATTATCGATGATTTATTTTTTTTCTTTACAAGCTTGATGACCCAATATTAAGAGTATCAATAAAAAAGATAGCGTTGATAAACATAACTATTAAATGAAGTTTCAAAAAAATTAAATTTGACTGAATAACATTAGAAAAAGGGAGGTGTCCGGAACAGGCATAAATTTTCGACAAATTTTTCGTGGAAATTTTGAACCAATCAGATGCGTGGATTCGGTAAACCTGTCAATCAGCAGCCGAGTAGCCGCCCACGACGTGGGCCCCACGTAAATTTGTCCAAATTTTTTGTCGGTTCCTGACGCCGAAAAACACGTCATAGGAAAATCCTCTTCTTCAAGCAGCTTTTTACAAAAAATAAATTCTTATTTTATCAGAAATGTTGAAGGATCCGAACGCTATCTTAATTGAAAAATAAAAAAATATGAATTCTACCTGGTTCCGTCGAGCTCCCAAAAAACAACGGGCGTCGGTGATCCATTAGCGCGACACTCAATACTCGACGTGGGTCGACCAAGATCAGCGAGTTTGACGCTAGAAAACGATGTTACGAAATCATTTCTTCAGACCACATTTCCACCATCAATCATTGTCCTTTCTTTTCTTTCAACCCTTTTTTCACATTCACTCTTTTTGTCTAAGTTTTGAGAAGCGATGACTCAGCTGTTCTTCTTCCCCGATTTCCGGGCGAGTGTTCAAGTCACGTGAGCTTGGTTTATCTCAACTTTCCGGTCAGTCGCTCTGATTACAGTGAAAGTCCCTTCTTGGCACCTCGTTTTTGCCCGGAAAGTTGAGACTGTCATGTTTCTGAAATCGGAGCGCGGCCATGACTTAGTTGATCCGTGTCTTACAGGGCATTATCGCGCTGGAAAAAATATGCATGCACTGACTGAGATAAGAAAACGGATGAGTTGTCAAATGCAGTGCTACTATCTTGAAATACACGAATATTCAAAAATGGAACTTTCGTGCCAAAAAGAGGATAGTGACCAAAAGAACGCCTTTCAACTTGGACTTAGATGTTGACGAAAATAAGGGGGTCCTCAATGATAAGGCCTTGGTAGGGAAAGGTCTCCTGGCCTTAGGTTTTGGTCTTGGGGGAGGGGGCTTTACCCTTAACCTTAGCTAAGAGGTAGGCTCTTGACCCCCCATCGTTCCTCAAGCCACGAGACTCCCCCCTCTTTTGAACCCTCCCAGGGCCTTATGACTGTATACCCCCTTATTTTGTCACCATCTAAACTACCACCAACTCAGGGGACTTCTACCTCTACTAGAGGTTCTAGAATTTTTTATTCTTCTTTTATTTTTACCTTTTGGAAGACCTTCTATTTCAGGAGTTTGAAGAACCACCAACCTCGCCGAGTTAGAATTCACGGATCCAGCGACATTTTCGGCAATGCTTTTTATTGGCTCGAGTTTGAGAGACAAATTTATCGTTTGTAACCCTGACCAAAGTCTGCGGCTAGATCTTGGCATTGTCAAAAAGAAGGGTTGTATGTGATTACGCGTATTAATGCAGCGAGCGGGTTTACCCGTTACGCGACCCCAGGGATTTGTGTGTTTCAAAATGACCGAGAACGAGGTCGTATAAAATTCGCAGTCTTGGTTAAGAATCGCTTTAATCCCCGATTGAGCTGGATTATGAAAATGTTTTTGAGTTACCATCGAATCGGCTTTCTTTTAGACTTGAGTTTTATTTAAGGGGAGCGCAATTGAATTAAGGGTATCCCCTTGTTTATTCTTTCCGAAAATCTTCGCTAAAACTCGTCTTAGCAACCCGTTAGCAGATTTTTTAGTGAACCACAAATATTTTAAAAATTGCTGTTTACACTTTTTGATTAACTTTTGCTTGTGCAACAGTTCTGACCGGTTTTAAGATTCTCTTAGACCGCCCTTGAGACTCTTGAGAGTGTTTGAAAACAAACTCGAAGGTTCAACAAATTGAAGCAATCGAGCAACTTGAACTTTCTTGATACCGAAGGACTTAGTTATGAAAAAAGATTGAGCCCTGCCAAGTATATTTTCCATCGTCTTCCAAGCTTGAATTGAGGATTGTCAGGCCAGTTTGACTCGGCTAAAAAAGGGTTGAAGGCTGAAATATAGCGACAAGGAATCTTGTTTTGATGACGCGAGGGGTACCCTTAATCAGCTTTGTTTACGTAAAATTCGTTTTAAAAGTACCCTTCTACTTAAAAATTGAGCTTTTGAGCCGAAAATCGAGCGTCAATGACGCTGTCAGATTTTCGATAAGCGCGAAAAACGCACCTTCCAAAATTCCGTTCAAAATAATCAAAAACCATTTGCTGTATAAAATTTTATATCTTAGATAAAAAGAGTAGTCACTCTTGTATATATGATGGTCAAGAAAATCCGCAAAAATTCCTTTTTTTCTTCGAAGAATTTTACTGAAGCTGGGATTTATAAGATTTTTCTTTAGAATTTTTCATCCCGACTAGGGAGCGGGGAGAATAAAGGGATTTAAAGAAGAGCGAGATTTTTCTACAAAAATAGTTTTTAGTTTTCAATTTTCTTTTCTTAGATAAGTCTTGTGACTTTACGGTAAGCTCGATTTAACCAAAAACGTGGGTGAAATGTCAAGAGCGTAAAATGACATATGTTTAGAACTTCCACAGTGACAGGGCATCAGACCAGGCTGACAGTAATAACCGACCTGCTTTCTGTCAATGTCATATTGAGCGATTTCGATCGGAAAAATGTGGATGCACGCAGAAATTAATGCGGTTACTTAGAGGAGAATATAAACAAAATATGATTTTTCGAAATAATTACTTCAGTGATACCCTTATTTTCATCGGTTTTTGAAAGAAAATGAATAAGGGTGTATCTTAACTAAATAAGTAAGGCTATTTCTACAAACTTGTTTAGTGGAGTTACACCCTTATTCATTATCTTTTCTTTCAATCAAGAAAATAAGGGTATCACTATCATAATTCTTTCATATAAGGCTTGATAAATGCTATTAATATTACTTTATCTTTTGGAGGAAATATTATAGCGATACCCTTATTTTTACGTAGAAAATAAAGATTTTTGATGGAAAAAGAATCCTATCCCTAAGCTCGTTTCTAAAAGGGCTCCTGCATAACTCAAATGGACCCCTTCTACTGCCAAAAAAACAAACCAAAACTTCGTATTTACGAAGTGAGGTGGGAGGTTATCTGACTTACCCGGATGTTGCCGGTCGCTTTGATGGGTTGGTTTTCTTTTTCCCATCTGATAATCGGCGGCTTAGAGGCGCGGTCCAGAATTTTAAAGAAAACAACTCAAAAACTGATGAGACACACTAAAACAGGAATTTATACTGTCTATCTACTGTTTGTACTGAATTTTATCGCGGTCAAAAATGGCGGAGAAATTTGGACTCTTTGGCATCAACTTGTTGTCTAAAATCGTGTTATCTTTGGCTTACAAAAGCGCAAATATTTTCAGACAACTAGTCGTTTATTATTTCTCTCTTTTCAGGCAGATGCCGAGGATCGCTCAATTTGCGAGCTGTGGTGGTCTTATGGCGGCTTGCATTTTTGGGCTCTGTGAACGGGGCGAACCCAAAATCGCCATTCTAGCCGGAATCAGCTTGGTAATGGATTGTTGCATCCGTACCGTAGTTGACACGGCAATTTTTTGACCGGGTTTTCTCGGAGATAACAATTTTCAGTAAAAAACGAAAAAACATGTTTCCAGCGGGATTCGAATTTATGACCTCTTGAATCAAGAGTCTTGATTCAAGTTTTTTATTCATAATATTTTTCTTGTATTTTTTTATAAATTATAAATTATAAGACTTTAAATGGTTTTAAAATTTATGGTCACACAAAAATGAAACAATTAAAAGATCATGAAAGTAGCTAAACAGAAGGTGATGAGTTCGAATCCTGTTAGGAACATATTTTTTTCGCGTAAATTTTCGATTTTCGGAGCATTTGTACGTCAAAAACCGCGTGAATCTGAAATTTAGTGGAAGGAACGCGTTTCTAAATTGTGTGTGAGAAGAATTCAAACGAGTCAATTGAAAGTCCGCCATTTTTAACACTCTTGCCCACTCGGCCGCGGTATTTAGTGGACACGTTCAGCTCAGTTGCCCCGCGCACTCGTTGTTTCTAAAATTCGCGCTTCCGTGGAAATCATCAACAAAACGATTCTAAACTCTCATGACAGCAGTCACGATTCTGACCTTGGCGGTCTTGCCAAAACAAGAATCAACGGTGAAATTGACAGACAGTGCTCCAGAGAAATTTCGCACCTGGATGGGATTAACGTTCTTGTACGTGAGGCCGTAAACACGAAAAAAGCCAGCTTTCAACTTGAAAATTAAGAGTTTCTCGAAAAAAGAACAGGTTCTTCTGAAGAAACCTGAGTCAGGATTGGATACTGGGTCTTTTATTTTTCTATACTGAAAGTCTTAATCTGGGCTTGAAAACCTGTGTATGAACCCTTACTCAGGGTCCTAACAAGGCTTTAAATACATTTCTCAGGACCCTGACTCAGGTTTATACACAGGTTTTCGAGTCCAAATTGAGAGTTTTAGTATAAAAAATTGAAATTGCCTGTCTCCAACCCTGACTCAGGTTTCTTCACAGGTTTTCGGCGCCAAATTTCAACGTTTCAAAAAATTTTGATGAAGCCAACATGATTTGACCTTTTGACTGTTCGAAAACTCCAGTGAATCGAAAAACGCTCGTTCCAAAAAATTACAGAGTGTGTCTCAAAATTACTATTCAAAAGGGGATCTGGACCGAATCCGGAAAGCCTTTCGGCGCTTGACAGTCGAAGTGGACGGCTGTTATCATCGGATCAAAGTCAATTCACACAAGCGCGCGAAGTACTACTTCGTTCAATTTCAATTTGCTTCAATTACAGCTCAAAAAGATTTGAGATCTTGTTCGGTCAAGATCCAAAAAGTGGCTTGAGATGTTCATCAGTTGATAGTGGAATCGCAATTTTGCACTTTTGAACATGGAAAAAAGGTCAATGACGGGAGGCGGAAAATTAAGGGCATACAGACGTATCAAGCTCTAGAATATTTTAGTCAAAAAAGTGTAGCTCTTCTACTATAGTCTTTAGTCTATAGACAAAAAAATGAAAATTTTTATGTCCCAGATGTCGACAAATGTTGTTAAATAAAAAAATTCCTTCTGAATGTCAGAAGATGTCCTCAAATGTCTCGCAATGTCGGTATAATGTCCGTTGATGAAGAAAAATGGTGATATCAAAGGACATTTGGATACATCTGAAGACATTTTGTCATAAAATAGAGACATTAAGCGACATTTGAGTTCATCTTTGGACATTAAACTCATATTTCTGGACATGAGAGGATATTTGTTGACATCTGGAGACATTTTTGTGGTAAGAAATGCAAAAAAAAAATTTGAACTTGAACTTGACTTTGATCCGTTCCTTGGCCGATTCTGACCTCGACATCTTTTGGCTGCTTCTCGAATCGCTTCTTAATATATCCCGATTGGACGGTTATGTTCCGGGAAAGGGCGCGTCCCGAAACATTCTCGGCGATACACTGGTACGTGCCGGCCCAAGCTGCCTGCTTCATTCTTTCGGCGAGGGATGAAAAGCCTCGACAGATCCTCGCAGCTGTGCAAAAGGAGCTATGCCGTAAGCAGCTAAAGCCAAGTGCTTCTACAGTACAGATAAGCTTAACCCAAACTATGTGACGTGCATAATATTGGCCCCACACACGCGCCAAGTCTTCAAAGTCAAGAAATAACAGACTCTCATCAGACTCTCATGTTATAGAAGTTTTTTGTTGAATCCAGAAAAAGGGCATTTTTGTGGCTTTTGTGACTATTCTTCAGGCTTTTTTGAGGTTAACAAAGTGACACCCTTATTTTATTTCAAGAAACTTTGTTTTTCTATCATATGGGTATCCCCTTACCTCAAGATGTCCAAAAAAGAAAGCCGTGAAAAACAAGCTACTGTTAAATAAAAATTTTAAAAATAAGGGTGTCACTATGTTAAGTCTGGAAAAAAGGTCTGGATAAAATTTCTTGCTGACCAGAATTTTCAAAACAATTTGACACCGTTATTCATTTTCACAAGATTTTCCACGATTTTTTTTGTGACATCTGACCGCAATTGACACCCAAAGAATGAAGAGAATGTTTACGAAACTTTCATTTTGAACTCGAGCGGGGAGTTGTAATAATCAAAACTGTTTACTGCGCGGGCAGGCGTCGTCTACACAAGACACGTCCAGTCGGAATGAGCTGGAATCCTGTCACTGTGGCCGAGTGGCGAACCACACTCCGGTCGACATAAAAACCGACCGTTCATTGAGTTAAGGCCTTACGAGATTAACTCACTCGCCCGCCCAAGTATCAGTGGTGTTTGCGGTCCTGTAAAGACCAGTCTCTAGGAAATACTTTCGTCCATCAGTGCCACTATCAGCGAAAGTGAGGGGTTAAAAAACTGACGAATCTTACTCCATCAACATTTTTTCTTTAATAAGAACTCTAGCCCCCTGGGAGAGTTTAGCTTAATTGCTTGGACACAACTCATGGCGTGTAAAATCTGCTCTAGGCCCTTTGATTTGGCACATTTTCCACGAGATAATTAACCTGCCCATTACTTTCTTCATTTCTTTGGCGAACAAGTTCATCCCTCTTTCCTATCCGGCCATTCTGCTTTCTGGATGATCAGCGATCCGTCGAACATGATGATGCTGTTTTCTAAGTCTGGCTTGACTTCCACTCCGTCCTTTTTTCGGTTTTCAAGAAGAGACCCCTTCGTGTTCCTACGTAAAAGACGGCTACGTGGCTAGATGATTGACACTTTCGAGCGATATTTTGATCACAGGCTTTTGGTCGTACTCAGTGAAGAGCAACCAGCTGCCGGGGGAATCCAGCTCCTCTGAGTCCCCTCAAGAGTTCTTGGCCAAATATGACGCGAATTCCAGAAAGGATGATGGCGAGCTCTGAGCTTTGGGTTGCTTTTTGGAAAACCAGACTTTAACCAGCGGTATTCAGGCGGAGGATAGCCACTTGCAATGCAGTTCAATCGGACTAAAGAAGCAAATTAGAAAATTGTAAAAAAGGACCGAAATTGATTTTACAGCTAAGGCTACGTGGCCCAAGGATGAACAAGGGGACACATGCAGGAATTTTAACGATGAACAAGGGGTCGAGGTGTCAGGAACCAAAAAAATTCCTGACAAATTTTGCCTGGCATTTTTCAGCCAATAAAAAGCCTGGACTGGGCTTATCAGCCTATCAGAAGACGAGTAGCCGCCCGAGCAAAATTTATCGAGATTTCTTCGTCGATTCCTGATACCATCCCAACAAGGGAGGCTGCTTTTCAGCAGCTAATAGAAAGCTTTTATACTATTGATATTGATAAGTTAACAAGTGCGAACTTTAGGGAGCACCCCTAACAATTTCCACGAGCTGTTAACCTCAGACACCTTTCGTTCTGGCCAGATAATTTGCCGCGATATAATTACTATGAAGTAGCTTTGCGTCAGAAAATCATAATTACGAAAACGTGGATTGAATCAGGAAGCAAACCGTTCAAATTATTTTATCAGCGCTGAATAAGATTTAGTACGAAAGAATGATAAGAATACGCAGCGGGAGCTCCAAAGCCGCTCTGTTGTCGGAATAATAAAAAAACTTGAATGATAAGATCTATGACCAGCTTTTTTTGGAGAAAATTCGATAAACGTGAATATTCTTTATCAACCGAATTCACCTCGGTAACGACTGTATAAAGCGAAATAAGACAGAGGGCAAATTGAAGCCGGAGTCCCGGTCCATTCAATATTGAGCAGCCACAATATGCTTCTTTCTTTTTCATAAGAAAGATAATTAAACAGCCGTCTGAGATTCGTTTGCTTTATTTATTATTCAATTATGGTAATTATTTATTTTCATAAAAAGAAGGAGGACATGATTGATCTTTACTGTACTTGATCCTGAGTTCACCGAAAAACTCGTTCTGCCCTGGCGACAAAAACCTGCGTAAAAACCTGAGTCAGGGTTCTGAAAAGGTCAGCTAACCTGACTCAGGTTAACAAGGTTTTGAATCAAACCTTTGAACTAAAAATAACCATCAAACTTTTGATGGTTATTTTGGTGAAGCCGCTACGCGGCTTCATTTTTGAAAAAGCCGCTACGCGGCTTTTTGCCTGAGCTCTTCCAGGACCCTGAGTCAGGTCTTCTACGCAGGTTGCCAAGTTTATTTTGAGAATTTTTCGTTTTGAAAAGAAACTGGTGTAATCCACGTTTCGAACTTCCTCCTTGTCAAATTGTATTAACTTTTTCGCTTGCTGCTAAAAATTTGCTGGTCTGTGCGTGTGAACCGTGATTTACCCGATTTTGGGTCAAGGGTGTTGATTTGATCCACCGCGAAATTCAAAATCACAAGTCTCGGGCCATTACAGACGCGGCAATTAATCGCTCATTTAACTGAAATTAATCTTGAGCAGTCTCTTTGTTCGAGCCGGGGGTCTAAATGGGGACCATATGGGGGCCCTTTAAGCAAAAATAGAAAAAAAAATACAGAAATCAATAGTCGGTCTGCAGGGCGAAAAAAACACTGTCGGGGGAAATTCAATCAAATTTGCCAAAAAAGTATTTTTTTTTTCGTGTAAAAAACATGTTAAACTGACTCACGTTGCCTGACTTAGGGTCAGAAAGGTATCAAATGCCTTCTAAGCACCCTGACTCAGGCTCTCTGACTCAGTAAAACTTGTTTTCTACTCGAAAAAACGATTTTTGGGCAACTTTGATTGACCTACCCTTCCTGAGACAGGTTTTCACACAGGTTTTCGAGCCCTGATCGAAGCTTTTTCAGCCTTTCTTTTTCGAATAGAATTCCGGTTTTACTGAAGTACTTTTTTGCAGAGCGAAGGGGAATTAAAGAGCGATTAGGGTCGGAACTGACGATCCACCAGTTCCAGCCAGCGATCAAAATCCAATTTGAAATGCAACTTGGCGGCCGGAGCAGTACGTACCTTTATCGGAAGAAAGTCAAACGATTATGGCCAGCTTTAATAATAGTACTCAGGCGCTACGAAGCGCACTTGGACCCGCATTTGCTGACTTCGAGAAATTTCAACGTGTGTTTAGTACAAAAAAAAGAAGATAAAGTTCTTGAGACCAAAATCGTTAAATATTTTTCGCTAAAACATAAATTTTTGCATTGAGATTACCATTTGATCAATGTCAAAGTAGGGTGACATTCTTAAAAAGCGATTTTCAGAGAGATTTTTTTCAGAGAATTTCTTATCATATCCAGATTTGCAACAGATTTGCTGAGCTGAGTGAGCTGAGCTGATTGAGCTGAGCTGAGCTGAGCTAAGCTGGGCGACTTTCACTCACTTTCAATTTTCACTCAGCTCAGCTCAGCTCAAATATTTTCGAACAAGGTCTGTTCTGCTCACCTAGCTCAGACAATCATCACTTAGCTCAGCTCAGCTCCACTCAATGACCTCCAAAATAGCCCAGATCAGCTCAGCTCAGATAAAGTTTCATTTAGCTCAGCTCAGCAAAAATAAGGCAATTTTTTTTAACTTTGCCCATATCCCCTTTCTCCAAGAATTTCTCCTTCCGCCCTGATGAGTAGTAATATTTGCTCGTAGAAAAGCTCCCCCGTGCGCTAGAATCGTCGCTCAAATTAGCATGCGCTGTTGACAACGAACAAGAAACAAATCATATCTTGAAAAGAGCGACCAAGCTCCTCCGCGTTTTCTAGGGCGGTGCTCTTCCCCCTCTGGAATTTTGGAATTTGTCGAGTTACAGTACTTTTCCGAGTTGAGAGAAGTTGATCTTGATAACTTGGAGTTATCCATCAGAGCCGGGAACTTTCGAGTACCAAAAAAGTGGCAACGCCCAATCCCAATCAGGACGGATTTGTTTAAATTTTCTTATCAGTGGAAAAAATGATGCTTCGCACGTTTTTTCGGCATTTCAATGAACCACCACTCGCTGCATTCAAGCGAATCAAGCTGAGGAGAGCCGAAAAGAAAAAAAAAAGTTTTCTGAGAAAATTTTCATAGCTGTTTTCGTGACAGAAGTACTTGAGGAGAGCGAGCCACGTGTCAATTTATCCGTGAGCTTTTTGACACCGACTCTCCAAGTCCAGTTTTGGGGGCTCTACTGGGCTAGCGCTTGAATTTATTGAGCTGGTTAGAAATGACTAGGCAAAGAAAATCAGGATTTCTTAGCACAGTGACACCCTTATTTTATTTTTTCAAAAAGACGACAGGGTCCTTACTAGGCTCTTGTTCCTGTGTAGAAAACCTGAGTCAGGGTCTAAACAGGGTTTTCTAGGAGAAAATTCTTTCGAAAATAGCTTTCTTTGTCTTCCCTTATCTAACGCCTCTGGTAAAAACGTCAAGTTCTTGCAAAAAATACGAATTGAGCTTGGAGGTAAAAAAGACTAATTGTGAGAAAGGTGACTTGTGCGGTCATTTTCCTCGTAATTGCGCTAGCCGTCGTGAGCTGGGGTTGCCTAGAATTGAACCTGGAATTTAACCCCGGGTAAACGATTACTTCTCCACTTCCCCATGCATAAATTCAAATGAGCTTCTTACTTGTATCGCCTCTGTTGCCGATGTGATCAATTGGATTTTGAAGAATCTTCGGGCTCATCACTTTTTCTTCCTTTTTCGATCTCTTATCATTCTTTCCTTCCGCGGTTGGAAATCCAAGCAAAAAGAAGTTTAGAAAAAATCTCATTTTCTTTCGAAAATCAAGTTCGTTATTTGGAAAAATTAAAAAAGAAACCAAAAAAAAACACAACAAGATAAGCTTAGGAAAAACCGCCACGCTCTCTCTCGCCCCGGGGTTGATTACTTTTTCGGCTCAAGGGCGCCCCCGGGTCCCGATTTTTTCCAAGGGGTTCTGAGCAATAAATCAAGGAATCAATGAATTTGAGCTTTGGAGCAAATGATGATACAATCAATCTTCTTCCTTAGAAGGACTTCTATTTTTATCATAGAAGGAACCATAAAACTGATTGCTATTTTAAATTTATATAATTTTGGTTTATTACTAAAGTCGATTACTAACGAGTATTATTGCTATTCAGAATTCGGTCGACGACGTTAATTATCGTTATTACTATCATAACAATTATTAATAGGGTGGGGATACAAAAAATGGACTTTTTACTCGTAGGAGCAATGATAAAAAATTTTTGGTAAAAGATTTTTTATGGTCAACCAAAAAAAATTCTTGAAAAAAAAAATTTCAATTTTAATTGTCACGTGATGAAAATCGCCATTGTAAGTGCCAAAAATGCCAAAATCGTCGAATGAAGACGGATTTTTTTTATTCTCGGATATGTGATAGAGAATTTGATTCTGGATCTGTAAATTACTGTAAAATATAGGATTATGCTGTAAGACATAAGTATTGAAAGACATATAAGTACTGTTTTTGACTCCTTAGACTACATTTTGCTGGTTTTAGGTGTAAAAACTTACTTTTAAAATAAGCATGACGTCATTGTTGATGACTCATTTTTCAAAATTATTACGTAATTTGGCATATAAATGGTCATTATGGATCTTTAGGAGGTCCATTCCAAAAAGATTTTGGTACCATCAGATTCAGAATTGAATTCTCTATCACATATGCAGGAATAAAAAAAATCGATCTTCATTCGGCGATTTTAGCATACACTTAGTGCTTTCCCACGTGACCTGAAAAAATTTCAAAAAAAAATTTTGTGTCAAAAATTTTTCTAGGGCTGATTCCATCTTGTCACCAAAAATAAAGCCTCTACGACGTTTGCTGAGAAAGTTCATTTTTTTGTGTCCCCTCCCTAATTATTAATAATTACACTCAAAATGACAAACTCAAAAATCAATCAAGAAAACCTTTAATTTCAGTCTTTTGCTAACCGAATGAAAGATCATAAATCTTGAATACAAAGGTTTTTTACAACATCTTTATTCTACAATTCTCCAATTCCCAATTGTTTTCTTGTATACTCAACCCTGCTTTCAGTCATCTATTCTTTTTCTATTCTGCGTGTGATTGTAAATCAATGCGTCCCAGAAGCTGCTGCAATTGCAGCACAATTTATCCACTTTATGTCGAGGCCGATTTTATGCCGACCGCGGCGGCGATTTATTGCACTTCTTCTCCGCGGGAGACGACGTTTTCTTATCTCCTGCTGACATCCTATCCTAATTGATCATCCTCTGAAGCTCAAGAGCCCTCTGATGCTCCTCCTTCTGATCAAGAAACATGACTTTGGCTTAAAACCTGACTCAGGGCCTTGAAGATTCTGAATGAAAAGCCGCGTAGCGGCTTTTTCGAAAATAAAGCCGCGAAGCGGCTTCGCCAAAATCAACATTCCTTTTTTTTTGGTTATTTTGGCGAAGCCGCTTCGCGGCTTTGTTTAAAAAAAAAAGCCGCTACGCGGCTTTCCATTCAAGGTTTTCCAGGCTCTGAGTCAGAGCCTCTGACTCAGGGTTTGACGAGCCGAAACCTTCAAGAAACCTCTAGAAGAAAACTCTAGAATCACACGTTTCCGAAAATGAAAAAGTCAAGAATTTGGTTCACTATGATGACTCGGGAAATGAAATTCCAATTGTAAAATGAGGAACATTTTGCCTGTAAAATTCTGAAGAATCGACCGCGGATGGAATTCCTTCCTCTTTGGTTAGCGTAATTATCTTTGAGTTGAGGGTTGTTATCTTTGCCATTAGCTCTGAAATTCTGAACCGCAGATTGAAAAATGTGAGCTGAAACTGTTATTTCGACATATAATGACAAAATCTTGGAAAAACCAATTAACCTTCTCTGAATTGAAATTTGCATCACTGTTGCTGCATCAGTATTGTTGAGAAAAATGACAAATCAAGTCAGTATTTCTACCAAGAAAAAACCAAGGAGATTTTCTAGTAACAAAAAATTTTGAAAAAAAACCATAAGATATCAAGATTATAATTGATCATCTATTTTTGATACTTCGTTTCGTTGATTAGCTTCTAATATGAGCATTACCTGGTATATAAGATAAAAACGCTTAAAATTAATATACAAGATAAAATAATTTGAAAGCCATATTTCACTATTAACTGTCAAAAAAACATTGTCGGGTGTCCCGATTCGGGACAAACCAAGAATAGGAACAATTAAGATACGACGAGACACCAAAGGAGCAAAAATGATTTTTGGAGCCAATAAGATTGCTGTTTCAAAACCAATCCATCAGAATCACTCCTCTGGTGGACAATACTTTCTTATTCGCTTCTTTGTTGTCGCTTCCTTTTTTGCTCACTCCTTTGGTGTCTCATTTTCGATCCTCGTATCTTTTCGTTCTAGTATTTTCATTTCTCCCCTTCTTCAAAGAATAACAAGCATTCGATCAATCATCAAATCGAATTCAGCAAAAATTGACCATTTCGCAAAAAAATGGTGGAAATTTTAGAAGCTCGGAGGTCGCGACGCTGCGGTCGAATCGGCCGCGCCCAGGAGAAAAAACCGCCAGTTCTTCTTCTTCTCGCTTCGCGCCTCCATCCATCAAGTTGGCATCTGCGCCAATTGATGAGTTTAGTCCCGAATATTGATCCCCTAACTCGACGAGGAGCTCAAGACAAGGGCAAACGAGTCGACTCTGGCAATTACGAGCCTTTTTTTGTCGGGAATTTCGTGAAATACTCGTAATTCTCCGAGTTGGAAAATTTGGCTCGATTTTCTCTCGATTTCATTTTTAAGGACCCCCCATCAAGAATTGCGAAAATGGGCCTCCTTGGAGCTAGTATTTCTCCGAAGCTATCTTATTTACACCCTTAATTTAATTGGAACTCGAATTTAACACTCGACTACAAACGCTTCCCTTATGATGATCCCGAAAATCACGGTTGTTCAAAAAATCTAGTTCTACCTCCTCAATGATATACAGGCCGTTAAAGATCAGGTTGATAGGATCAAGCTTTTTCAGGGATTTAAGCTGAGGGAAACCCTTAATTTTTTTCAGGAGAGAGCTAAGGCTCTAAGCTACCACCGTACCCCTTTGGAAAGTTTTTTGTCAACGAAAAATTAAAATAATATTCAGAGACTTTCATAAAAAAAATAATGCAAATTTTCAATCTGTTGAAGCTGCTTTAAAACCATCTGAAGAGCCGGAGACTCTTAAGCCAACGATTTAACCCGGTAACAGGCGCGTGGCCGTCTCACGGCCACGCGTGGAAATGAGTAGCCAATCGCATGCCCGGATCCATGTTTTCACTCAATCACAGACAGGCAAAAGCGTAGGCAAAATCGACCACCCTGTTAGCGGGTTAATGATTAAAATCAAGCATTCTCAATTTTTTCGAAAAAAATTATTTTCGGTCGATGATCCCTTGTTTTCAAAATTGGCGGGTTTTTGTCAAAATACTCGTAATTCTGCTACTCGTAATTGCCAGAGTCGACTGTACTCGTCGCTCGTTTTTAGCGTCTGAAATGACAGCTTAGGGGAATTTTCGAATAAGCAAATAATGAGAAAGAGTTCACTAGAATCCTTCGCTTTGAGGGGTCCCCAAAAAAAACTGAAAAAAAGATGAGTCGACTAGAAATTTAGGTATTTCCCTCTTTAACCGACAAAAAAATTAAGACAAATTTTGCGTGGAAATTTTCAACCAATCAAAAGCCTTGATTTGGCTAACCGGCCGATGAGCAGCTAAAAAGCCGCCTACGCAAAATTCGTCGAAGTTTTTTTGCCGGTTAAAATGGGAAATACCTAAATTTTTTCTCGACTCATCTTTTCCTTCAGCTTTTTTTGCGCAATCTCGTTTGATGTTTCTAAAAAGCGATAAGCCGTTTAGACCCTCTAACGAAAATATTTCTTCTGGAAAGGTTTCCTTACACAAATCTCCACCCTCAGATCGGAAGTGCTATCCAATCACTTCTCTTTAATCTCTCCTCCTCTCAACGTGATTACGTCTCTTTTCACGAAGCTACCTTTAAACTCGTCAAATCGTCAATTAGCTTGTAATGAGCTTGTTTATCTCCTCGTAATAATCCTCCTCCAAACTGCTCATTAGCGAAATCAACACAAATCCATGCGAAATCGTCGTAAAATGCCTAAAATTCTTAAATTCTTGTAATTTCATCTTGCTTCATCGAAAAACAAGAAAGCTTCGGAATTTCGAAAGCAAAAAATTTAGAAGAAAGTTTTCGAAGAACGCGAAAAACGTGCACTTATTAAAAACAAAGAGGCAAAAAAAAATTTGCATCGAGAATTGTTATTTCATGAATCATATTTTATGATTTTTGAAGAATAAATTTGATGTAAAGATTCACCTCATTTGCGATTTCAATAATTCTTCTCTGAGTCAGAAATTTTCATTCAAAAAAATAGATTTTTATTTCTTTAAAGTGTAAGGCCACGTGGCTAAAAGCTTGAACAAGGCAATACATTCGGCAGCTAAGAGGATGACTTAGGCCATCAGCTGTTAATATAATATAATATAATATTTCTAGTTCATAAAACAGTCTTTCGATAAAGGATGGAGCTCGAAAACTGAAGAGTTCAAAATTTTTTCCGACTTTCGACAGATCCGACTCCAAAAAAAAAGAGCATCATCAACATGGACTATCATCTCCTTTCGGAGACTTTTGCATAAACGATTCGATCATAATCTTCTTACCACGACGGTGGAGATCCGGGTTCTTGACAGGCAGAAGAGACAAAAACTGGCGCCAATCCTTGACGCAATTGCCGGTTCCAATCACTGATAAAACTAAAAAAAACGGTAGTAGGGATAAATGTTTCGGCAGATTGCCGAAATATTGTGAGGTCATTTTCTGATAAATATTTCGGCAATAGCCGAAACTTTCTTCACTTTTTCACTCTTTTTTTGCAAAAACATTTCGGCAAGCTGCCGAAACTTTTTTCACTCTTTAGTTCGTTTCTAGTAAAAATATTTCGGCAAATGAAAAACATTGCATAACATCGATTTGAAGAAAATTGGTTCAAGAAGGATTAAGGTCGGATAAGCAAAAATTGCTTATCAAAAAGGGAGATTTCCTGCACTCGATTTTCCTTTATTTTTAAATCATTAAGCTAGATATTTCAATAATATGTTTTCTAAAAAATTATCAAATCTAATTGTCCCTTACCTCGGGGCTCCGCCCCTCGGTCCTAAGATGCCGGGGTCTAGTCTAGGGTTACTTAGGGTTACCTTTGGTAACCCTAACTAACCCTAGCCTATCCCCCTCGGGTAATTTATTCCGTCATTTTGCAGGTGCCCCCTAACCCTAACATTTATTTAAGCCAATACTACGCTTTTAATTTTTTATATCGAAAATATATCTTTGGGGGAGCCTCAACTTTTTCTTTGCTTTTCTAATCGGGGCATAATCATCCTCGAATGCATCTATTTTTGCAGAATGAAGAGTGAAGCGCTAGAAAAAAACTCTTCTGATTCAGAAGTTCTAAATATGCGAGAAGAGAAGAACTCTAGATTTTGGTAATGAACATTCATTGGACGTGCATACCAGCGCGCATCAGGATGAGAATGAAAAAGCCTGCCGAAACTTTTTTGCTTTGAAGGCGGTTAAGGGGGTAGAAACAGCTTTTGCCAAAGAAGGAATTTTAAAAATTTTTTTAAAGATTTTGATAACGCAATGCATGAAGAATATAATTTTTATCAAAAACTTTATTCTAACTTTGTTGGAACGCTTTTAAAATTGCCTTTAAAATTGAAATTTTGGCGCAAATTTGAGTTTTTCGAAATTTAGGGACAGTTAAAATCGTTTTATAAGGGGATAAATGCGAAAAGGATAGATTTGCTTGGATCACATGATCATCTTGAATAATTTTGGTAGGACCATAACTTAAGGGTATCACAAAAAAATGGTGTTTAAAACTCAAAATTTTGAAAATTTGAGACCCAAATTTCAATCGGCCTCGCAACATTATCATTTTTCATGATTACGCAATTTCAATCATAGATGCTCCTAGAAAAAGGGTTGAACTATCTAAAAATGAAATTTTAAATTCTCGGTTCATCACATGACTCGAGATAATTGTGTTTGAAAATGGGCAAAAATCGGGACTTTGGAGGAGATGGGTTGATGTTTCGCTCTCTAGCGCTAAACTGGCGAAACAAAAAATAATTTTAAAAACAGATGCTCTTAGATCTAAGATAGATCTAACTTAAATCGAAGAGAGAATTTAAAAATCTAAGGTTGGGTGAGCTTGGGCGCTGTTCAAAAATCGGCTTTTTTCAAAAAAGCTGTTTCTACCACCTTAATTCTGATTTTTGTTTCGGCTCGTGCCGAAATGTTTTGCCAGAAAAATGAGTGAAATTTGTATTAATATTTCGGCAGGCTGCCGAAATATTTATCACATTTATGCCTTCCCAAGTGACTTTCATTTCGGTCGCGTTTGCCGAAACTTTTATCCGTACTACGAAAAAAACGATAAGACCCTCCCTATTACGAACTGCGAGGACATACGGTTTCTTCGAAATAAGGGGCTTTTGGCAATCTGCGCGCGTCAAAATTCAAATTGAGCAAAATACAAATCGGTTCAATTTGATTTGATCCAACTCATTCACCACTCAAATAGATAGAGTGAGAAAATCATTTCCTTTTTTTTCGAAAAATGAGAGTTTCTCATATTTTGCTTTTTTCATTTTGCTTTGCAAGGGATAATTTAGGTTTGTAAGGATTTTTTTACTTTATTCTTTTTTGAGTCAAAATATTTTTTCTACAACTTTTTACCTCGATAACGAAGAATTTCTTTCTCTCGCCTGATTGGCTCGTTTCAAAAATTTTTTCTCGGCCAATCAGATCTTGATAAAAATTTTCGTTATCGCGGAAAGTCGCTGTAACTCTCTACTAATAAATTCACTAAGATTGGTCGACAATGAAGAGTTTCAACGACGACGAAGACTTCATATATGCTCATGGCTACATGGCACCCCAAGAATTTGAGGAAAACCAAAACAAGAAGAGTCTCAAGAAAATCATCTTGGATCAAAAAGACAGCGCAGAGTTGCCGCTAAAGAAGCTTCTCCACGAAATGAAGCTTGATTTGCTTCAAGATGCGACATTTTCTCATTTTTCTGAGAACAGTTTCTAAATAAAATATTTCTTATGAATCTTCAAAAATTTTGAAAGTCAATAAAAAGCCCCTCCTATCCCCTTTTAGGTTCAGCTTCTTCGCATCTGCATAAAAAATTTCAGCCCGAACGACGTGTTTTTGACGTTTAGGTCTGGCCTTATCGTTCTAATGATTGGTCTTCAAAACGTCTTGGCGGGCACGTCTGGCCGCTGATGGTCGTAAAACCGCGGTAAAGGTGGCAAATCATGTTCCATCGCCGATTTTAACTGTTTTTCTAACATCAAAAAGGTTGAAGCGATATTCGTTCGGCCCTACTTATCAAAAACAGGCCGAAAATTCAACTTTAAATGATTTTCGACAGTTAAAATACAATGCTGACACCCTTAATATTCGAAAAAAAGCTGTTAGATCGACCCGGTAGTTGAAATTCTGCTATAAATCTGTAATAAATTCTCTAAATTTGAAGCTCTAACCAATAAACAAGCTTTATCGAAGTCCAACTTTTCGATTGAAAATTAAGGGTATCAATGATACCGTATCACTTTGTTAACTAAGGAAAAAAAATACTCGAAAAGTGCGACTCTTATTGGCTTCCGCCCTTGAATGTCCTCTACGTTACTTGACTCGAAAATATTACAGCAAAAGATGACCTTGGTCGTCATTCCCCAACCGGTAGTCTCCCTCGAACAAGTTTAATCCCCCTGTCGCCGGTTTTTGATCTCGCGGTGGTGGTACGTCTGAGCGCGCGTTCGATCCACCGCGGCGCTCGTGAAAACTCGCTGCTCACCAGCGCCATTTGTCCGCTAGCGGCCGCGTATATAAAAAACGACCAAGCGCGTCATCGTCAATCATCTCCGATACAAGCAAGAAAGAAAGTACGAATTCGTCTTTTGCCACTTTTTGAAAAAAGTTTGAATTTCATCGTTAGCGCTTTTTCGCAGTCAAAAAAAACGAAGAAGACAGAAAAAATGAGATTGTTTGCTACTATCGCTGCTTTTGCCCTTGCCCAAGACGAAACCTGTAAGTAAAATTATGGTTTTTATTAATTATATTATTTTAACATAAATTTGAATAAAAAGATAGAAAAAAAATTTCTGACAAAATTTGAATTAAAAATTTGATTGATTTTCGAATAAAAATTAATATTTTTTTTAAGTTAGTGAAAAAAATATTTTTATTTAGAATTTTGAAATAAAAAAATAATTTTTTTATTAAAAATTTTTTTCAGCTTGCGGCCCAAATGAGCTCGATTTCGAGGGATTCTGCCTCGAGCGAACTCCCGAAAACCTCTCCTGGGCTCAAGAAATCATGAGTCTCTCCGACGGCGACGGAATCGAGCGCACCAAGCGACGATCTCAGCGAATGACGATGATTTTGGCAAAGGTGAACTTCGACACAATGTTCGACGAAAACGGCGAGAAGCTCCGACCGAAGCGATTCATTGAGCGCATCAACGAATACGGCTGCTACTGCTGGGCCCGAGCTGAAGACAAATTGAACGGCTACGGAACTCCCCTCGACGCTCTCGATTCTAGCTGCCAGGCGCTTTCCAAATGCCACACTTGCATCAAACTCGACTACTCCGAAGAGACCTGCAACCCGCACACCACCAAGTACAAGGCAAAACTCACGCGAAACAACGGAACGATGGAAGTCGAATGCACGAACAAAATGAACAAGAAAGAGACCAACAACGGCGACTGCAAACGAGACCTCTGCGAGTGCGACAAAGCTTTTGCTGATAACTTTGCTAAGGGATCAAAAACAAAGAAAAAATTTCTGACGAAAAAGTCGAAAATCCGACTTGATATTATTTTTGAAACGTAAGCCACTCGCGGCTTTCCTTTTTCGGTAAACATCAGATAGCCGCTGGTTGAGTGCGGCTTTATTTTGATGTTTCTCGATTTTTAAGGGTGTCAACAACGATAAGGGCGTTTTTTGATTCACTTTATCAATCCCTATGCTCATGATTTGAAACCCTTTTGTTCCAAATTTTGATCCATGAAAGCTCAAAACTTCGCGGAATTCTCCCCCTCGAACTGGAAGCTGATGGAAAATGGAATCTACGACGAAAAATGCGAGAAGCCAACTCCCGCCGCTTCCCGAGTCATCACTGGACCGTACGACTCCGTCTCCCCCAGCCCCTTTTTAACCCTTCTTTTAGATCTGACCAATGCTGTGGCAACTACCCACTACGAAAGCCATTCCTCTCGCTCAACAACCAATGCGTTGATGGGCAAATTACTAGCCTTGGAAACCAGTAATTCGAGCTTCTACTGAGTTTCTTTTTTTTCTAAATGTTTAAATTGCACAACAATTTTTTCGCCAAAAAGCCGAATTTTTTCGATAAAAAAGCTAGATTTTTTGACATTAACGACATATTTTCAAAATGTCCAAATTTATGCAGTATCCTTTTGTCGGTTTTTCGAGTCAAAATATTTCTCGACCTGTTTTTCGAGTCAAAATTTTAAAAAAATTTTATATTTTTTGAGTCAAAAAAATCTTTTTTCAAAAATTCTAGCGGCTTTTTGGTTAAAAATTAAAATTGTCTTTTGTAAATAGAATAATTATTATTTTTGTAAATATTGATTTCGCCCGATACACAAAATCATTTTTTAAAAACGCATCATTTTTTGGAAACTGCTGAGGATTTTCGCCGAAATGAAGAAAACAAACTTGATGGCCATTGATCTGCCTGCCGATGGTTGGAGAGCGAAAAGAATCAGAAGATTTTTCCAAGAATTTAAAAAACACACTTTTTCATGCAAATAAATATATTACACAATCAAACACAAAATCGCCAAATTGTCATTTTTTGCAAAAACGCAGTAACTATTTGCATTGATGAATTATTAGAAAAAGGGAAAATGAAATACCATGCTATTTGCGCCCGTTTATTTGCGTTTTGAAGCATTTTTTACTAATATTTTACGAATCGAACAGAATTTTTAGACATAAAATTTGGGTTTTCTTTTGAAATTTGAAGAGATATTTCGAAAATGGATAAATTTTCGATTGCAAACGAGTTTGTCCATCAAAGCAATCATCAGGGTTGTGGTCATTGCTATTATTGTAAAAGGTTATTTATTTAATTTGATGAGGCTGATATGCTCTTTAGCTATTTTGAGAAAATGTGGTTCTTTAAAAATTGGGATCCAATCTGTATTCCATGCGCACAAAACAGGCATCGAAATGAATTCAGCACTGGAAAACAAGAGCTCATTACTTCGACCTTCAAATGCCCTGCGAAAAAGTGCTCGAACACGAATCTCTCCTTCCGCGATTTCGTCAGCGGAATTTGCTGCTTCAGTGACTACAAAAAGCCTGTGAAATGTATCCATTCGAAAGGGACGATTATCTTCTCCTCGAAATTGCCAACAAGTTCACAGAACAAACAGATTCTAAGCAAAAGCAAAATTTGGCAAAAATGCTTGAAACCAAAAAAGAGGCAAAAAAGCTCAAGATGCTCTTATTGCAGCTAGAAAATCAGTCGATGAAGCTGATAAAATTTATAAGGAGACGAGAAAAGATGACACAGAAATCAGAGCTCTGCTTGAAAAGACAGTCGAGATGATTAACAATAAGATCTCGAAGACGCGTAATAAAAAAAATACTTATTTTTTGGTAAAAAATCTATCTTATTAAGAAATTCTTAATAAGAAATTGCAGGGGAAAATGGAGAATGCAACGTTTGCTTCGAAAAGTACAACAACGATGAAAGAATCCATTCCACCCTTCATTGTGGCCATCGATCCTGCCTGAAGTGCCTGACTGAACTGGCTCCAAAGAACTGTCCGATTTGCCGAAAAGAATTCACAAACGTCCAAATTATCCGTCTTTTCTAGTCCCCATTTTTCCTACTCAAAATAAAAACTCTCACGTGACAAAAATATTTTCCCACGAAAATCTGTCTACCAGACATTTCAGAGATATCATACATGTGACATGTCGCAATTCTATTTTTCCTCTCTTTTTGATAAGCAGGGAGTATTACAGGTGCTCTTACTCTCCTATTTGATTTTCCTGGCAGTTTTTCAAGTACCTCCGACCGGAACCACGTTGTCCAAAAAAGTGCTTTCTTCGAAGATTTTTTCGAATTTCGACTTTTGGCCCAAAAATTTCAAAGTGATCGAATTTGGGCAAGGGAATTTAATACGAGTTATATTTGATTTATTAAAAGTTTTAAGGCGCTGCATAATTTCTCGAATTATGAAAAGATCCGATTGCGAGAAGGCCGGTTCGGGATTAATCACTCGGCGACCCAGGTTACGCTGTAATCGGGCACTCTTAGAATCACGTTTTTTTTAATCGCTCTGAGCTCCAAATGATATTTCAATGGCTGTTTTTATTCATTTCCCGACAAATTTTGCGTGGAAATTTTCAACCAATCAGAGGCCTGGATTCGGCTCATCGGCCAATCAGAAGCCGAGAAGCCGGCAACGCAAAATTTGTCGAAATTTTTTTTTTCGGTTCCTGACGCCACCCCGAAAAATTATCATTTTTCCAATAAGGGCGTTACTCTCTTATCATCAATCGCGAGAGGTCTGCACTCTTTTTTACGCTCTAGAAACGTGTGATCGTTTAGAAGCCTGTGGCACCTTAATTTCATCACGTGGACACCTTCTGTAATGAAACTGGATCGGGACATTCCAGATCTCCAGATGAGAATTTAAAAATATCACAAATTCGATTTATTATCCGCCGCGCTCGTCTTTCTCCGCAACAGCTACCGTCGAAAAAAAGGACAACTAAGAGTTGTTGATTAATTTTTAGAACACTTGAATTCCGAATTTTTCGCTTCTCGAAAAAGCAGCTGCGCCCTTTTTTACATCCTTGTTACGCGTTTCAGCTTGAATTTACTACTAGAGCTTCTTGTAGACGCAAACCAAATTCAAGAAACGGACGCGTCTTTTTCTGTATATTCAAAAGACAGAAATACAGTTCCTTGATTTTGACGGCTAAGGAGCAAAAAGCCGCTTGCGGCTTCGAGGAAAAAAGGACAAAAAATGGGAAGTTTTTAGGAACCGACAAAAATCCGGACAAATCTTGCTTGGAAATTTTCAACCAATCAGAAGCCTGAATTCGGCAAACCATCCAATGACCAGGCGAGTAGCCGCTCACGCAAATTTTCGACAAATTTTGAGTGGGTGGCTACTCGGCTGCGGATTGGTCCATAAGAAAAGTCCAGGCTTCTGATTGGCGTAAACTTTCCACGCAAAATCTGTCGAGATTTTTCGTCGGTTCGAGACAACTCCCCTTCGACGAATTTTAATAAGAATTTTCGGCGAAAAAATGGCCCCCCTTTTTGGAAATAGCTTAGCTTAGCCAGCTCATTGATCGAAAATAGAATTTTTGAACGATTATTCTGTCACATTTTCATGTAAATAAAAGTAAAACGTCGCTACAATAAAGATCGTTTCTATTTGTTTATTTTATCGGGCCCGAAAAAACAAGGGGGAGAATTCCTAACTACTGATCGCATTTTATTATGACCGTAGGAAAACTTCAAGAATGGAAGAATTGCAACTTGAAAATGAGCTTTTGCGAGAAGAGAACGAAAATCTGAAAGAGGCAGTGCGATTATTGCACGACGAGCACTTCCAAGTTGGAGTCGAGTATATTTATGAGCCGCAGGAACTGATTACAGAGAGGCACTTAGCGGTTTGACAGGAGAAATTAACCCGTCCTTTTAATCGGTCGAAAGCGACTTCAACGGCAATTTACAATGATAAGGGAAAAGACGACCCTGGCTCAACAGCATGAAAGATCCATAGGAACGACTTAATTAATGATCAAATTTGCTTTTTTATTTATTTCCAAAACCATAAATCTTGCAAGATTATGTCATTTATTGATTTTCTTGACTTTGATTCTTCGATTTCTTTTCATAAGACTAGCTAATTATTGCCCCATAATTGACGTTAGAAAATATGAGTCATCAAAAGAAATAGAAGATCTCAAGCAAAAATCGAAGAACTCAAAAACATCAATTACCAACTCGAATCCCGACTCATGGAGCAACAAACTGAGCTCGACAACTGCTCTAGAAGCCGACATACAGTTGATAACGAAATGTACCTGCTGCAGGTCGAGCTGGAACGACTCCAGAATCAGAAAAGAAGTTCCGATTCACAGGAAAACGAGCAATTCAAAATGATGAAGGAGCAAAATGAAAATAACGCGAGAAAAATTGAAGAGCAAGAGAAGGAAATCGCGAAGATGAAAAACTACCTTGAAATGATGAAAGTCGAGCGGCTTCAATCAGAAATCAGATTCAGCGAAAACGAAGCAAAAATCAAGCAAGAAAACGAAGAATATGTTTCGACGCTGAAAAGTGAAATAAGAATTTTAATCAATGAATTGCAAATTTCGAGAATTCAAGCGGGTAAATTCAACAAAAATATTTTAATTTTTATTTTTTATCAGTAATGGAAGATAAAAATTTCAACGATGAAAATGCCCGGAAAATCGAAGCTCAAGAAAGCGAGATTCAAAAACTTAAAGCTCGAGTTATTCAACTTCAAGACGAGAAGATGAATTTTGGTAAATTAAGATTATTCGAAATTCCTTATTTTTGCTTAGAAATGCAAGAAAACTCCGAGCTGGAGAGACTCAGAGAAGAAAACAGAAAGCTGGAAGCGGGTCATGACGAAAACGAAAGAATCGTAGGAGAGTTGAAGCAAAAGAATAAAGAGCTTGAAGAAGAGCTTCGAGTTCTGAAATCGACAAATAATCGACAAGAAAAGAAAATTGTAGGTCTGACAAAATTTTTATATTGCATATATTTGTCTCAGAATTTGAATATCAACGAGCTGGAGAAGGTGAAATTCGAAAAGGATGACTTTATGAAGCAGCTCAAAATACTCAAAGCTGATTTTGCCAAAGCAGAGTCAAAAAAAGAAGACTCAGGTAGATCCTTTTTCTCAAGCTGGCTTCATTTTCTGGTCTAGAGCAAAATGAGCTTCAATCTCTTCGCGAAGAAAACAAGAGCATCTCAAAGAAAATGGAACAGCATCAAATTCAACTTGCTCGAGTCCAAAGCCAAAAAGTCCTGGCTGACGCTGAGATTCAAAAACTCACCGAGGAAAACTCTGATCTCCTTGACCAGCTTGATCAGGCTGAAGAAAACAAAAAGATGATCGAAGATTTTGAAGAAAAATTGGAGTTTGCCAACAGAAATTTGGAAAAATACAAAAGTAAATAATGATAAAGGCTTTGCTCGCTTATTAATTCAGTGGCGCTTCATTGGTACCAGAATCCAGCAATATATTCGGACAAAATCCGACGATTTGAAAAAGAAAACGGCCTCCGAAAAACGCGAAAAACAGAAAATCTAAGAAGTATGAATCCAAATCCTCCTCTTGCGCCAATTTCCGAGCCGAATTCCGACCAAATTCGTCGAGTTTCTCAAACCAATTAAGTACTGTTTTTTTCTCTGAACAGAGTTTAAAGATGCCTCCACGTCACTATTTTTCAAAACCTTCCAATTTTTCAAAAATGATGCAGTGAGGCTCCAAGGCGGGGGAGAATATAAGACTTGATGGCATCATTTTTGATGAATTTTCAACCTCGTTATGCGCATTTTTCATCAAGCGTTGTATTTGGAAGTGCTTTGAAAATCGATGGCGATGATGAAAATTTGAAGAAATGCTAATTCGACACGACTTACGCCTTGTCATTTCCCTTTACCGTTTTTACTTTTCGTAGAACGAAATTCGTTCCATGAAAAATGATGATGTTCTTTCTAAAAAAAAGCTTCTTTGATTCATCAAAAAAATCTTGAGCCGCTCTTACGCCGCGGCATTTTTGCATTATTTCGTTGAATATTTCCTCCGCTGCAAACTTTCACGCTAATAAATCTGAGTTGCGCGAAAATGACTCGTGCGGAGAGGTAATGAGCGGTTCAGAAAATGAAGCTAATTGAAGGAATTGCCTGGAATGGGATTTTTGCGCCTTTTGAAAGGGCAGTGCTGGTACTTTTTTTGGAAAACCACTTTTTTGAAATCGCCTGGAACTGGATTTGATTAGCGGACATATCAAGCGGTTATAAGACAAGGAATCAACAAGGACTAGACTGTGCGAATATTGTTTATTATTTACAGTGAAAGAACTGATAAGTGGAAATTTTAAATTCTAGCGATTGATAAGACTCAGAGTTGGTCGTGTTTTTCTAAGTTTGAAAAAGCCTTCAAAAATCTTTCATGATGATGTAACGATGTGATGAGCCCATCATAATTAACTGCTCCTGATTCGGCACTAGAATCTAGGTTACGTTTGAATATTGAGGAGATGTACCTGTAATCGATAGTTTTACCCTTCAAATTGGTGAATTTTCCGTAGCATGTGGATTTGATGATGCCTTCAACTGCGCAAATGTCCCATTTCTTGATCTTTCCAGAGTGAAAGTAAGCCTCTCCGCGGCCATGGAAGATGGAAATGGCCTTAAACCCAGCGCCACCAGCTTTGATTATTTTTGCGTTCGACCCAAGGTGCTTTTTAAAAGTATTCAAATTTTGATCAAAAGGAAGCTCATAACGCGTGATGCTTTGAGGAAATTTCATTTATCTTATCAATTTGTAAACTTTGATAAATTTCAAGTAAAATTCTTTGTCGCTTAATCTTATGGTTTCTTTTTCGTTACTCATTCCTTTTTCGATTGTTCTTCCGCTTGGCCTGTATGAGATCTAGAGACTAGAACAGAATTTCTCGGCGCATTTTCCGACTGATCCAAAATATTATTCCCATGTTCTTGCCATCCCCAAACAGTCTCTCCAGTAAACGGAAAGTGAACAACACCACCAACTGCTTCTCCATCGACGGCGAATCCGACCATTGTCGTGACATATTCCGTCAGGCCTTGTCAATAAGAAATCATCAAAAAGAAAGAGGCTAAATATTACCTTCAGTATATTCTTTTGTCGCATCAAGTGGGTCAATCCAGACGGTGAGGTCTTCAATGGGAATCAGTTCGTCCGACACTAGAATTCGCTCCAGCTTCTTGTTCGATAATTTAGGTGAGAAAACAGATGATGTAGATTCTGGCGCATCTCCTTCCTCAGAAATCACGGCCAGTCCTAGAAAAGATTTGGTAGAAGGAAGGTTTACCGATTATATCATTCTATGGGGTGTATATTATATACAGTATATAGAGTATTATGATCAAGACGGGGTGTTCTTCCATCATCCGTGAAAGTTTCTGTTACGTCATCAATTACCATCAAATTTAAAAAAATATACAAATACTCATTTCATAAATAATATGGTCTCTTCTTTTTCCTCATCTCACCTGGAAAAGCCCCCTTGAGCCCGTAAAACATAATCTTGTGCGAAGCATGATCTCCCGCCGTAACCAAATCATTCTTTCCACTCTTCTCCACCGTCTTCAATCTCCCCGACTTCTGAATTCTCACCAGTTCTCTCCCCCCTTCTTCCGCCACATCAATCGCCGCGGATAAAAGTTCCTTCATCGAAATCGTCTCATGATCCGAAATTTTATTATGTTTCGGATGAACCCAATGCAAAAACAGCCAAAAAAGAACAACGAAAGTAATAAGCGTACAAATTGGATTTTTCTCTGATTTCGGCATTTTACAATCAATTTTCTGACAATAAACTTGATGGAAAGAAAGACCAAGGATAATATTTTTTATCGCTTTTTTCGTGGCGCACCCTCCGGCAGGGTCATTTTGTTGGCCTTTTTTGAGCCGCACTAGAATTATTCGAGAAATTTCACAATAAAAACAATGATTTTTTCTGAGGTGTCTGGAATCGACAAAAATTTCGACAAATTTTGCGTGGAAATTTTCAACCAATTACAAGGGTGGCGGGCGGCCCCGTTCGAAATCGGTTTTTGGGCCCATTTTTCGAACGGCGTTCGAAATTTCCGAAAAATCTTGACCTTAGAATGAGCTTAAATCAATGTCATTGTGTAAGCAGATGAAGTTGGCATCATTATGAAGGAGTTTTCTTACAAATCAGGCGCGGAGCGCATATAAGCTCATTTTTATAAGCAATTTCAGAAATTTTTCGAACAGCGTTCGAAAAATCTCGAACGGCGTTCGAAAAATCTCGAACGGCGTTCGAAATTTCGAACGTAGCCGCCCTACACCCAATTACAAGGCTGGATTCGGCAAACCGGCCAATCAGCAGCCGGGAACGGTCGGTTACAATACCAAAGCTTTTTTGGTATTCCAATACCAAAATTTGGTATTCCAATACCAAATTTTTTAGACAATTTGGATTTTTTGCCCGAGAAATTATTAAAAACACTTCTAAAATATCGTATAATACAGGCGCGAAGCGCACACCCGCTTTTTAATTTTGAAAAATTGGCATTTTCTGCCGACTTTGGTATTGGAATACCAAAATTGGTATTGGAATACCAATTGGTATTGTAACCGACCGTTTCCCTCAGCAGCCAAGAAGCCGCCCACGCAAAATTTGTCGAATTTTTTTGTCGGTTCCAGACACCATCCCTTTTTTCTTTGGTAAAAATTTATAAAAGTTTTTTTCAGGAGTTAATAATCAGAGTACCAGTAGGGACAGGCTTGAACTCTTTTTATCTGAGAGCTTCCAGGAGACATGTTCATGCTTTCGAATCCAAACTGCATCAAATTCGCGTCGAATTTCATTCCCGATTTGTAATTTGCATCGGTTTTGAAATTCACTCGCCATCTTGTGTCGTCATAATCGTTCACCTGAAAATTGGTCAAGGCGCGAAAATGGGTTAAAAACTGACCTTTCTCGCGTTCAAAATTGGATGGCTCATTTCAGTCCATTCCACGGGCGAGTTAAACTCGATGATCAAAAAGTCTCTTGGGTCCCACTTGTTGAGCCCGACTTTTCGGAACTTGTAGCTGGCGTTGATCCGGAAGCAGTTTCGACAGACCCATGTGTTCATCACTCTGACGCTTTCGGGGCCCAAATCGACGCAGCGCTTCGGCTTCTTAGGGTGGGTTGTTGCGACGGTGGTGGTGGTGGTTTCCCCTTTTGGTGGCTTTGTCGTGATGGGTTTTTCTGTTGTCTTGATTTTGTTGCCTAAAATAACATTATTCCTCCCTTTATTGTTCGAAGGAGCAACCTTTGCAAGTCAGGGATTCCGTATCGATAGACGTTTTCTTCCCCTGTCCCCAAAAGCACTCTCCGTTCAAGCAGATGCATTTCACTTCCATGTTTTTGAACATCTCTCGCGCTTCCTGATACAATCTTCCTCCGTTTGTGCACTAGAAATCAATCATTCTCTCGTTTTCGGAAGAGAATAAGAACCTGAAGATTGCAGAGCTTCATATTTTTCGATTTCTTCGTGATGGTGCAATGCGCTTCAATATTTTTATCGGTCAAAGGTGGACCAAGATCAGCTGAGCCACCGCATGTTATACACTGGGGTTGATCCCCGCTCCAGTAAGGAGAGTCCTTTCTTCTTTTGCCTTTTACGCAGGTCAGCATGCTATTCCCATACGGCTAACGACACGATAAGAGGAAGAGTATTTTACGTTTTTACCTGAGAATTTGCTTTGCAAATTGCCATGCATTTGTTATCCTCGCAGTAGAATGTTTCAATGTCGCCAGTTACTCGAAGAGGTGGGCATTCCTCCCAGAATTCGCTTGCATTACTGAAAATGAAATACAGGCAGACCCTCTTTGACCTATTCTCACCTTGAGCTGCCTTTATTTTTCTTCGGTTTCTTTGGTTTTTTTCGCAGTCCAAGCCCAGTTTCTGCTGGTGATTCTTTGTATGCTTGAAGAACTTCTTTGTACTGGAAAGGAATCAAGATTTCTTGCTTTATCTACCATCTTTCCTTACCTTTAACGCCTCAGCACTAAGAAGAAATAAAGAAAAAAGCTTCATTTTTCTCTCTTCAAAAAATCAAAAAGCTGATTTGAGAATCAAGTGAAGTGCTTCGGATGAATTTTTGGAACCTTTATAAGCGACGCGCCCTGATAAGCCGCGCAAACAAATTCTTATCTCGCCAATTCCACTTTTTTTTTCTAATTTACATGAAGATATATTTGCTGGCTTGAACGCGAGTTTATTCGTAAGATGTTTCTTTCTAAGAGGAACGGTCTTGTTTTGAACTCCTGATTTGGTTTGGTTGTTGTGTTGATTGATATTTATTCACAGAAGTCAGAGCAAGCGGTCAAATAGTAATAATAAAAAAGAAACCGAATTACAAGCAGTATCGGTTGTACCAATCCGCGTTGATGACGAAAGTCTGGGGAGAGATGAAATCATAGAGGAACGATGCCGAGGTCTGCTGAGAGACTTGGCTGAAATCGGGTGCAATCATTTCTTCAGCAGCTTCAAATTCAGTTCCAGTCTGCCACCACTTTTCGATGGTTCGGCCGGTGACGGAAATGTTATTTCCGTTGTGATCAGTTCCGGCCTTGGCGTAGCCAGCGACGTGGAAGACTAGAATGGATTTTGAGCGCAATATAATTTTGTTTTGACTTACGGTTCGGGACTTGGTTCTGGAAGCCAACGAGAATGGAGCTGAATCGAGATCGAGGGTTCATCAGTGAACCGTACGAAGTCCACTGGAAGCCTCGGGTAGGATCCTTAAAATAATTGAGTAAATATCAATGAGTAAAATCAGTTACTAACAGAGTTTCGGTAGACACGTCGGGAGTTGCAGGTGGCGGCATCAGCCCAGAAGTTGCACTCCTGGCTCGTGTAATGAAGACCACCTAAGAGAGATATATTGAATTTTGAAATAAAGACCATTTTTACCGAAAACGTAGAGATGTTCCCCATCAGTGACAGAGGTCATCTCTTCGAGAGTGATTGGCAAGCTGACACCTTGGATCCAGGTTCCGAAGGTTCCATCGGTCTATTAAAAGTGTTAGATGAGTGGATGACCAAAATACTTACAGTGTTGTACTGTCCATTCTGGGAGAGGAACTCGACGTATGGATGATCGTTGTAAGCGAGGATATTGCCATCGTTGCTAAGGCCAGTTCCACCCATGATGACGACGTATCCCTTGTGGTACTTCATCGTGGCCTTGATGTGGGTGTATCGGAGCCATGGCTCTCGCTCCCAAACGACCATATCAGAAGAACTAGAGTCACTTTGGTATTTGAATTACTTTTTGACGTTACCTCCAGCAAGCACGATCCTGGTAGTCCATACCGTCGTTGATTTCATCAGCAGAGTCAGTTGGTGAGCACATGATAGCTCGTTCCTGATCAGCTTGTCCAGAAAGTCGCTTCTGGAATCCAGTGCAAGAGTGTTCCTTCATCGAGTATGGGAGCTTCTTGGTGATACCGTCCATGACGATGTCGAGTCCACAGGAGGTTTCGGAGAGTTTCATGACCGCTCGCTGAACGTTCAAGTGGCCGCAGAATTCGGGCTCTAGAATATTCGAATAGAAAAAAGAATTTTAAAGAAACTTACGAGTAGTGCAGTCATAAGCACCACCAATGATGTAGGATTTGCCTTTGACGACAACTGAGCAAGCATCATGAGTCCAGAAGCCGTTGATGTCGAATCTTGGATAATAAAAATTAAAAAAAAAAGAGAAGGAGAAAACATACCGAGCGTTGGTATCAGTAAAGCCTTTTGTTAGCTCAGTGTAGGAAAGGGCCTCGCCATTTCTCCACTTGAACATTGTAGCAGCATCACGAGAGAGAACAAGCACGTGATCACCGTAGATTGGTTCGATCTCACCTCCTGGAGGAGCAGTGATTGGCGGAGTTGTTGGTGTTGACACATTAGGGTCCTCAGTAGATGGAGGTGGCTCTGGGCAGTAGATTGGGCAAGGACAGCCGTTGGGGCATTGTTCATGGCATGGGCAAAGAGCAGTGCACTCTTGCATCTCAGCCTGACACTGGCTCACGCAAGCTGGTTCGTCAAAACCACATGCTTTCATGCAATCATAGGATTTGTCAGTGCACAGATCTCGGCAGTTCTTTTCATTTTCCCCGTGCTCTTCGATGCAGTTTGCTGGTGGGGATGGTCCGGGACAGTATTGATTTCCGATTTCATTGTAACAGGGGCAACCGTTGGGGCAGTAGCTGTGGCAAGGACAGTGGTACGAGCACTGGTAGAGATAGTCACTATTGCAGGCGTCTTCGCAGAGGCTCGAACCGTTGCACCCGGAGATGCACTCGTTTCGGATGGATACGCAGTCGTCGACGCAAGCTTGAGCTTCATCACCCCAGACAACGAGACACTTCTCGATGATAGAAGGATTTTCGGTATCACCGCACCATCCTGGGCATGGGCAGCCGTTGGGACATTCTTCGTGGCATGGGCAAGTGTTCATGCAGGCGTACTCATCGGCTCGGCAGATGGACAAGCAAGTAGGGTTGCCATAGCATGTGAGAGAGCAATAGTAAGCGGTGTCAGCACATCCAGATCGACATTGTTGCCAGAGGTTGTTATGGTATGGGTCCTCGAGGCACTCAGGGTCGGGCTTTGGAACTCCCTCTGGGCAGTAGCTGTTTCCAAGGTCGTTCCACTCAGGGCAAGCGCAGCCAAGGGAGCAGTAAGTGTGGCATGGACAGTAAGTGGCACATTCCTCGATGTACTCGTCGTTGCATTTGTCTTCACAAGTTCCAGTTGTGCAGCTTGAAAGGCACTCGGCTCGCTTATCAGCGCAGTCTTGCTCACAAGCTCGAGCTTCATCTCCCCAAATAGCAAGGCACTTGTCCTTGTCGGAGATTCCACCGCACCATCCTGGGCAAGGGCAGCCAAGAGGGCATTCTAGAACACAGTCATTAATCTGTGAAGCTAAATATTGATTTTACCTGGGTAGCATGGGCAGTTGGAGACGCAAACATTCTCATAAAATCGGCAATCGCTCTGGCATTGGCTATCTCCTGGAGCGCAAGCGATCGAGCAATAGTAGGCATCGCTAGTGCATGAGTCTCGGCACTGAGCAGAGATGTCGCCGTAGTCTTCGAGACAGTCAGCGTTGGCATCAGGAAGGTTGGGGCAGTAGGAGTTTCCAAGGACGTTATCTGGTGGGCATCGGCAACCGTTGGGGCAGTGAGTGTGGCAAGGACACTTGGATGAGTCATTGACGTACTGCTGGTTGCACTGATCCTGGCAAGTTCCGGTGGAGCAGCCGGCGAGGCAAGAGTTCAGCTTGGCGAGCTGATCCTGTTCGCAATTAGTGGCTTCTTCTCCCCAAATCACTTTGCACTGGTCTTCAAGAGATGGAAGGCACTCTGGAGTCTCCGGGAAATCGCATCCGGGGTAGCATGGGCAGCCATTGATGCACTCAATAACCTTTTCACGGCAGTAAACTTCGCATTGGCTATCACCAGCGCAGGTATTGACACAGATGTATCCAGAAGTAGTGCAGGAGTCTCGGCAGATTTGGGAAGATTCACCGTGTTGCTCAAGACATTCGAGGTCTGGATCAGGAAGGCCCTCTGGGCAGTAGCTGTTGCCGAGCTCATTCTCAGTTGGACAGTTGCACCCGTTTGCGCACTGCTTGTGGCATGGGCACTTTTTGAGGTTTTCGGAGTACTGCTCTGCGCAGTTGTCCTGGCAGATCGATGGGTAAGCGTCGTTCTGGCAGTTGGCGTTGCAGACGGTGAGGGTGTTCTTCTGATCAGTCTCGCATCGGGAAGCTTCATCGCCCCAGATGGCTTCGCACTGGATTTCGATTGGTGGTGGAGTAGACTGGCACCAGTCGAAGCATGGGCATCCGCCTGGGCAACCAGGGTAGCAGGGGCATTTGTTGACACAAACGGCTTCCTGGTCCTGACATTTGGCAAGACATTCGCCGTCGCCATAGCACTTCGAAACGCAAATGTAAGCGTCGTAGCCACAGCTATCTCGGCAGTCCTGTGAGACGTCACCGTGGTCTCCAAGGCAGTTCTCATCTGGAAGGGGAAGGGTTGGGCAGTAAGAGTTGCCGAAAGTGTTGGATGGGGTGCAAGCGCAGCCATTGGGGCAAACAGTGTGGCAGGGGCAGAGCTTGAGCTTTTCAGTGTATTTTTCGTTGCAGTCATCTTCGCAGAGGGCATCGTTGCAGGCACCCATGCATACTTCTCGCTCAGCCTGGACGTCACCTTTGCAGGCAGCTTCGTTAGCTCCCCAGACGTACATGCACATGTCCTGGTTGGAGATACCTCCGTTGTCACCGCAGAACTGGTTGTTGGGGCACTCTTTGCAGCCACCCTTGCAGTTTTCTCCGCATGGGCAGTCCTCCATGCATCGCCAGCCGTGTTCGTTTCCTTTAGCGTAGCACTCGTCCTCGGTGTTTTGGTTGGCAGCGATGCACTCGCCAGTGACTCGGTCAGCTTCAGAGATGCAGTAGATACCGCACTCGTCGAAGGCCTCACTATTTTCTTCTTGGATGTCGCAGGTGGATGGGGGAGAGCACTGGTAGAAGCCGCATGGGCAACCCCAGGAGCATTTGTCGTGGCAGGGGCATCGATCGATGCAAGTGGTCAAGTCTCGGTTGCAGTACTGGGTGCACTTGTAATCGGAGGGATCACAAGAGCCCATGCAAGTCTGGTAGTCGGCGTTACATTCACCGGAGCATTTTTGCTCTGAAAAAAAGTTTCATTCTCTCCTTTTTCTCTCTATGACTTACCTTGATTGAGCCAGGAACAAGTCTCATTGAAGGCGGCCTTGACCCTTACTCCCACAAAAAGTAGGAGAATCGGGTTCCTCATTTTCGTGAATGAAAAATTTGTGACTGAACTTTTCACCAAAGCCAGGGCCGGTTTTAGCGGCTTGCTGTCGCGAAATTTGCGGAGCAGTTAACGCCGGTTGCTCGCATCATGGCGATGCAAGTTTACAATTTGCAAAGCAGTTAATCAAAATTTGGAACACGAGAATTTGCACGAAATAGACTTCCTTTTGCAAGAAATGACCGAAATAATTACATAACATAAATGCTCATTAGTGTTAAGGAGGCGTGATGAGAGCCTATCAGACATTTTTGTATTCTTATGCGTCAAATGAATAAAAAATTGAGCGATTTTATACGACTTCATGGAAAGTTTGACGTCGATATTGAAACTTGTGGAAACTCGTGAAAACAGAATCCCACCATTTTAGTATTGATAAATATCGAGCAGTTTGACAACTCAAGTATCCTTGAAGAATATTCTGCAATGTTCTACTTACTGATGATTATGTAATCAAAAAATTTATTGTAGACAATGATCAATAATGTGCAATAATTTATTCTAAATCTAACTTGAGCGTACTGCATTGATTTAGAAAAGAATCATTTTGACGAATATTTAATTTATTTAGAAACTAGTTGAACTTTCAATCGAAGCACGGGATTTTTCATTGTCAGATTGTTCTTCTGGCCGGACATTATTTGGCTGATAGTAGGAAGCTTCTGCTTCTTCCATAGTCTAAAAATTTCCTTTTGATTTAATCCTTCGAGTCGACATTTACCTGTGACATGCATTTTCCTTGAGTCTCAGGCATGAACCAGGCAAGAACAGCGGCAATAAATCCTAAAGTTCCGAAGACAGTATTTGAGAATCCAGCCCAAATGGTGCCATCAAGGCCGAATATCAGAGGTGAGATGGCTCCACCAACTCGAGCGGCGGAAGAGCAAAGTCCAACAGCAGATCCTCGCACACAAGTTGGGTATAATTCAGCACTAGAATTAAGGAGTTTCATAAAAATGTTTTTCTATCTGAAAGGGAATAAATACAAAGGATATCAGAACTTTTGTCTATTTAAAATAAAAATTTTATCGATTTTTCAAATGATTATTGTTTTTGAAAATACCTGTAAACATATAGGACAGAAAAGGTCCCAGCAACAGCGAATTTCCCGAGAAAGGCAGTGTATGAAGCAATATTTAGAAGATTTCTATTACAGTCAGCTGGAATGATCGGAGTCTCCGAGCAATCATCAGGATCATAGGTAGGCTCACAGTTAGCCTGGAGTGTCAGAATCAGGGAACCGATGCAGGAGAGCGAGCAAACCATGAAGAAAAAGATCAAACTGCCTCTTCTTCCCATCATTTTCCACTCAAGAATGAACGGCGCGAGCAATCGAGCTGCGATTTCAAAGCATCCGTTTATCACATTGTTGACGAACAAATTCCCTGTGAGGCTCCCTGCATTTAGTCCAAGCCCGTAGTAGACCATTGAAGTCACGAACCAGCCATACATGCAGTTGACGGTGATCCACTTCATTTTTGGGTACTTGAAGACTTCTAGAATCTTGACTTGCTCTCCATCGCCGGATTTTGCTGCGGCTTCGACTTTTTCAAGATAATTTAGGTCCAAGGAACCACCAGTTTTGTCCGAAAACGTCAGAACTAAAAACCAATCAACAAACTCTCCCTTAATCCATCTTCCTACCTGCTTGACGAGCTTCAGTAATTCGATCTTTACTGTAAAGCCATCTGTAGCTCTTTGGCAGAACAAAGTGAAAAGCAAAAACGGGCGTGACGCAGAGAGCAATCACCAGTTCCATCGTGTGCCAGTCCCGTGCATAGTAAGCGATCAGGGAGAGAGACATGAAACCTAAGCTGAAAATCGTCAAATATTGGTTCGCAACATTTGCGCGCCACTTTGGCCCCATGAATTCCATGACGTAGACGTATCCAACCACGACTCCTCCATGCGCTTTCTCGGGTTATTAAATCGGTTTTATCAAAAGACTCTTCTATGATTTCAACCCGTCCCGAATGCCCCACAAGCAAGCCTAATAAAAGTATACGCCCAGACATTGTCGATCCAATAAAGCGTCAAGTTTCCACCAAAATGTAAGAATCCAGCGAGAAGCAAAGTATTCTTTCTTCCAATTCGGTCGGAAATCATTCCAAAACCAAGGGCTCCAAAAAACAAGCCAGTCATGAAGATGCAAGTCGAAATTGAATCGGTCGGAATGACTTTGTCATCGCACACCCAATCGAATTGTGTCTAGCAGACAGAGTGAGAAAGGAACGTTGAAAAACGAGATTCGAAATCAAAAAATACCTGTGAAAATACCAATCAAAAGTGCACTCAAAACTCTCATGCGTCTTTTCTAGGAATAGAAAAATTCTAGCGTTTGTGATTTTTAACGACAATCAATTTCGGATTATCCAAAAATTAAATAGGGGTCGGTTACCTTAACAGTTTCAGTGAATGTGTTGTCGGGAGAGTATTCGAAATCTTCGCATTTTGAGCAGACAGATGTTTCGTTGAGCTTTTTCTCGATCATGCAGAATTCGTATTCTTCTGGAGTCGATGAGTCAGGACATTGCTAGAATTGCATTGGGTCTTGGTTTTTTAATGCTTTTATTCTGGGCTAGGCAACCTGTCTAGAAACCTGAGTAAGGGTTTAGGTAAGCCCTGATATCAAGCAGCAAATCTCATGTATTAGAACCCTGAGTCAGGTTTCTGCACAGGTTTTCTGAACGTCGATTTTCGACTCAATTTTATACCTTCTTCCAATCAATTTCGAAGACCTTGCAATTTCCTCCTGAAGCAAATTCCGTATTCGAGTAATTCGCTCCTTCCGCAATCTCATCCAGCTCATTGTGACACCTGTACTCTTCCGGAGCCGCTTGAAGGAAAACTGAACCGGTTTGAACATGCCCTGCACAGAAGCACATCCATGAGCCGAGCACGAGCACCAAGAATTGGTAACCGGAGAAGTGAGGCATTCGGTTGAAGATTTTGTCCATTCCTTCGTATTTGTCATCTTGAATGTTGTGGTCAGACTTTTTTAGATTTTCAAAATGAGTTTTCGACTAGAGACAACATCTTGTATAATATTTTTTTGCGGATCAAATTTCGGCAGTTTTATAAATACAAAAAGACGTACCAGATTTGCGACTTATGGTTTCCGCACTTTCATCCAACAAAATTTCTTTCTCTTTTTTCGCATATTTGCCAAAATCTCTTGTTTTCATATCTTTTCAAAAACCTTCCAAATAACTCTCTTTTTTTTAAACTGAGCTGGGAAGAGAATAGAAAGCCCGATTATTATCAGATTCTTCAGTTTGATAGAATCGAGGAATTTGCACGGCTCAGTGAGAACCCTTAGTTGAACCTACTTTTCAAGTAAATAAACTTGAAATATAAGAAGAAAGAGCTCTAAAAGGTCAAATAGGGACGATAAAAATATATTTCCTGAGAAATTACAAAATAGCGTGTTTTGACCCTTGTGTTTGGAATGATTATCTTCCTGGGATGAGGCTGTATGCGAATTTCGCTGAAGGGCAAAATAATTACGAAAAAGTTATTACTGAAAATGGGCGTTTTCTTTTGAAGTTTTCCCTCGATTAAGGGGGTTTACCTTGCTCCTGGCTCGGCGACCTGAGAAGAAAACCTGAGTCAGGGTCTGAAAAGCCGCGTAGGACCCTGGCTCAGGGTTTTTATACAGGGTATCCAAAATTACAGTATCCAAAAAATGCCTTCACTATCATGAAAAATTGATCAAAATCTTTCCTTATTTTCCTCCATTTTTCAAATTTTTTCTTCAAAAATTTTCTCTCGGAAAATTCGAACTTTTCTTCTTTCAAAAGTAGAGACAGACAAACTGTATTTTGTACAGCCGTAAGTGTGCTTTTAAAAGCCCTGTTAGAGTAGCAAAAATCTCAAAGTTTTTCCGGCGCATAAAGCCCGACCAAATAGCTTATTATTTGTTCAATACCACTTCGATATTTGTGATTCAATAAGAGCGATAAAGACATTTAAATCTTTAAGCACTTCCCTATCGCCGGTAATTTTACTCTACTGGAGGGAAGAATAAGTGAAAGATTTATTTCAAATATAATACCAGCAGTGCGCACTTTTATTTGCTCAAACTTTAAGCATGCCCTTTTTCGAAGAAATCAAGATTCTAGAGCTCGAAAATCCGTTAAATTTTGGGCATTTTGACTCTAAAACTCGGAGCAATATCAAATCCATTAAACTACGGCGAAGATTTTATATTATACCGATGTTTGAAATTTTCACTTATCGTGGCGACGCCCTTAAGAAAAACACGAACATTCTTGTCCTTCTATTGCGTTCGAACAACTATCGGGCAAGATTCTTAGCACAAAAACTTCCGAGAACCTTAAGGGGATCAATCCGAAATCGCTCTTTGAAAAAGTCATTGCCACGTGACGGGGGATCCGTTTTATTGAACAAAAATAGACTGATCAAAATTGACTGTTCCAGTTTTTTTTCTAACATCATCAAAAAATTGTCGCCAAGGTCGTTTTTGATCTCCATCAATTAATTCTAAAATGGAAATCTCTACGCTTCAATTTATTCCTGGTGAACCGGGGAGGACTATAAAAGCAAAATCTACAGAATTATGAAACATTAGTTACGAAACGCCATGAAAATCGCTTCTTTCATAATTCTCCCCGTCTTTGCTTCGCCTTTTTGCAGCTCCTGGTGCTTTTTCCGAAGCGCGACAGAATACCAGCAACTTTGGAAAAGACCTGCTAGGGGGAATACTTTTGAACTGTTCAAAGCTGCTTATGCAAGGGAAAATATTCTCCCAAAACTTTCACGAGAACTTCGCTACATGATGTGATTCTTTCCCCTGTCCCGGTTTCGCTCTGAAATCTTAATTAAAAAATGATTCACGAAAAATCATCTCGATCTCTTTCTTTATTTATTCAAAAATGGAAATACCCGCGCTTCAATATATTCCGAGGAGGAGTATAAAACAAAATTTACAGAATTATGAAACGTTAGTTACGAAACGCCATGAAAATCTTTTCTTTCATGGTTCTGACCGTCTTTGCTAGCCCTTGGTGCTTCTTTAGAAAGGCGACGAAGTATCAGGAGATGTGGAAAAAGCCAGTAAGGGATAATACCTTAGAACTAATCAAAGCAGCTTATTCGATGGAAGAAATACTCCCGAAACTTTCACGAGAGCTGCGCTATATGATGTAACTTTTTTCTGCCAAAAATTAGGAAAGAATAAATTATTCTAGTCCAGACTCTTTTTTAATAAAATTTTCAATGGAATCAAAGGCTTCTCTTCTTGATTGGAAATCATGCTACCTGTTTTACATCAAGGCAATATAAGCTGATGTCGATCTGAGCGTTCAAATAAATTATTTGAAATTATGGTACGAATAAACACTTTTCTTGTTTTATTTTTGACGGCGCCAGTTTATGGATACTTTTGGAATTTCTACAGAAAAGCCACTCGATACCAAGATTTGGCTCACCGACCCATCGATCTGATAACTTCTGAGCTACTGTACAATTCTTATGCAAGCAAGAATATTGCAAAGCGGCTTGCAAAAAACATCGACGACATGATCAAAATGACGCTCTAGAATTCAAGCGAAAATTCTAATCCCTTTTTAATAAAAAATGAAATAAGCACCTTTCAATTTATTTCCAAAAGTCAGCAGCTCAATCAAAAAACGAGACAAAATCAGCAGGAAAAATTTCTTTCAAATTTTCCTCAAAAATCGAATAAGGATGCTCTGCATCGTCCCAGAATAAAATCGAGTTTTTCGGACAAAAAATTAGAATCGACGAGTATTCCTTTCGGAGACCATGTTTCTTCAGCAGTCGCTGGTGCTGATTTCGTAGATCGGAGGCGGAGAGATTGACGGAATCGGATTTCGGCGCGTCGGATTTCCAGATTGGCAGACGCCAGTCGCGTTTTTGCTCCTCTTGCCAGTGGAAATCAACCATATTTTTCAGATGAAGCTACCAAAAATAATTTAAGGAAAGCATGGCTATTTTACCTCTTCAAAAACAGAAACGATTTCTCCAAAGTTCGAATTCGCCTTCGCCAATCTGTCAAAATCCTTTGGAGTCGTAAGGGATAGCAAGATCTTATCCTGAATTTCATTTGGAAGGTCGATTATGTTGACTTCTTTCTTCTGTCTTTGAACTTCAGGAAGCTGGAGTGAATGAAGACGGAGCTTTAAATTTTCGCTTTGATTTATCATCCTGAAATTATTTAACAAACTTTAGAGTGTTCAACAAGTATCGTATTTTCTATGGTATTATCAGCCGTTTTAGCGGGAAAAAATTTATATTTGTTTAAAACAAAATCAATTTTATGGTGTCCGAAGAGAAGAAACCATCCAAACTTACTGTTGAATTCCAGAATGCGAGCAACTAATGATCTTCTTGAACTCCGTCAATTTCTTGATAAAAACTTCCAGCGTCGCATGAAGATCATCCCTCGCCCCGAATTCACTCCTCTCCTCCATTTTGTCGATTATATGCGAAATGATAGCCAACAGTCTTCGGATGGCAAAACCAGACAAAGAGAGAAGTCGATCTTTGACGCAAAGATGGACGACGTCGAGAATGAAGTTGAACTTGAGGCGGTCGTCAAGGGCGGAAAGAAAGTTCAGCCGGCGGAGAGCTTCGCCAAGAGTCGTGTAGCCGAATTCCTGAGTCGTTTTGGTCAAAATCGGGAGGTAGGATAAATTCTCGCTTGCTCCTGCCCGCGACGCTAGAAAAAGACGATGATGATAACCAGCTGCTTTTTGACTTACGAGGCGCTCCTTTGATGCCTTGAGCTTGGACGAGACATTGCTTGTGCCACTGTTTGGTCACGTGCGAGCTTAGGAGCTCTTTGACCTCTTCTTTGTCAGGTGGAGATTCTTCTACAGTACTTTCAGACTCGCTTGATCTCCAGCCACTTCGTGTTCGAATCCATTGAGAGCCTTAATCTATTGTTGAGTCATTTTATATGAATAAATTAATTTGATACATTAAGCTGGCCCGATTGAGACAAAAATATGGGCTTATCATTCTTTTTTTCCAGTAATTTCATCTGAAGAAATTATATAACTATTTGCTAAAAAGATGCCATTACTGTTTTTACAATTAATATCTAGAACAGTATCTCGAAGCGGGTTTTAATGAAATATGATGAATATAAATTGATAAGCGCCTTATTTTTTTCAACTCAAAAGATCCATGTCATACCTGGTCCAGTTCCATCAGTAGCGCAATAAATCGGGCTCGTCATTTTTCTTCTTATTGATTTTTTACTTTCTCGTTCTGATTTTTTCTTCAGAAAATTGAATTCTTTCCCCTCGAGAACCCCTCCTTTTTATCGACTCGAAATTGTTGATCCTTCTTTCTCGATTCTTTTGATTCAAGGTTCTTTCTTGATGAGTGTGTTTTCACACCTATCCTCTACTAGCTATTTTTCTGTTCCTCAAGATTGATGGTTCTTTCTTTCTTTTTGAGTCCGATAATAAAAACGAAGAGTTTTGGTTTCAGGGAAATTGAATTTATCTCGCTCTGGCTCTCGGTTTTTTGGCTTTCGGCCATGTAGAAATGGAAAATAAGGAAAGGGAGAGCTACACCACGTGAGCTCACTCTCACATGCTCCGCGCAGACGCCGTGGAAAAATATATAAATACAGACCTGCAGACACTCTTTGATTTATGATCTGTGAAATGATTTTTTGTAAAAAAAACCGAAAAAATACCGAAAATTTTGGTAAAAATGACTTTTTTTCTGACCTTTATTTTTTGACAGTAAAAATGATCATCTTAGTTACATAACTGTATTTTCATGATTCGGCTCGATCGTTGAAAACTTCTTTCGCTGGCTGACGTAAGCGACAAGACTTACAGTCGCGCATCCTGCCACGACCCAGCCAAAACTAGTCGACCAAAAGCTAAAACCTGCTGCTTCTTCTTGAGCTTGCTCTTCCTGATCTTTGATCAAAAAGGGGCCGAGGGTGACGGTTTGTTCTGGGTGAGAAGTTTCGTCGAAGGCGGATCGTCGCTTTCGGCGGATGATCTCGGAAGCTTGGAGGTTTGTTGGAGCATCGGCTCGGCAGGTGGATTGACAAGCTGGGTCTTACAGAGGGTTAAGTTTTATAAGATGGTAATATTGTTTCAAAACTATTAAAACCATAATTTAGTGAAGAACCTTTTCCTTCTGAGTTTTTAATGAGAGAACGCTTTGAAGATGATAAACGACGTTTAACCTCGTCTGGTAAGACCATGTGGTAACCCGTAGGCCTTAATTATAGACTATAATTTATAGTGAAAATCAATTCTCTACAATACAAATTAATATTACTAGACATATAAATACAGTTCTTTTCCTCTTTTGTGGACATTTTTTGTCCCAAAATTTTCGAAAAAATGTCCCATCGAAATCGCTTAAAATTTTTTTTTCGAGATTTGAGTACGCCGAATGGTTTTCTAGACTTTGCATTTATGCTCCTGAAAGACTGACAAAGGCCCCTTTGTCTCTAGTTCAACCTTTAATTTTGTCTTTTTTTCGTAAACAATGAACAACTCGATCTTGATTAGCAAGAATTAATCTCAACACACAAAAAATTGTCTTTTTTATTTCCTTCCGCGAAAAAATGTCCACAAACTTGGAACAGCATCTTTTATAAAGTGTCCCACTGAAAGGCCTTAAAATGGAAAAAATGTCCACAAACTTGGGGTCCACAAAAGAGGAAAAAAACTGTAGGTTTTTTCAATAAATTTTTAACCCCTAACATTAGGTTTTCGCAGGTCGCAGACAATAACATCGCACTAAAACACATTGATTTTCAAACTTTCTAAAGACATTAATCATTGCCTGTATGTAGACGTAATTAGACTCGGGAAACCTCAGCGTCTCCGTTGAGAAGCGATCTTCGTGGTTGAGCCGAGCTTGTAGCGCAGTGAAGGCATCTGACGGGCAACCGTTGTCGATAATTGGCGAGTAAGCAACATTGCTAGAAAAGAACTGATGGGGTTGAAAAGGGGGCAACTGTACATTTCCGAATCGACAGAAGGCGTGGCCCAGCAGCGCTTGGTGAAGATGTATTCGTGCTCCATTTTGGTGATGACTTCTGTCCCGAGATAGATTCTTTCTTTGAGAGATTTGAGAAGAGGAAACTCTTGCATTTTATATCTCAATGAAAATGTTTTACATATTCGCTCGTTTGAGTTGTGTACCTGTTGAGGTAAGAAGAATCTTCGTAAACATTGAGTCGGAAGATGAATTTGTCGTTGCTTTCGTATTCACCCATTGCTTTTATCATGGTTTTTATAATATTGATTTTCGAGAAACCATAAAAGGAAGATAAATTCAAACAATTGGGTATCTAATCTAGGGGATATTTTGAAGAAGACATAAAATTTAAAACATCAGCTAGAAGTATAATCCATCGTACCATCCGGTATTAACCATCGCTTCAGGTGCTCAATATCAAGTCAACCATAACCTGAGATCATATTATCAGAAACAACATAAACGGGCAAAATATCTCCAGAGACTTCTCCAGTCGTTGCATTGACAAAATCATTGTCGACATGACCAAGACGATCAATGATACATCGGAAATTATAAATGGCTCCGTAGTCTCGGTAAACACCTCCAGAAAGTACTGGTTTTCGGCTAGAATAAAGCTAGATTACAAGCTGATTACGGCGGATACCTGAGATTATTTTCGTAGACAAATTTATTTGGATCGTTTTCGTCGAGTTTCATTTGCGTTCCGCATTCAGTAAACCTCAATTTTCATTCGACTAATATCTTCCAAAAACCCTCTTACTTGTAAGAATAAACAACACCTTGCTGATCCTCCGAAGTAAACCCGCAGTTGGCAGTCATCATATCCCAGCCGAGCAAAAAGTCGCCATCATACGAAAGCGGCATTTTCACAGTAAATCGATCATTGATTGTATCGCACTCAACGCTTGGTTCGTAGGCTGATAGTTTTTGTTGAATTCTCGTTGTTGTCGTAGAGGTGGTTGTTGTTGTTGTTTCTTGAGTTTCGGTGGATTCAAGGACGACTTGAGGTGCGGCAATAAGAGGACTACTGCAACCGGTGGCTCGTTGGCACATGTATCCATCTTAATTATAAGTTATAATTTATAACTCATCTGTTATTGATAACTGAAGTTATGCTTATCTAAGAACGACAAATTGCACGTAGGTTTCCTAATAAAACTTTTAATTTATCCTCATCAAAATGTAGGAAACAATTTTGGGGCGAAAAAAATTTTGAAATTTTTTATGGTGTTTACCTTTTGTATCCATAAAATCACAATCTTTCCCATACCACCCACTCAAGCACTGGCACCAGTAACTATCCCATTTATTCTGACAACTAGCAGTTCCCAAATTGAAACAAGGATTCTTGATCTCGCACTGGTGAAGTCGATTGTACATAAAATCGTCAGTTTGCGCCTTGTCGCCAAAGATTTCATACGCTTCGGCCCAGTCGCAAGTTTCTTCGTTGCATTCTCGCTCCAGATTTCCAGTGCGCATTTCTTCCAAAAGGGAGTCATCTGCTGCGCCAGGGACGGAATTCATTCGCGCTAGAATAAGAATCTGCTCAGATTCTCCCTACTGTCACGTACTGTATCTTTTCAGAAAGGAATCCGCATCTTCCTTGCTCAATTCCGGGCGATCTCCCATCCATCTTCCAGCAGCTTCAGTTCCGGCGGCAGAAACTGTCAGAAAAGTAGCCAACTTCATTTTCTCTCCTTTGAGTTCAAACCTTTCTGAGGTCGCTTCTGGCGATCATTGCCAACTCTGACTGAAGTAGACAAACAAATAGAACGTCAGGAAGTACTGATCCTTCCACGTCAATTAAATTGCTCATCATGATGATCGAATAATGCGCTGAAAAATAGCGAACTTGAAATTTCACCTTATTTTTTCTGGCCGACACGAATTTTCGATGCTCCTGAACCACGTGTTTTTCCGATCGCCAATTACGCCATTTCGGTGGTTAGCGCTACATCTAACCCTTCGCTATAAAACCGTCCCTTTCGCACTGAAAATTTCATCTGATTAAAAAGTATCAAAAAGGTGCACAACTTGATTTGATATTTTCAGCTTGAAAATGAAACTATTTTTGGGTCTCTTTTCCGCCGCCGTCTTGGCTCAAGAAAATCAAGAAGAAGAGGGAAGAAAGGTTCCATATAGAACTCCGATTCAGCGACTCGAGACTTTGAACGAGTTCGGAATTGAATGGACCAACGCAAATTTGAGCCCTAACCAAGCGTAAGTAATGAATGATTTTTCGTCGCTTACAGCGATTTTAGCGAGCGATGGGCCCGAAAAATTACCAACAACTCGGAGCGAATGCGCAAGCGATTCTCAATCTGCGGCTTTTTTGATGTTCATATCGAGCATGGTGGACCTGCTCCGGAGTACAGGTTTGCATCTCAGAATAAATCGACGAGTTCGATAAGTATTTTTTTTTTCAGAAAGCGACGAGAAGTCGGAGAAATTGACGCTCCTGCTGAGCAAGAACAAGTGGAACAGGCCGCTGCTGCTGAAGAGGATGATCTTCTCACCGTCAGATATGACACCGTAAGTCCTAAAAAATGATCTTTTAACTCATTCAACAGAACAACCCTCTGATCGGCCTCCGACAAATCTTCACAGGCTACCGAAAATGGGCGCTTCGATACATTGCAGACTGCCCTCTTCAGCCAGAATTGCAGGTCAACCGCGCTAACAAATGGGAAGAAAAGCTCAAGGATCTCTACAAGAAGAACCTCGGCCTCACCACCACCACAACCACCACTACTACGACTACCACCACCCGTAAAAAGGGCGGCAAGGGCGGAAAGAAGAATCGATATTAGATGAACACACAATGGTCAGATCGAAAGTCCGAAAAAATCAAAACTTTTCAAAGGACTGATCTGACTTATTCTTCTGTTGATAAAAAATCTGAAAAAGAACTTGAAAATATTTCATTTTTAACAACCAAAATAAAATGATCCCTTCGCGAGGGCTTTTTAACTGTTTATTTATTTCCAACATAAATTTATTTAATCGCATAATTATGTATTCCACAGTGGAACTCGTGTCAAATACTCCTTTTCTTTGAATCCGTCATGCCAAATTTGATCAAAAGGGAATATAATTGGCTTGACGCAAGCTTCCGTGTGGTTACCGATAGTAATTTCGCTTTGCGACTGATTTTCCCCGCTACGGGAAAAAAATTCTTTGCTCAGCTCCGCTACGCTGAGCTACAGTGAAGAAAATTTCTACCAGCTCCGCTACGCTCAGCTACGGAGAAAATTTTTTTTATCAGCTCCGCTACGCTTAGCTTAACTTTCCCCTCAGCTCCACCACTACTAAGCTGACTAAGTTTGGGCTCTTTTCTCTGTAAAATAAGGCCCCTTTCTCTGTAAAATAAGGCCACTCTCTGTGTAAAAAAGGCCGCTACGGACTCCGCTACGGGTCACAAAAAATTGATCAGCTCCGCTACGCTTAGCTACGGAGAAAAATTTTTGAGTCAGCTCCGCTACGCTCAGCTACGGGGAAAAGAAAATTAGTCAGCTCCGCTACGGGGAAAATTTTTTTGGTCAGCTCCGCTAAATTTTCGGGTCAGCTCCGCTATGTCCGCTACGAGAAAATTTTGCCAAATGTATAACTCTGGAGCTAAGCGGACCCATATTAGAACTAAGCTGATTGAGCTGATCTGAGCTGTTTATAACTGTTTTTTGAAATTGTATGCAAATCATTGACCTGAGCTGAGCTAAGTGGAAATTGTCTGAGCTGAGGTGAGCTGAGCAGATCAGATCATTTTCCAAAATGACTGCTCAGCTCACGCAAAATTCTAAATTTCTCCGCACGCGCACGCACGCACACGCGAGAATTTTGTGTTTTTTGGAACTCTGCATTGAATAATCGAATTCAATGATAAGCTGTTTTCCGGAGCCAAGAGCTTTCACAAGCTAAAATAAAATAAAACTTTTTTATTTTTTTTTTATTTCTTAAAAAATATTTGCAGACTCTTCAAAAAAAAACTTTTTTGAGTGTTTTAAAGAGTTTTTTATTCATCAAATTTTCTTTCTCCGAGCTCTTCCTCTAGCTCTAAACCACGCAAAAGTTTAATATGATCGTATTGATTATCAGTGAGTGGGAAAACAATCGGTCTGGAAAAGCCTTCCGAGTGATGGCTGATGATGGTTTCTTCGCTGACGGGAAAACTAAAATTATCATTATCGTCGATAATTTATCGATCAGGCCTTGCAAATTGGGGTCCCGACAGCCGTACTAACAAAAAATGGTTGGGGTTCTAACCAAAAGTTAGCACGAGTTAGAAGGGCTTTTCCTCCGAATTCGTACTATTTTCTTGTTTTTTTTTAATCAACCGCGTTGATTGACGGACAAATCAGCGCGCGCGCCTTACTAACTTAGTAGTTAATCCGTACTTAGTTAATACGGAGTTAGTACGGCTTTTCTTAACCCATCCTAACCCATCCAAAAAATTACAAAATAAAAGTTGGGGCCCCAACAATAGGGTCCAAACTCAAGTCAGAACGGGTAGTAGGATTCCAATTTGCCAGCCCTCTTGTCGACGGAAATTCACTTTGCTTACATTGGTGATTCTTCGTATGTGTAGTCGCTAGTCAGAATATTAAAATTGCGTATATTCGACAATGAACTTCTATTGGACATTTCGCTTGCTCTTTCGTGATCCCAGACAACAGTTTCAATGGGAAATCTAAACATTCTCATCAATTTTTTTATATATAATAAGAATTAAAACTTACGGTTTTTGCTGGCCACTTATAATAAATATATAATTATTTATTCGTGCAAGGGATGAAAGAATGTGCTAAAATGAAAATTATAAAATGAAATATTCCTGGTCAAAGGACATTATTTTGTAGTTTCGCAGCGACTCTCCATTCATAATTTCGCAGCATATATACATCCGTTGAAGGTGGAGTAAGAAAACCAGAACCAATGAATAATGATCCTTGGCCTCCAAAGACAAGTAGAGCATCATCGACTGTGATGCAAGAATGAGAACCAAGAGGTCTGAAAATGAAAAATAATACTGATCATATCATCAATTTTTACTTCGGAAGTTGTGAATTTGTGAGTTCCGTCCAGTTTCCATTATCGAATTCTTCAACCTTTCTCTCTCCGTCCGTAAGTGAGCTTCCGACAGCCATGGCTTTACCATTCAAAAATGCTAAAACGAGTTCATTTTTTAAGAAAATGAAAAGTTGATCAAAAAACTATCAAAAAAGCATGAAAAATTCGAACTCGTACTCCAAACACGAGTCTCTATGCGTATAAATTGTCGATGCTCTTTCTTCAACAGAATTCCCCCCATCGTATTCAACACATTTTCGAGATGTTCCATTCCATCCAATGTCAATATTAACATAAAGGCTTTCAAAACAAAGCAGAACTTAAAGATCATGAGAAAAAAGACAATCGAATATTCAAAAATAACCTGATTCTTGATCTTTCAAAGAAGTAACGGATGAACTTTCATCAATATCAATTGTCAACCGAACATCTTTTTCGACAATAAAAATGAATGAAATATCCAAATTATTTAATCTCACAATCTTAATTTATCAATTTTTGAAGGCATATTTTATGGGCCTTACTCGTCTTGATGAATCATCAATTCCACCAAAAATGAACATTTCTCCTCGAATTATCGCCGAAATTGTATTGACAAAATATGGTCGCCCATTTATTGGTTCTGGCTTTCCCATTATTTGTTCCGTTATATCAAATTTTACCCCATCTGGTTTGATTAAATAATAATAAGAATTCTGATAAGATGAAGCAATGACCATTATTGCTTGCTCGTCGGACATGAAAAATTTCATTTCTCGGCGAAGTCTATCGATTTCGCTTGACTGGTCATTTGATAGAGTTTTCCAAGTTTTAGTTTCATTCTTAGAATATTCATACGAAGCTTTCAGGGTTTCTATTTCTTCGCCAAGCTTTGATATTTCAGGGTTCCATTCTGATCTGGGCTCGGCAACCTGAGTAGAAAGCCTGAGTCAGGGTTGGATTATCATTTAATCGTATTTTTAACTTCTGGCAAAGCCGTTTATAAATAAGCGGCAATGCGGATTTTCATTTCTGACCTTACAGACCATGACTCAGATTGCCGAGCCCAGATTCTGAGCCAACAATGATCAGAATTCCAATTACAGCAAAAAGACTGTCTGTGTTTGACACTTGAGAATAAGCTCAAACATTAATAACTACAGTGTAGGTTAGAAATTATTGATTTGGCAAAAGTCAATTTCAGGAGAAGATTTGGAGTAACAAAATCTGGAGCAACCGAAATTTTCAAACCGATTTTTAAGGGTGTTAAAGTCATAATTAAGGGTATCTGACTCGGTCAAAAGAAAGCCCGGGCCCAAAGCCGGGTTTTCGCCAGGGTTGGAGGGGGCCGGGAGGCCCTAAACACCCTTAGAAATTGGTTTTAAAATTTCGGTTGCTCCAGATTTTGTTACTCCAAATCTTCTTAATTCCAAATATTTTGCCGAGCCTATTGATTAGTATTGATAATTATTTTTCATTGTTTCAAACATTCACTTATTCCAAAGATAACGCTTAAAATTGTCAAGAATTTGACATTTTTCTTCGTCTCTTTCGCGGCTTTACCCTCAGTTTCTTCGGTCTCAAGAATGGGAGTCAAATAATTCGGAGGATTTGGAACGTCAACATCTTGATAAGAACCAAGGGAACTCTCTGAGTATGCACGGGTCGACATATTCGTAGACATGCTCAATTTAGATTTGCCTTCGATTTTTGCTTTTTTCAAAAAGGAAAACTAGTCATTCACGATTTAATTTGGGCAAATGTTAGCACGCATAATCAGCCGAATTCGGCTATGAGAACTGATACTGCAACATGCATTGAGGGAGCCAGACCGGTGACTCAGACCGGCGGTGAGAATAAATCCATGAAGATTTCTTATCTTTTATTTCCCGCATACGATAGCTTTCACCACTGGCCTGTGATATCACGCCGGTCGTCAACTGTTTACTCACAAAGTACACCAATAAAAAATCCCAAAACAATACTTGCCCAGTTGTAAAAATCAGTCGAGCTTCAATAAAATGAAACTTTTGAATTTTCTATTTTTAAATAAAATATTTGCACAAGAGATTTTCTCTTCAAAGAAAGCGCTAGAAGAACTGAGCAATTTCGAGAGCCAACTTATTGAAAGCTTACTTATCCAAATTGAGGAGAAATTGGGACAGTATGAAACTCTCAGGGACAATATCGGTGAAAACCTAATAAAAAAAATCTTCCCGTAATTTTGTTCTTCAGAAAATGTCAAAAATCTCAAGTCAAAATCATCCATCGACCACCCAATCGAACAATACAAGATCATTCGTCGATTTCTGACCTTTTGGACCTCCCTTCAATCCGAAATAGAAGAATCTCTCGACTTCCAGCAATTTGAGCCGTACCCGAATCGAGATGATTTAGTCGGCGCCGCGGAGGGAATCTTCAGGATTCAAGATGTCTATGCTCTCGATTCGTTTGACCTCGCTGAAGGAATGGAACTCGGGGTCAAGGACAAAGAGCCATCAGATTTGACAGTAGAAGAAACCCTCAGCATAGGAAAAATTGCCTATTGGAAGGTAACGAAACCTCGCTCTTTCTCTTCTTAAATAGATTCTAGAGCGACCATTATCACTCTGCTCTCTGGCTCGTAGCAGCTTGGCAACAGAATCAAATCGAAGAGAACGACGGTGATCTCGCTGTTCAAATCCTCGATCACCTTGCCATTTCCATCGCTGAACTTGGTGATCTTCTCCAAGCCCTGGAAATCACAGCGGTTTTGATGCAAATGCGACCAGAAGAGGCGCGATATCAAAGAAATTACAATTACTATTTGGAAGAACTCGGACTTGATCAAGAATCAACACCATCGATGAAAAGGGGGATGAATTTTTCAGCGAAACATCTTCCCAGGTAAAAAACATTGTCGATTTTCTACTGAAAATGCATTTCAGACCGGAGGCGCATTACGAATCTATGCGAGAATACGAGCGTTTGTGCCGAGAATTCTCCCCTCCTCACAAACCAAACCTCAAATGCTTCTACTGGACCGGCCCAAGCCCTCTCTCTTTCCTCCAATGGGCTCCTGTCAAGACCGAAGAGCTCCACGACGACCCCCTCATCGTCCAATTCTACGAAGTCGTCTCGAACGAGGAGGAAAAAGCAATTCAACTACTCGCTGGAGAACACCTCAACCGCGCCACAATTCAAGATCCAGCAACGGGAGAACTTGTCAACGCTGATTATCGAATTCAAAAAACTGCCTGGCTTACTGAACATGAAAAACTCGATGTCAACGGGACAATCGCAAAATACAACAGAAAACTGACGCAAATAACGGGTCTCGATGCAGATTTCGCGGAACTCGTGCAAGTTGGAAATTATGGAGTCGCGGGTCAATATGAGCCGCATTGGGATCATCAGAGCTACCCCGGCGCTGAGAATCGTTGGGATCCTGCAGAGGTAGAGTTTTCTTATGGAGTCATTAGAATGATCTATTTTTAGGGCTCTAGAATAGCGACGTGGCTGGCGTACATGTCAGAGCCAAACATGGGCGGAGGAACTGTATTTATTCAAGCAGGAATTCAAGCCAGAGTAAGTTCTTCAAATTTGATCAAATCTCTTCATGTCTATCATTTCTAGCCCGTGAGAAACTCCGCCGTCTTCTGGTACAATCTCCTACCCTCTGGTGAAAGCGATGACAACACTCAACACGCAGCTTGTCCAGTATTGTCAGGGACAAAATGGGTGTCAAACAAATGGTTTCACGAAAGAGGGCAAGAATTCAGAAGAAAATGTGCGCTTGATGAAAATACTCGAAATACTTACTTGTAAAATAAATTGAAAATGAGCTCTTTATCTTTCAGCTGAACTGTATTAGTATTACTGATTTTGCACTTTGGCAGAATGACCCGCCCAAGGAAGTCAATTTTTGTTTATAGCGTTAGTTCGCGAAAGATGCATCGTGTTCTTTCCTCGGTCAGCACGGCGAGCGTCTAAGATTCCTAAGAAGACGAAAAAAGGGAAACATCAAAAGAGATGGCTGACGAAAATCTTGTCAAAAGTAAGAACTCAGGTTTGAAATAATCAAAAATCGCGAAAGACCTAAAAATGTCAAAGTTCTCCGACCTCGGCGAAAAAGTGTCTTGGAAGAGTCAATAACTGAAATCAAGTCAACAGAACAACGATTTTCGCTCAATGTCTTCCTAGGTAAACGGAAAGAGTATCTTCAAAAATAGCTCTTTAGTGATCATTTTCATCCTGACAACGATGGGATGCCTACGATTTCTGCTCAATATGAAATAAAGAAATTGCTTCTTTTCTTTTAATCTATTTATATTTTTGAAGCCAAATTATTTTTTTCTTCACATGAGACGTTCAAAAGGTACAGAACTCCAGTCATCAGCATCAGTATTTCTTTTGTTTGGTTGAAAAAAGGGTTGAGGTTGTTCAGTTGATTTTTTGGGGCAATGGTTGGGGGTATCTTATCCAACCATTCTATGAGAAGCGATTGAAGGCAGAGACTGTTGGCTGAGCTCTGCTTGATTGACTTCGAAACTTATGAAAGGCTGAAAATAGTCCACTCTTGAAGGAGAAAAAAAATTTGTGGATGGTATTTTCAGACCAAATTTAACTATCTTCTTGATTTCGTCTGTATTTGATGAGGACGACGATCAGGACCATGACGACAAGAGTCAGAACAACGACACACGAAAGAGCAACTTTTACTGGTCAATATGAATGACTTTGAAATTTTCTTTGAGAATCTAAAAGAAGGAAATCCATTGACCCATTCCCATTGACGCAGAACTAAGTCCTTCAATCTTTTTCTTCTCCCTCGGTACTCCTCCTTGATTTCCATTCATTTCAAGTCTTTCTCCCTCTCTTTCACTCTCTAAGTGGCAGGCACAGGGCTCCTCTTCTATCAGCGAGCAAAATTGCTCCGATTCTGGACATCTTCGCTTCTCCCTCAATCTGAACTTCGGCGGGCAGTTTTCCGAAAGATCAGTGTCAGCGAAAGAACTCGGGATTTGGATGCAGTCGCTCCATGATGCCCACTCGCTCCAATCAGGACATGCATCGTATAAGCAATCTTTAAGAAAAAGAAGAAAAAATGCGAGATAAACCCTCTTTACCTTCCGTTTTCTCGTTTGAGCCAATACAATCGATCATACAGTCATCGTTGTGAGTGCATTCTCTCAGCTGTTTCCTCTCGTACTAGAAATTCAAGTGAATTTGGGGTACAATTCATTGCCGTTCCTACCCTTGTTCGATTAGGCGAGCAGGGATGTTGAGCAATACAATCCGACCACTGATTCCACTCTGTCCATCTTGGGCAGTTGAATTCTGACTGTTCAGAATTATCAACTTCTTTGCAGACAAATTTTCTCGCGTTACATGATTCTAGCTCAGTTTTCAGCTCGTCGCAATTTTGTTTCTTTGAATTTTCTTCGCAAAAGATGACATATTCTCCGGGCGAGCCAGACGCTTCATTTTCTGAGTGAAAGTCGCAAGGACTTTCTGTGTCTTTTGGATAAGGACCTTCCTTTACTTGGCCGATGATAAAGCCGTCCTGAGTTATTTTCCTGTCGCTGAAGAGATTTACCGAAAGAGTGCTTTCCGAATCTGATGAGATATCCGAGCAATCTTTTTCAAGGTTGAAAAATGCTCTTCAACTTTTGTTAAGGGTGTCAGTTTGTTAATAAACCTTCATTCCTATCAGTGCTTTTTTCTCCTCAGTGACATTGATTCCATTCCAAGACTCAAAGCAGCTCTCTTGCAGAATAATCCAGTCCTGCTTGTGCTGGATGTAGCAAAAACTCGAACTGTATGTAACTGTGATGAGGGAGAAAATAAGCATTTTTGAAAAAGAAGAAATTAGACAAAATCAAGGCCGAACGATAGAATAGGTCAAATTTAAAATTCACTCTGCACCTGCGCAAAATCAATACCAACCGGTCGATTTTCTAGAGCATGCGATGATTTGATTTTTGATGACTCAGCGGATGATAAAGAATGAGACTTTGATGGGCAAGGGATATGTTACCGCTAGGGTTAGGGTTAGCGCTAAGCTGTGTTGGACAAAAATACGGGATTGAGCTTTCTTTCAGTCAAGTCAACTAAGGGTGTCACTACGCCAAACTTGGAAGAAGGAATGACCTTTCAAAAATTATGAGAAACATGGAAGCAGTAACAATCTTTGGTATCAAAAACACTTGAGATCGAGCTGGAAAAAGTAAATTTATGCAGTCGATTGGAAACAGCTTGTTTGCCTCTGGATTATTTTATCGGCGGAAGGCTGTCACAAAAATTGAAAGAGCTTTGAATACGTAGCCAAACACTCGTCCTTCACAAATGCGAATTTCTCCGGTTTCGGATTCTATTCAGGCTTTATTACGGTGTAACACCCTTGGAAGAAGCCGAAAATGCCGCTGTTTGGCGAAGAAAAAAAATAAAGCAAAACGAGGATAATAAAAATTGGTTACTCAAGTTCAAATTGTTTGACAACGCGGTATTTTAGCTAAAGCCCGGGGTTTACACAAGTCAAAGCGCTTGTAAATTACGAATACGTCATTATTGGCTAACTGGGTTAATGGCTTGCAAATTCCTTTTTTTAACTAGGTTTTACTGGGTTTTTTTCCTGTATTTTTTTCATTTGGCTTTAGGTTAGGGTTAGGAAAATAATCTTAGGAAAAAATAAGGTATTTTTTAGTAAGAAAACGGGCAAAAAAAGAGCTCAAAAGGACGAAAAAACACTCATTTCTAAAATTTTACCAGATTTTGATGATTTTTTGCGTTTTAATTTTGAAAGAGAATATTTTCTGCACCCTTTTTGAATTTTTGACGCGTGACTAGAAATGGAGATCATAAACGACTCACATAATTTACACCGTTTTTAGAAAACATAGCCCCGAAGCCCCTGCGGTTTTCGTACAAATAAGATCATTCAGCTATCATTGTCCCGTAATCTTACAATACAAAAAATGGATATCATCAAATTTTAACACCGCTTGACTCCCAAAAATAGTCCAAAAAGGGCACGGGCCGCGGGACCCTGCGTAGAAAACCTGAGTCAGGGTCGTGAAGATATTTAACGAAAAGCCGCGCAGCGGCTATTCAAAAAACGAAGCCGCGAAGCGGCTTTGCGACATTATCATTCAAGGTAAAAAGATTCAATTGTATATCCATCATACCCTGACTCAGGTATTTTCTACGGTTGTCAAGATCAGACAGCAAAAGGTTCGAAAAAATCGCACATTTATTCAAGAATGTATCGAAGCGTCGGAATATATCAAAGTATTATTTTGTCTAACAGGGAGAATAAAAATAAAAGTGTACAGTAGTAGAAGTTCGAGGGAAACAGTAGGGGAAATTTTGATAGAGAATTTTGAAAGCTGAACTTGAGCGTCTTTTGAGTATTCACACCAATATACAAATATGTAAAAAACAAGAAGAAATAGAGAGATAAACATGTGATCAAGAAAAAAAAAAGAATAAAAAAGCTAAAACAAATCGTTATACATATAAAATGATCATGTTTGAATATGAAAGTTTAGTTTGAAATATACTTTTTTGTATATATCTTTTTGAGGTTGCCGTTATAGAGAACTGTATTTTTCTTTTGTTGCCTAAGTTTTGGTCGGATTGAGGCTTTTAAGATCGTTTTTGAGGGTAAGATTATTTTTGAAAATTAAAATTGTAAGAAAATGCATATTTTTGGGAAAAAAAAAACTAATTTAAATTTTCGCTAAATAAGGGGGTCAGCCCGATAATTTTGTACACATTAGGCTTTCAGGATCCTTTGAGAGTCAGAGACTCAAGAAATCCTGCTGAGAGTATTCAATAAATCAAGTTTTAGCCTAAAACTTTTAAATAAAAAAATATTAACGATTTCGGGCTCGATACCCTTAAGTTCAAAACTCGTAAAAGAGAGATAACATTGATAAGGCTCTAGTCATGTAAAAAGAACAGTCGGATTGACTCAGAAAGTCACTAGAATCGTGCTTGCATGAGTCATAACTTATGTCAGGAAGTCAAGTCAAGTCAGACATTTTCGTCAACTTCGTCAGGAGTGACTCGCTCGAGCGTGGCGCTAGAATTTTCAGACGACATTGAGGAATCGTTGACGCCAGAATCGGAACCAGAGTCGGAGAAAAAGGCGGATTTGAGGCTTTCGGCGACCGTCGAGTAGCAGCTTTTCAGGAAATCCTAAAAAAAAAGTTTGAAATCAAGGAAGAAAATTTGGGTTCATAAAAGCTCATCCTAAAAACCGCCTGGGTCAGCAGATCACATAGCAACGCGTAAGTTAATCAGAGTCCGTTCCATGGGATTTTAACTTCCTCATAAGTCGCTGGTTTTATTTGCTCCGGCCAAATAGCGGACGCGACGTATTTCAAACGTCAAGGGCGACTTTTGCGAGCTTGATGAGCTCGAAACAAGAAAGATTTTGAAAAGCTGATCAGTTTTTTTTTTGCTGGCTGGGGCTTTTTGGAAGTTTCTCATCTTGGTGCTACCAGACAGACGGTTTTTTCGGGGTCAAGATTTCGGTGCTTGTGGGATCCTTGGCTGGCGACCCTGTGTAACACAGGGAAAAACCTGAGTCAGGGTTTTTGAAAAACATCTGTCAACCTTCAAGGGTTATTTTTTCGAAGCCGCGTTGCGGCTTTGTTAACAAAAAAGCCGCTATGCCGCTTTTTATTCAAGCTCTATTAAACCCTGACTCAGGTTTTCGAGCCAAAATAATTCTTATTAGTGTTTTTTTTTATAGAAAGATAATCTCGGCCAATTACTCAATTATCCCACTTCCTAAATAACTTTATGGCGTTGAATTTGTTTGACAAATGTGCTCTGCGGCGAAATCTGGCAAACGAAAACGGGGCTTTTCATCATTATCAAGAAAGCGAGTGTTTGCCCGCGCCAGCTAGTCACCCGGTTGTATTCAAAACCCAAAACCGCAGTGGAATTTGAAAAGTTTTACGAAGCGTTTTCCCACGTTTTTGAACTTCGACTCAAAACAATAAAAAGAATTTCGAATTTTCGAAGCCGAAAATCGAGATTTCGAAATTTCTTAAAATTCTAGCGCTAGCTAGGGGGAATCAAAGTGCATAACTTACGTTTTCAACGCCGATTCCAGCTTGCATCCGGGCCAAAATGCCCTCAGGCGTGTTCTTTGGGAATTTTTCGTTTCCGCAGACGGCGGCGGTGACACAACAGGCGGCGATCATTGATGGCGGAACCATGATGAATTTTTCATCTGAAAGAAGTTTGAATGAAGCGTCAAAAAGACGACCGAAGATCCGGCCTGTTTTGTTCGCGAGGGTTTATCTTTGTTTATCTCCCCTTCTCCGCGCACCTGGGAAAACGGTTTCTGTGCAATTTTTAATACTCAATAGCCCGTGTCAATCTGTTTTGCCTAAAACCCTAAGCCAGCGTTCTCAGGGCGGCGATCGCGCCAGGTGGCAGTTTTTAAAAAGCGCGCGCGAAGCGAAAATAAAGAAGGAGAATAAAAAAAGGAAGAAGTGCGTGGGAAATGAATATTTGTGGCTCAAATCAAAATAGATTTTTGAGTTTAAAAAAAAAAGATTTTAACGAATAAAAGAACCCTTATTTTAGACAAGAGTAAGTTTTGAGCCCGAAAACTGTGAAGGCAAATTAAGGGCGTCAACACCTTTAAGCGCTTCTTTAGCTGACTAAGAGGTGGCCATCCTGTGCAGAAAACCTGAGTCAGGGTCCTTTAAGAGCTTCTAATAAGAATCCCTTTCAAGACCCTGACTCAGGTTTTCTGCACAGGATGGCGTCCTCTAAGTCAGCTAAAAAAGCGTTTAAAGGTGTTGACGCCCTTCAATTAAGAGCCCCTTAATTTGCCTTCAATGTCAAATTGAAGGCTTTTTCCTCAAAATCCTATCCACAACCGGCCTCGTTGAAAATCATGCAAATCCGCTATTATCTCCCTTGCCACCCAAGAAGCCCGAAATTGGATCAAACCGATCGCGCGTAAAACTCCTTGACACCAAATTTCAAAAACAGTCGCTATTTCTAGCTCATTTTCTTACCGATGGCAACGACATCAGCATAAGTAGAAGCGTGACGGGCGACCAAATCGACGTCGTCGGATTTGGAAATGTCGTCGGGAAGCAATTGAACGAGCTCTTTGATGAAATCTTTCGCCACGGGACCGTACAAGTCCCACTTTAGCTTCAGTAGGATGAGCAGCTCCATGTCCTTAAAAATCAAAATGTCATGCTTCGGCGGATTTTATTGGAAGGGAAAATATACTCACCAATCTACAAATATTCAAAAAAAACAATTGACATCTCCTTTGAACCAGCTCTTGGCACCCTGTGTAAAAACCTGAGTCAGGGTGCCGAAAAAGCTCAAATGAAAAGCCGCATAGCGGCTTTCTCAAAATCGAAGCCGCAGGGCGGCTTCGCAAAAATAATCCTTTGAGATTCACCGAGCTTTTTTAAGACCCTGACTCAGGTTTTTACACAGGTTGCTAAGTCCGAAAATAGAGATGGTAAGTTTGGTATTATTTCGCTAAAAAAATTGGGGCATATTTTCATGAAAGTTATTTTGGACCCTGACTCAGGTTTCTACACAGGTTTTCGAGCCGAGATTTTCGACAACCTTGAATTCGAAAAGACTAAGATCCCAATCTATCACCATACCAACAATATCCTTCCCCGACAAAACTAGTCATTTCTACCACTAGTTTATGTTATCCGGATACGTAGACCGGTGGTGAAGCACACTTACCAGAAGCTGTTGGGCGGTGATCGATCTGTCGGTGTACGCCACGATCACCTCGACTTCCGTCAACGGCGAAAATGACTCGCGCAATTTGGCGGAAAGGAAGAGGGTCGCAGCGCCGAGTAGTTGAAGCTCCGAGCGGCGGATTGTGCAGACTAAAATTCAAAGTTCATAAAAGTCAAAAAAATAAAGACGAAAAACTCACCGGATAAAAATCTATCCATCATATTGACAGCCAAGCTGAAAACCGTCTCTGCCGTCCTCGTCTCCTCGCAAACCTGAAAACATACAGTTAGAGCGACGCTAGAAAGATTTGAGCTTCTGGGAAGGAGAAAATAAATTATCGCTATTGTCGAGAATTTCCGGTAGGCGCGCATTTTTTTCTGGGAGCTAAATGAAATCGATTATCGCGCTGTGGCCGACCATCGAAATACGTCAAATTTAATTTGAAATTATATTTCCCCGACGAGAAAATCACAAGTTCAAAGACTTTTTTCGAACTCTTCCCATATTTCTGAAAGCTGCTGAGGTCGGAAACCTGTGTGAAAAACCTGAGTCAGGGTCTGAAAAACTAAAATACGAAACAAGATTTTCAGACCCTGAGTCAGGTTTTCAACACAGGAAAAGCTTCCAGCAACGATTTTTCTTTATAAAAAAGAACTAGTTGTTTTAATAGATCTAAATCGATGAATGCATTGTTTTGATTCCACCCAGACTCATTAAAATCGTCGATAAAGGGCCTCATCCTTTCAAGTACCCGAGCAAAAGTGTATTTGGGTGCCGTTTCCGTCTTTTCAAGTGGGCCCACTTTTGGGCCGGACGTTTATTGTCTTCCAAAACTGACAGATTTCTGGACGCGGCGGAACATCACGTGATCAAACGGAAGGGTTAAGGGTCTCATCAACGATTTTTTGGGTGATTTCATGGTCCAGTTTTTTAAGGGTGTCAAACCGAATCAACAAACATGGATGGAATGAATAATTTAACAAGAAAAATGCGAGAAATCCGGATTTTAAAGGTATCCCTTGCCTAAAAAAAGCTTTTTTCCTCAATTTAATCGAAAACTGGAACGCTAGAATTGAAAAAATCGGGAATCAAACGCTTCAAAAAGTCGATAAATCCGATTTTTTCGACCCCTTCTTCTCAAATCCGATGATCTCCCACGCGGTGCACTTCCGATCAAGTCTCCCCTCAATTGAAAAATTAATCAATCATTCAAGATAGCCACCGGAAGATCGAACTTTGCGTAATAGCCGGAAACGCGCGATAAAACCGGACACGGGCTCGTTTAATGCGTGGCGAGATCAGCCGGGGCGCCGCCGCGGCTCGGAAGTACTTTCAAAACGCTTCAAAACTTTCAAAGCCGACGCTTTTTACAACAAGAAAAAATGATCATCCGGCATAAAAACAGACCACCAAGACAAACAACTACCAAGAATGTCAAGTTGAATAGTAAATCTTTCCCAGGCTTCAGAAAAATGTTAATTTTATTTATTACTTTGTCTAAATAAGTGTCTATCTAAGTAATGAGCTTATAAATGTTCATGACACTAATGACACTCATTATCGTAGGAAGAGCCTTAACGATCTTTCCACTGTGGAAAAAATTCCACAAGTTATTTGTCGGCTAGAAAATCTGAGTTTAAAACCTGAGTCAGGTTCTGAAAGAGCTAAATAATGATATCGATCAAGATATACTTGCGAAGCCGCTTTGCGGCTTCGTTTTTAGAAAAAGCCGCTACGCGGCTTTTCTTTTTAGCACTCTCAGAATCTGACTCAGGCTTTCTACTCAGTTTGGGGAGCCCAGTAAATCGGAATAAGAAATCAGGGTCAAAAGCAACTCAACCGAAAATAAGTTTGAAACTTGCCATAAGTCCTCATTCTCAACAGTCCTATTGCTAATCGATTTTACAGTTGTCACAGTTGTGAAAGTATTGATCAGCAACTTATAACATCAGCACTAATCCTGACAAGTGATCATTGCTGATCACAGCAGGAAATAATTCACAACCTAATAAACATACGAATATATTACCAGTTAAAAAATTCAGAGCCTGAGAAAAACGGTAAGGTCACCGATCGTGAAACTGCCCGCAAAAATGTCATGAAGGAAAGAAGTAATTACTAGTTCTTGTAATTAGTAGCAGATTTTTAATTGTTCATTTTGGTCGTCATAAAAAATGATGAAACAAAAAGTTAGGTAATTTTTTGAATGAAAGAACTTGAATTTCAATAGACTTTTCTGCCTATCCCCAAAGCTTCAAGATTAAGGGTATCAAGCCGTTATTCGAAATCATCGAAAATCAGATGATAGAAAAGAATAGCTGTTTCCGGACCTGACAGTTGAAAAAACGGCAATTTACGGCTTCTTTTTATCAAAAAATCGCCACCGAAACATGTCTTTTTTCATACAAAAAATGAAATTTACGGCTTTATAACGATAATTATCGAGCGCGACAAAAATAAAGTCCCTTTTTTGTTCATTTCGGTACTCGAGCATGAAATTGTTTGTGTTTCAAGTTGAATGTTGGGTGCACCTGTCCATTGACGAATATAAGAAAAATCATCACGTGAGCTTATTATGGTGGATTTCGTGGTTGCGGGGGGAAGTCGTGGGAGCTTGGAAAAGGGAGAGGGAAAGAGATAAGAATCCGTAACATAATATTATTTGACATTTTCAATTCGAAAGTTCTTTTGCCAAATTTCAAGTTCAACTTCCAAAAATGATAAAAAATATATTTCAAGAAAATTTTTGTTCGATGACTTTTCTGGGGTTATTTTCTTTTTTTTTACGAAAACGTAACTGTCAGAACAAAATGTCAAACAGTCATCGACAAGACCCCAGCTCATGGAGCTAAGAGGAAGCTCGGAAGATTAACGTACGGGTCGCGCCCTTAATTTTTTAACAGCCGGGCATTTCTTTGATCAGCGGATTTTCGGATTTTCGGTTTTTAGGTTGTTAGGTCTTTCGGTCTTTTTTTGATCTTGTAGGGCACGGATTATGCGCACGCTTTTCTTTCTGTCTTTTAGGGTCAATTAAGGGTGTCAACAACGTTTTTTTTCTTATCGGGAAGATTGATAAGGGTGTCCTATGGATTTTGGGGGTCTTATTTTGAAGGGGAAGGGAAGGGATATTTGTTTATTGTACTTCTTCGGTGGGAATCAAAAAGGTCAAGTTTGGCGGTAATTTTAGTTTGATTAAGCGCCAAGGCCCGCCCAAAAAAGTTGACCCTCTTTTTTTCAGGAGCTTGTTTAGTGGTTGTGCTCGACAAGTGAATTTCAAGTACCCTTGGGCACAAGAAGATTCAAGATTGAATTTTTCAAAATTGAAATTGGAATTCTTGGTCTCGTAAATTTTTAAGATTGAATCGAAAGCCGTTAATTTTTGCGGTTTTTGACAAAATGGACAGTCATTTCCGCCGGATGCCCTTAAAATTTTTTGGCGAAAAGCCCGATTTTTTTTTCAAAAATTTTTAATTTGAAAAACATATTTTCAATCTTTTTTCAAAAGAAAGTCAAAGTCAGACTTTGAATAAGGGTTTCCCGGCCGCTATTTCACTTCCTGAAGGAAATCAATGAAAAAACGGCTCATCCGGGCACGTGATTTTTCGTATTTACCCAGGCGTTCATCATTATTTGAAATGTGCAATGTTTTCAAATAAGCGACGTTTTCTTTTCAGAGGTCGTCTGTTTTTATGAACCCGAAGCTGGAATAGACAGACGAATAAAAGCTGAAATAAGGTGAAAAAGGGAAAAGGGGAACATAATGATTATTTATTAAAGCCTTCCTAGGGGGTCAAAAGCCGCAAAATCCGGCAGTACGTCCGATGAGGGAATCGGATTAGCGAATTTATTATTACAAATTTGCATTTTTGGCCGAGGCGCCCGCGAAGCCTTTTCAAATTTTGCGCATTTTTCGGCCAACGGAACCGCGCACATTTTTGCGCGCAGCGATGCCCTCCGGCGATAGAAAAATCGCTTGGTCGAGCCGAAACAGTAATTTTCGGCTCGAAAACGGATCAAAACCGTCCGGAAATAGTCGACTCAACGATTCGTAAATTTTGAAAAGAAGCGCAAAAGTCAAGAAAAAGATCATTACCTCTAACATCCACATCGTGACTTTTTGGCGCATCCAGGGGGCGATTACGTTCTTTTGGACGAGGGAGAAGTAATTCGAGATGGGCATATACTTTTCCTCCAGACGGACGAGGGACTCGAGCACGCGCGGGTTACAGTCCATTGCTGGGTCGTTGATGGATTTTTGAACCCACTTTTTAGGGCTCAGAAAAAATTTTTACGAAAACATTTTCATACCAAAAGAAAGATCAGATCTTCTTCTATCGAAACCTGTATAGAACTGTAGGTCTGATATTTACAGTTAAGGAGATACAGTCAGATAAGTAAAGCTGTCTATTTATTAAATTCCGGCATAAAAAAATCATTTTTCTTTTCATGAAAACTCATTTTTCCTCGACATTTTTAATAATATTTACTGTAGTTCAAAGACAGTAACAAAGATACATGCAAAAGCTGAACCCTTTCCTGAGCAGATTGATCCCAAGTCCACTGCGACATTTTTTCTTCTATATCTTCGATTACTATCTTCTCTCTCTCTTTTTTCTTATCAAAGTCCTTCTTTTGCCAAAAAATTGGCACTCAATTCTCAAACAGGTTAAAATTTCTTTTCGAAATCTTCAAAAAGAGACGCTAGAAGAAAAACGCACGAACTCGGTAATTGATCGAAAATAACGACTCGGCGACTCGACTCGTTGAATTCTTTCTTTTTCGAAAAGGAGAAGTGCGGCTGAGCTGCGCGGGCGTCCTCTGGCGCCATCTATTTCAGCGGCGCGTTTTCGAATGCGCGGAGCGAAAGAAATGTGACGAGCGGCGAGGAATGTTTGAAAGGCACTGCCTAGTCACGTGTTTTGGAATTTTATGAGTGCGTAGCGTGAAATTTACTTTTTACCAATTTTATAAGGTCTTCGTAAATTTTGAAAAATGAAACGATCTCAGCCTTAGTTTTTGAGGGGAAAGTAGAACAGGCAGCTCATTCAAAAAAGAATAGATTGCCGTAGCTAGTATTTTCAAAACAAAGAACGAAATTGGTGATTTTCAGTTTTTTTATTAGTCCAAGATTCTCAAACCTCTAGAATAGTGGTTGATAAGGGCAATTTACCTCAGGAAGGCCTTGTTCATCGTTGACTTCATGCATATATGGCCTTGTTCATCCTCTAATTATCTGCTTGTCACCCCTCGCTAAACCCGAGTTTAGAGGAGGAACAAAGTCACAAATGCAAAAATAAAAGGATGAACAAGGCCCCTCCCAATTTCACTGAAATCATCAAATTTTAGGGCTTTAGTTGCTAACTACGGAAAAGCCTAGCCATAACCCTAAGTAAGGCTTCTTTATTCCTCGAGCCTAACCCTAACCTACTCTTGTTTTTTGAAAAATTATTGCTTGATTTTTCATTAAAAAATTCTTCCTAGAGGAAGTTACAAATTTGATTACATTTTTGATTCATGGCCCATGAATCATGGGAAAGTTTCCTTTATTGAAGATAGATTTCCTTTACCGCGTATTTTTATCGATAATTCGATTCAGCTTTTCCTGTGAAGGAGGAAAGTCATCGATGCTTTGCAAAAGATTTAGATGAAACGGGAGGAAATTGGTCGTAAATTACGACTCGTAATATTCTATAAGCTCGAAAATTAGTGTTCCCCGAAGAATTTAAAAAGGGCTTTTGAGTTTACAAAAGAAATTTCCAAAACACTTGACATTTTGAAGTGCTATTTGCCCATAATCACGAAGGGAAAAGAAACTGCGATATTCGTGTTTGCCCGTTCCGTAATCAAACTCTACGCCTGCTTGGATTTTGAGCTCATGAGTGTCTTCTCCCAGAAACAAGGGCAGAAGCTTATTTTGAAAAAGCTTATTTTGAAAAATGAACGGTTCAAAAGGCCTTTTTTTGAGATGAAATTGATAAAAAAAATCTTCATTTTTCGATCCAAGATTGTCGATGAAATTTCAGGGCTTTTGCCCAAGATTGTCGATTTGAGTCATTCTTACCGAAATTCCCGAAATCGGCAATAATCGGTAAAAGAGTTCGCCGATAAAATTGCCGATTTTCGAATATCGGGAAATCCTGGGAAAAATCGACAATCTTGGGCAAAATTTTAGAAGAAAAATTGACAATCTTTGATATTCAAGAAGAAGATGCTTCTTTATTTTCAACAGAAAAGGGCAATTATTCAAGTTCAGAAGTCCAAAAAGAACAATTCATCAAATCTTCCCAATTATCCACGATCTGGGAAAAGCTAATCCCTTTGAGGTGTAATTATCAATCAAGGGCAATCAATAAATTATCCTTTTAGGTGGTTTCCGTCGCGATTAATCCTCGCCGTTTCTGCGGTCCTCGTCCTAAACAGGCGCCGTTAATCCAACTTATCATTACTCGGCGCTTTTCCTTTCAAGTCGCTGAGATTTTCTCAGATAATCCGAAGTGCCATAAACATCGATTTTTGGAAAGCAGAAAAGGCAGAGGCGCCTCTGATATATTCTCACGCTATTTAAATTTTATCTGTTTATTGACTTTCTACTGAATAAAAAACGCTGTTTTTGCCGACTCCGACTCTGATCCGAGAGTCTTCTGGAATTCCGGCACTTAGTAACATGGAATAACCGACGATTTTATGATGTTTGTGACATTTTCCTCGCGCCAAAGCGGGAAAATCATCGCAAAATATGTCAGATTCTCCGTTTTCTATGAGAGCTCTCCCTTTTTCTTTCAAAAATTTAATCCCTTTCGCCCTCTTTTTCGCCGGATACTTCTTTGGACTCAGCTCGAAATTGAGAGAAGTCGAAATCAAGGAAGAAAACAGGCCAAATACTCCAATCTCACCGACAAAAACGACCAAAAACGAGAAAATCGAGGAAAAAGAAAAACTCGACACCAAGCGAATCGGGAACAGAATAATCGTTGATCATTTGAGAGGGTGGAACAGAGCCATTCCAGAGACATACCCACAGCCAGAGGACTTGTATAATGGAAAAATGTGCAAATGCGACTTTGCCGGAAAATATTTTAACTTTGTGAAAATGTCGAAGAAAGAAAACCTTGCTAAATACGTGAAGGACTTTGATTTGTGGAAGCGAGATTTCTATTTTGAAATAAACAAGCCGCCAATGATTTTTGCAAAAAGCAATCTTCCTGTGGAATATGTTTCGAATGGCTACGAAATTGAACCGATTGAGTCAGTTCATTTGAAGATCAAAATTGTGGCAGATCCGGGAAAGAAAGTCTGCGGTAGATTCACGGCTCATTTTGGCGAAGTAAGCTGGATTGGGGGTGAAGAAATAAGTGTTTTAGAAATGAACAAGGCCTTCGAAAAAGCTCGATATTTCCCAAGGGTTTATGATGCTAGGAAATGATTTCATTTGATTGAAAAAATCCTTAGTTTAGAAATCGAGAAATCAAGAATAATTTGAAATCAAGGAAGAAAACTCGTCGACATCGTCAGTTTCTTCGTCAGCGGCGACCTCGACTTTACCATTCAATTTCCAGTTACAATCAGATGGAATCCACTCCCTGTTCTTCATCATCGAATATCTGATGCAATTGAGCATCGTGTCACTATCATTACCAAAACATATTTGCGATATTCTTGTCTCAAAAGATTTTTGAAGAGCGTCGAGCAATTTTACCCTGGAATCACTGTAATAATTGCGGATGATAACGTCGACGACGATTTTGAAAAGATTGAAAGCAAGACATTGAGGATCAAGCAGTACCGAATGCCCGAGAAAGAAGGATGGTTTGCTGGAAGAGCTTTAGCGATGAGTCCAGAGTTGCAAATTTTGTGAGCTAGCTGAGCTGAGCTATCTGAGCTAGCTGAGCTCAGCTCAGCAATTTCGAGGTGAGGGTCAGCTCAGCTCAGCTCAGCTCAATTTGACCTCAGCTCAGCTAGCTCAGCTCAATGGTTCTTCGAAAAGAGCCAGCTCAGCTCAGCTCAGCTCAATTTTAACCTCAGCTCAGCTAGCTCAGCTCAGCTCAGTCTATTGAGCTGACGAAGATCGAACCACTTTCGATTGGTCTTTTTTTCAAAAACTTCGACGTATTTTCTATTCATGCTTTCCTGTTGGTCAATTTTAGATAGAAATAATTCGAGTTTTCTTTGAAACAAGAGAGAAATTTAATAAAAAAGGGCTTCCAATAAAGAAATAATAAAGTACAGATGATAAATATGTGATTGCGAATGTGAGAGACTGGTCTAGGGGTGTGCGAGGGCAGGGGCTCCCTGTCCATCTACGCTAGAGGGTTGAAATTCGCTTCAACACATTTTGTTGACATTTTTTGTAGTAAATAAAAATCAGCTTTCTCAGCTCAGCTCAGCTAGCTCAGCTCAGCTCAGCTAGCTCAGCATAAAAAAATGGTCAGCTCAGCTCAGCTAGCTCAGTTTGAGAAATCATCAGCTCAGCTCAGCTCAGCTCAAAAATTTTCAAAAATGCCCCAGCTCAGCTCAGCTCAGCTCAATTTTTTTGATAAAAACCAGCTCAGCTCAGCTCAGCTCAGTTGATTTTTATAAGGAGCCAGCTCAGCTCAGCTCAGCTCAATTTCGACCTCAGCTCAGCTAGCTCAGCTCAGAAAAAATTTTCAACAATTTGCAACTCTGGATGAGTCAAGTTAGGTAGGATTCTAACTGTACTTATCTTGATAATGATAGTGAGAACTCCTGAGGACTTCTATGATAATACTATGAATTATGGACTATTGGTTACGGTGAATACCCAACAAGGGGAACAAGATATTTACTCTTGTCATAATATTCATATATTTTTTTGTGAATAAAACTAAATTTTACTAGTTTTATGGTCTTTGACATTTCGATGGTACTTACAGAAGTCGAAATTGCAATAATGAGTTTAACTCAATCTTTATCCGCATTTTATTTAACCATTCCCCCAGTTTAATTCTGCGTTTATGGTTATTAGACGTGTAAATGGTTAAATAGTAACTAAACCTTATCTATGAATCTCGCTTTTTTGAGGCTGATTTTTTACCTTGTATTGAAAATAATGCTGATTTTATGGTTAATTTCTTTTAGGACGCAGTTTTTTGTTTGGTGCGATGACGACTTCGAGTTCACCAGCGAAACCGACTTGGAGTATATGGTTCATGTTGCCGAAACGACCGGCTTCGATATTGTTGGCGGAAGTTTAAACAAACACGAGCGTAGCCTGTGGGCGCAGAGTGATTTTTTGAATATCCGGGCATCTGAAAGTGGATTTTGCTTCCACAGGGGAATGTATCGGAATCTTGAACTACCGGGATTTGAAGATGAGTGTTTGATTGTTGATTTGATGGACAATTTTTTCTTGGGGAGGACAGCAACTGCGGGAAAAATAAGATTCGGTAAGGGGCAAAATCTTCACTTCAATAAAATGACTCCTTTTTCAGACCTAGAATTTGATAGAAAAGGCCACAAGGAATTCTTCATCGATGCAAGGGGACAGCTAAGAATTGCCTGGTGCAAGAAATCAATGGTTAAGCACGTTAATGACTGTACTTCAGAAGAAAATTATCACCGATATCTTTCTGAAAGACTTGGCAGAAAATACGGCTCAGAAACAGGTCGATTTTCTCTCCGAATTTCGAGTAAAATTGCTTTTTAGAGTTCAAAGATCATCTTGGAGAATTGTGGTACTTTCGAAATCATATGAAATGCTCTGTAGAAGCTCCCTAGTTTTTTTTTAATAGAAAACGCTTTCTGACTTGAATGATGACGTCTTGCAATCAACTTCGCTTCTCATGATCGTAAAAATCGACGTTTGCTCCAACTTTAATAATAAATTAGCCTTGCTAATTAGCCTTGCTACTTGACCATAAAGCCTAGAGAAAGCAAAGCAAATGAATAAAATCAGAATATGCGCATCAACGCTAGTTATTTCAACCCTTTTGTTATTCGGAGCTCAATTTCTTTTCATGACATTTTTGGGTTTCGAAGAAAAAGAGATCCGAAGAGCTAGAATCGGTGCAATCAAGGAAGAGAGAAAAATAAATCCAAAATACGTAACAAGAGATGATAAATTCTTGATTCCTTTTTTGAACTGGGGGCCAAATAATCAAATACGAGGATTTCAAGAAGCGCTTATTTTGGCAATCAAGCTCAACAGAACAATCTGCATTCCTCTTTTCTTCAAGCACTATACAGTAAGATGTCTTGCTCTCAATACAAAATATAATTTTTAGGATTCAAGCATCGCAAAGAGCGAACATCTCGTTCAGCCAGAATTTCGAATCGAGGTTTCTGAAATTCACAATCTGATGACAACTTGCGACGCTTCGAAAATCGCAAAAAATTGTGGAGGAAAAATCGACGCACTGTTCCTTGGAAGAAATATCTGTTCTGGAGATATATTTCGAACAACAAAAGAAACCTGGGAGCAACTTGGGCTTGAAGCCTTTATGGATGGAGATAATTGCCGAGGCGTGAATGGCGTGAAAACGTATCCAGAGGATGATGAACTTGCGAGAGTGCTGTCGACGAATCGGACTTGGTTGAAGGAATATTATCCAAGCGGTAAGTCTTAAGGGTGTCAACAACGAGGCATTTTTCTATCAGGAAAGATTTCTTCTGCTTGTTTATTCAGAAAGTTTATGTAATTCTAGCGCTTTTGAATTGATAGAGCACTTTTATTTCATAAAGATCACGGTATTTGACCGGTCGGGATGATGGGCTGCATCCATTTTTACAAGAAAACGATTGGGAAACTCCAAGCACATTTCGTCAATAATTTCGAGTGATCGAGGAGTTACTTCTTTTAGCCTACGTATCTCAGATTAAAATATAATTGAAGCTTATAAAATGTCTCTTTGTCAAACCTTGCTCGCAGTCGTGGTACATTTTATTAGCAATTGCGAGCTTGCGTTCAGCGCTCAAATCTCTATGAGGAGTTGGAAGTACATTAGAAAAAGAGATGAAGAAAATGCTCAAAAGAAAAAATTCCATCATTTTCGTTTTTGAGCAATTTTGAACGTCTTTTTCAAGTTTAAATAGGATCATTCTTGAATATATAAATTAAATATTCAATATTTCCTGAAGTGCGTAGCCACTCCCGACGACTCTTAGCGTCAGCGTCGTTAAAACAAATGCGACTTCAGTAACAATCAACCCTTGATTGACAACGTTCCCAAAAAGTTACCTCGAGTCATATTTTGTTTCTTCAATTTTTAGATGAGCGATGCGCAGCGATCACATATCCCTTCGTCCTCTTCCCGAATTTTCACCGCCTCATCGACCGGAACCTCCGTGGCTGGAAAAACTCAGAGCTTCCAGAAGAAGATCAGCGTATCTTTGCCGATGTCGTCAATCATGTGAAGCGGCCGAAATTCATCCGATCTCTTGTCGATAATTTCGTGAAAGAAAAACTTTTTCATGGCGATTTTATAGCGCTGCATTATCGATTTGATGAGCGAGATTTTCTCGGGCGATGTTCTGATGCTTCAAGAAGCAATTGCCAGGTCGTTTTGGACATGAAAAAGGATGTTGGGAGCGCGGCAGATTCTTTTGTCACTTATCTCGAGTCAAGACGAGCGATGAACATTAGCCTCAATGCCGTTTATCTCGCTTCCCCGCCGCAAGAAAAAGAAATTCACGGTGCCATCAGAAACGCGCTGAAGAAAAGATATACGAAGGAGGAAGTCAAGTTTCTCGACGCTGACGACTTAGATCCGTACTATGACAGTCTCAAAGACATTCCAGAAGGTCTCAGGGGAGATATCACGTCTTCGATAGAACAAGAAGTTTGCCTCAGAGCAAGAATCTTTCTGGAACGGATCAAATAATACACTGAAATGAAGCTCTTGAAGCCATATTTTGATCCGTAAAAAGCGAGCAAGACCATCGTCGTGGTCAAGTAATGTGCACATCCAAAGAGTTGGGGACGAAAAAACAAGGAAATTCGTGGACGATGATAGATTTTTACTCGACATTCTTGCTGGAAACTATTGACTTTATTGAACATATTCTGAGACATGAGCAGAGCCATCAAAATAAAGCAAACGGATAAAATGAAAAAGTTATGATCAGATTTCGAAATCAATCTTTTTGTCGGTCTCCTTTTTTCCCTTCTTTTTCTTGTCGGTCTTTTGAGCGTTCTTCTTTTGAGACTTGATCTTGAGACTGAGAACCTAAGACGCATTTTAGTTTGAAGAAAAAATAATGGATCTTACGAAGATAAATGTGATCATGGCCACGATCCAAGTGATAATGAAAAGAACTTCCATCTATGAAAAAAATCGTTTGGGATAAAAAATTTCGTGTCTTACATTTTCAATATGCTTGAATGCTCCAACAGCTTCTTCGGACAGTTTTTCTTTTTCGATCTTATTTTTGGGCGTTATTATTTCAAATTCTTTCTCAAAAATAATACTTCGAAATCCTTCATTTCGTCGTCAATCCAACTCTCTGGGGCGCTGGTTTCGAATCCGACGTACGATTGAATTCCGCTATTTGGCCGAAAATGGAATTCGTTTCTTCGAAGACTTCGAAAAGCATTCGGAAATGTCCGCTCATAAATAGAACTTAAAGTACAGGGGATTAATGCTTGCGAAACATGGCGAAATAAACCCTTCGCGATAGCCTCCCACAGTTTTGAGTCCCACTATGGATGAGTGAGTGCTAATCTTAGTTGTCGAAGTCAGAGATCTGGGAGTTAAGTTGTAGAAAGTTGTAGAAGTCGACGAGAAACTCGTTGTAGTAGTAGGTGATGTTGTAGAGAAGGATTGAAGTTTTGATCCTGTGGAAAATACAGGTGATGATTGTGTCGGATGCGATGTTGAGCCGATAGCTGTTGGTCAAGTTTAAAAATAAAAGTCATTAGTAAACAACTAATATTTCGAAACTCTGGTTGAAAGGGACTGAAAAAGGCTTGTCGCTCGAGTTGTCGTTGATTCTAGTCTAGTTGTCGAAGTCATAGTCGATGTCATAGTTGTTGATGTAGAAGTCGAAAGCTCAGTTGTTGATATGCCAGGGAAAGTTGCGCCTTCGGCAAGAAGCGCTAGAATCTCCTTGATGGTAGAGGAAAAAATAAAATTTGAAACCTGCAAAGATGAGAAGAAATATGCTGCGTCGCATCTCTGAGCAATAATAACTGAGGAAAATGTGTAGAATCGAAGTTTTAAAGCGAGCGAGTTCACGACTGAGTGAGCATCAACTTCCTTAACTTCAGTATAACTCCGCGATTTCACTAGACTTCTTAACGCTTTCGATAGTGGGATTTATTTCAATAAGAAGTAAGTTCAATTAAAGGCGTGGTCGTTCTTCAGCAAAGAGCTTGTCGGCATCGAGCTTGTAGTAAGAGTTCTTGTAGGCCTGTTTGGTGCTAGAATCAGTTCCGTGGGGAGAAGCGACGGCAAAGTAGAAGTCGTTCTTGGTCAAGTCGTAAACTGCATTGTGAACGTCACCGGTGCAAGTTCGAGCTGAAACGGAATTAGAAAAGTGAGTGACTTGTTTGTTCGTTACCGATGATGTCGGAAATGGCGTTTTCAGGAGTGATCTCGCCCCATTTCTTCTGAATCTCTTCCGAGAGTCTTCTGGTGTAAGTTGGGCAGTTCCAGTCCATTCCGTGGTAGACAACGTTGTCAATGAGCGGCATCCAATCGCATGGTCGGACTTCTTCGATGCACCATGGTCCTGGTTCAAGAGTCTACAAAGAATGAGGAATTTGTTTAACCCAGAGTAATACCTTGTCATCAAAGAAATCAGCAGCTGAGTAGCTGTATCTGATCGAATTCATCTCGTTGATCTTTCCGTCACCGACTCCGAGGATCAGATTGCAAGTTCTATCAGCAGTCTTGACGCGAGTCTTAGTATCATCAAGGCTCTTGTCCCACTGAAGAATATCACGGAGCAGGTAGGTGAAGGGAATTCCATGGCGAGATTCTCTTCCAAAAGTATGATCGGCATAAGAAGCGCCGATTTCAGAGATACCCATGAGCTGATCGTTCATGCCCGTGAGGGAGCCAACCCAACCGGGCCAGCCGAGATTGATGAAGTCGTTGCCCCAGCCTTCGGAAGGATGGTAGACAGTGATGTGGGGAAAATCTCTGAAGGGACCGTTCATGTCCCAATCAAGAGTTCGTCCCTGGATCAGACCTTCGCCAGATGCAAGCGCTTCGTCCCAAATACCGAACATCGAGCAAGCTCCCTTGGTGATCTCGCCAAACATATGAACTTGCTTCAGTTTATGAGCGGAGAGGCCAGTTGCTCGAGCGATTCCCTCGATTTCCTGATTGAAGTAGTCTGGTGTGTAGGGCTCGGTGATATTGATGGTCCTATCCATCGCCCAGTCAAGACCGCCTTCAACTACATCTTGGATGAAATCATCCGGAAGGTTTGGTGCAAAATCGTTGAGCTCTTTGGTAAGCGCATCGATGATGTAATCGAAAAGACCGTCGATGAAGTTGTTGACAGTTTCACCCAAGAGTTCACCATGGGCTCGGCCCATTTCCATGGGAGTACCGAAAACGTGAGCGATGGTTACCTCATTGTTTCCTTGGAAAACAGCCTAGTTATTTGATAGATCTATTGCGAGACAACCTGTGTTGACAGTGTAAAGTCGTCCATTCTCAACTTCCTTGACGAAAGTCGGCTCTTGGTCCAAGATGGGGCTCAAGTTCAAAGGAGCATCGGGCTTGGGACCGCCTCGGCAGTAAGCTCCGAGAGAGACGGTTGGTAAAAGAAAATCGACAAGCTTCATTTCTATTTTTTATGCTCAGAATTGCCCTGCTACTCTTTTCTGCTGATGAACACCTGCTGGATTTCTCATGGATAGTCTCGTGCATAACAATTTCTTTATTTATTTAGGCTGTCTTCTGTTGCTCAAATGCTCATGAACTCAAAGGCTTTCTGCTTCCTAATAATCGAATAACACTTGAATTGAAGAAATATTCTTCAACTCATTCAAATTTGTGGTGACATGTGAGTTTTTATTCATTTTAAAAAGGCAGTGCAACAAATATTCATATTTAAAACTTGAATGAAAGACTAAACTGTGGCCTAAGAAGTGTGGCAATTCAACCTAAAATTGACGTCGGTATTTATCAGTTTTTGTCAATTGTGTAGTTTGTCGTGAAGGTTTTTTTTCTTTCGTTAATTACTTACTTCAGAAAGGTTCCAAATTTGAGCATAAAAATTCATTCAAAATATTCAATCGGGAAATTGGGAACCTCTCCTTTTTGGCTTGAACTCATCCACGACGTTTCTGAGAACAATCTGTGGCTTCGTGTTTGGATCGTTAGATTCGTGACCTCTGTGCCAATCGTAACCGACGCTAGAATAATTTTAACTCGTGTCCACTTCGTCGGGACGAACCTGTATGCAAATATCTTTCCTTCGTGATCGACAGTACAGCAAGAAATCGACTTCTTCGGGTCGTTATTTGTGTTCATATTTTGAGCGCCGTGGATTTTCGTTCGGTTGTCCTGGGTTTCTGGTTATTTCGGATGACATGAGTGGTTTACCTTGTCCCAGAAGGTATATTTTCCATCTGAGCCGACAGTCGCCAAAAGACCGGTGTAATTTGGATGGAAGGCGATGTCGTTGACTGGGTAAATTTCTTGAGCATCTCTCGAGCTTGTGTTGTTCGGTCCTCTTGGAAACAGTGAGGAGGAGAAGAGCCGGGAGAGAGCTTACCTGTGGCATTTGAATGTGAAGTTATCAACTGGCTTGTCTGGCTGGAAATTGTGAATGGCAACTCTTCCCTCTAAATGATTTATTGAAGACATAAAGGACTCGATATGGATTACCAATAGATCCACAAGCAAAGCCAAACGGCTCGGTTCCGTTTTTATTCTTGAAGATTGAAATGCATCTTAATTGCTGCTTGAGCTGTGACTCGAATACTTTCCACTCTGACGGATCGTTGTCCATTCTGTAACCAAGGAGCTTCTTGTCGGCTGTGACGGCGACCATGATCGGCATCATCAAGTCCATCGCGTACACTCTCTAGTTTTTACAGTCAAACCCTCTTTGTTAAATGCTCTTTACCTCTGGGCAGTTAAAAGTTTTCGCTGGAGTAGATTGTCGCATATCCCACATTTTGATCGTTTTATCCAAACTTCCAGTAACCATGCATTCGTAATTATTCCCCTTCGCATAGGCACAACAAGTGATCGGCTGGTCATGTGCCGCAACTTGATTGAAGCTATCAGCTCCAAGATCCCACAACTAAACCCATCGTGAGGATCAAAAATAAGCAGAACAAACTCACCATTCCTTTCTTATCCGCTCCAACAGAAAACAGCTTGGTATTGTCTCCAGTCCAGCAGCAATCGAGAACCGGACCTTCGTGATTTTTCATAGCTTTTGCTTGAGTCGCCATTTGGAAATTTCTTGAAAACAAGTTCGAGTGAAATCAACATCGAGTCATGATTTTACCCATTATTTCCAAAGCTACCGCCAGAACTCTGAGTCGCTACTTGCCAGATTCTAACATCATTTGCCCAAGAAGTCGAAGCCAAGAACTAAGACGCTTGAAAAAGTCGATAAATCAAGGAAATACCTGTCCATTTGAAGAATTTGCACCAGTAAATCGAAGCCTAGAGACTGTATCGTTCGGAACTTCTTGAATAAAATGCTCTTTGTTGCTGTTTGAATTGCTTGAAGATCCGAAACTGCTCCCCGAATTGCCAAAAAGGGTCATTTCTGAATGAAAAAATTGTCGAAATTCTTTGGTTGAACTTTATTCCTGAACCAGGTGGAATCGGTAGTGAATGGTAGCAAAATAGTACAAAACAGTGAAGTCAGAGTCAGTAGCCGAACTTTTTCGCTGTTGGCATTCTTTGATAATATTCAATGTTTCTATTAAGTTCGGCTATGTTCGCGCCCCAGCTCGCGAAGCCCGTGTCTCTCAATCTTTCCTGATCTGGTTCTTTTTCGTTCATCAAGACGAGCAGGTTCTTTTGGTCGATTCTGGCGTCGATGATTTCCTCAGCGATGCAGTTTACAAGCAGCCTTTCGATGTCCTCAAGGTTGACTTTTAGCTCTTCTGCTAATCGAGACATTTTGATCCTCAAATACTGTCAGAATAGAAGTAGGCCCTGTCTAACCTTTTGTAAGGGATGATGAGCTTGGTCAATTTCTGCGTGCGGACTAGCTTCAGAAGGGATTCAATGTGTTCTCGTATAAAAGGATCGCCCATGATTGCGTCATGTGATTTTGGATCTGCAACGATGGTCTGGAAACCTTCGATATCGTTCGTCTGATACGCTTCTCGAAGAGCTGTCATCGCGCTGATATCATCGTAGCGCTAGAAAATGAGTATTGATGATAGGTAGGAATGCTACCTTGTATGGTTTTGCTTCTTGACTGTCGAACGGATTGATGTCCGATGAACTGAGCATATTCGCGAGAACAAGATATTTCAAGCAAGAAATGCGCCTTGGCGAACCAGCTTCATCGAAACACTTGAAGGCTTCAAAAAAGTCAGTGTGCGCGGCTAGAATCATCTTGATCATCTTGAAATAGAGACAGGACCTTACCGGCGAAGTTTTCTTCAGAAAGATGCATTTTTCCGCCGCACTCGTGGATTATCCCCTTCGTCAACGGATGAGGAATGCCTGTTTTGATGCTTTTACTCTTTTCGTAGAGGAATTTCAGTCGCTTGTTGTCTTTTCGAAGAGTGCTCATTTGGATGTCGATTTGGATGATTTCTAGCAGCTGGGTGCCCTTTTTTAGGTCCTCTTCGCCCGATTCTGTTTGACAGCTGCTTCGCAGTTGCTGAACATGAGTTAAAATTGGTATTTATATATTTAAAAACTTTACTAAAAGGACGGTGTCACAAGGGCACACATCATTTTCTCACGAGAACTTTTGAATCATTTTGACAATGAAATTGTGTGTCGATTCAAAACAATAATTCCGCTTTTTATCCAATTTATGGTTATCTTATAACTTATAAGTTATAACTTATCTATTACAACTCTCATAGATTTGATTTTTATCATGATAATATGTATAAAAATACTTTACCTTCAAAATAACGAGTAGTGAGTTCCAGTCATGATTCTCAAGATACAAGCTCGCCAATTTCGTGTTCGTCTTGAACCACAATCTATCATTTTTCGCAATTTTCAACGACTCCAGCGTCAATCCGTAAAACTCCTTCAACAGCTTCATATTCTTCGACGCAGAAATGTAGTCCAAAATCGAGTTAATCGATCGCTCAGAATAGTTTCTCGTCACTGAGCTTTTATGTAGCTGAGGAGGACTTTGTATGAGTTCAGCATGTCGTCGTAGCGTTTGCTTTTGAAGTTGACTTTTGTCTTTTGCTTCAGAGCTTTGAAGCCCCACTCGCCTTTCTCTTCCTCGAGCTCTAGAACGCGGTCGAATGCTGCTAAAGATTCGTCGATTTCGCCACTTTCTTTTAGCCCCTTAGCGGTATAGTACTAGAAAGGGATGAAAAGGAGCTTTCTTAGTCTTTCAACCTGATTTTCAAGATCAACATCTGGCTCTGAATCCGACTCTGACGTGTACTCCATCTGGTACTCGTCGTCATTATCGCTCATATCAATATCCGACATTATATAACTGCTCTAGAAAATGGTATTACTCTGGGAAATCATCGACACTCTGATTCTGGCAGTTTTGTTTTTATTTTTTCTAAAGTAATTTCAGACAAGTAATGTTGAAAAAAATGCGTATCGTGTGACTCACAAGAAATGATAATAAGTAGGCCAGAACGAATTTGGGAGGGATTTCTTTTTTGCTCAACGAACAATAAGTTGGCGATAATTTTAAAAGCATAAGAGTGGTAAGGAGTTTTTAAAAGTCAGGTTGGTCTTTTGATGGGTCGTTTTGCTTATGCGGGCCGGAGGATTCTATTTGCGTCGGCGGACTCGGGGAAGAGCTCTTTGTAGCTTTCTTCGGGGATGTATGCGGCTTGGATCATCTTGCCTAAAAGGTATGATTAGCATTGGGCCGACAAGGTCAGTTTTAGATTTAGCTGATCATTATGATCGAGTTAGAGCGTTATTTGCGCAGCCAGATACGTCAGATTTCGTGGATTTTTCTCGTTGAATCTGTTCCTAGATAATATATCAGAATTGGCAAGATCGATAACTGAGCTAGTATTTCGCGCTAAGTACCGTCTTATGGGCCTCAATTCGAGGAAGGATTTGAGGGATGAAAGCTTCCTGACTGTCTGACTGTCTTTCTATCAACGAGTTGGGTTTTTCAGGCGCCTAATTTATTCAGTCAGTATCTTTCCTGTTCGAGTTTCAGTTCGAGTTCCAGATTTAATTCAAGAAGTGACCGACCAAATAGCTTACCGTCGAAGTAGTTTCCGTGGATCTTTTTGGATGCAATCTGGGCGACCGCTGGAGAGAGAGCCATTACAAAAACGTTTCCATCTTTTGAAAATTTGTCTACATGCACATGAAGGGCCCCTAGAATGATGATCAGAAGCAGCTCTAAAAGGAAGAATTACCTCCGTGATCAGAGAGCTCCAAAATAACATCGTCGCGGATATCGTTTTCCCAGCCAGCGGCACTTTCTTTTTCCGGATTGAACATGTTCGATAGCTAGAATCTCCGTTAATCTTGTACCTTCAGACACGTCAGACCTGAAAGCATCGGGTTTCAATGGCTTGGAGAGGTTTTGCTACAGGTTTTGGTACAGGCTGTTCTTCCTTCTGATTGAGCAGGTCGGTTCTAGCCGCGAGTTTGTTCATAAGAGCGATTCGACCAACGCTTCCATCGGGGAAAGACTCCTCTAGAGCTGGAGCATCTTCGTTTTTATCGCCTCGGTTTTTGGAAACGACTTTATCGACGACTTTTGAAAGCTCGAAACTGGTAGTTCTTTCTTGAGTTCAAGAGTGTTAAGAGCAATTCCTGATACTCGAATTCGTTTTCCTCCGAGATCGAATCTGTCCAGCTCTCGAAGAGCAGTCTTCCCAGCATCGGAGTCGGAAAAGGTGACAAATCCGGAGCCAGCTGACTTGCCCGTGATTGGATCTTAAAAAAGTAGCTAGAAAGAGACCTGCTCAAAAGACAAGTGATCCCTACCATCGATAAGTTCCACTGACTCGAGCCGACCAAATGGCTCGAAAATCGTCCTGAACATTTCTTCCGTTATTTCGTCGATCAGATTCGTAACCTAAGAATCGGATTGTTAATCATATCAAGAAAGGAGAGGGCCAAAAGCCCTCTTATTTCCGACTCGCACCTTGAGTTTTATCGGCCCATTTCCGAGCTTGGAAAGAGTTTGTTTGGCTGATTCAACCATCGCTGCATGCCTATTCTTCTCCGCTTGACTTTGTTGTACCAGGATAGGGATTCCATTGACCGGCTGACCGCTCAACCCAAGCGCGAGGGGAACGGACTGTGAGTATTTGAATTCAATGTAGGCGATTCCGATGGCCTTTGAGCGTCGAGAATGTCGATCTTGAATCATCTTCACGCTTCTGACGTCTCCGACGACGCTGAAAAACTCCTTCAAATCCTTTTCTTTCGTCTTTTGACTCAGCTGCATCGCCAGGACAGTTCGTGAATCTCGATCCTCAAGGGTATTCGATGTGTCGACCTTCGGTGGAGGAGTGCGGCTTCTTTTCTTTTCCCGTTCTTTCGATTTCGATCGTTTCTTTCGATCCCTAGATCTGGATCGCTTCTTCCTTGATTTTTTATCCCTCGATCGGCTTCGCTTCCGATCACGTGACCTCGAACGCTTCGAAGTTCTGGACCTTTTCCTACTCCTTGATCGAGATCGCTTCTTCCGATCCCTCGATCGTTTTCGCTCACGCGACCGAGATCGAGACTTTCTCCTTGACGATTTTCGATCTCTTGAACGATCTCGCTCTCTTCTTGAGCTTTTCTTGCTTCCGGAATCGTCCAGTCCAGGCTCGCTCTTTATATTGGCCTTTTCCTCGAGCTGGGCTTCCAGCATAGCTTCGACATCGATATCATCTGCCATTCTATATCTGTCAGGTTTGGATGAGAGCAAGAAGGAATGAAGAATAAGGCAAATTATATTTGTGGAATCATCCTTTGCTTTGGCACAGTTTGAACGATTAATCTACATGTATTTATTATTATTTTATAATTAAGATCATATATTGCATAAGTTTGATCTGACTCTGAATGTATGAAAATATGTAGAAGAAAAGAGACATGGATAGAGGAAAGTAACAGAAGAATTAAATTACGAGAAGATAGGAAGGAATAATTTTTGATGGCAAAACTGAAGGTTGCACTATTTGAAGATTTTTCTACATGTTTGTTGGTGCAGATTGACTCTGTCTCTGCTGACTTCTTAGCGCCCATTCCAAAAGTTGATCTCTAGGTGTACTGAAATGAAGGATTATTCTGGGAAAACGTTTATCTTTCTCTACCTTGGATTGAATCTGTTGTAAAGCCTTATCCAGAAGGTCATCCTTATTACAGCTGTATTGGGAACAAGCGTTTTGCAACGGCTATTCTTGTCAAAGATCGGATGCAAGAACTGTCCACGATGGTCGTTGTGAAGAATATGAAACCAAATACTTTTCGTCTTTTCGTGGAGATTATGAGCGAGTCGGTCTTTCACGCAGTTGAAAAGGAAGTTGCCGAAACGAGCAGAGAATAGGTGCTCGGCGAGGAAGATCAAGAGGCGTTCGGAGAATTCGAAGGCTTCGGGGAATTGACACATGATTTGGTAGACTGCATCGAGGAACTAGAAAGGCGTGTTATTTTCTCGGATCTGAAGTGTCTCTGCGACAAAATTCCTGGGAAAAACTCGACCAATCAGATCGTTCCCTCCGACTGATCAGCCAATCAGGGGCAAAATTTGTCGCAGAGAAATTGTCCGGATACACGACGTTTTCAGCATACCGACGTTTTCAGCAACCGACGTTTTCAGCATAACGACGTTTTCAGCGCCGCTGAATTCGTCGGTTTGCTGAAAACGTCGGTTTGCTGAAAACATCGTTTTTCACCTGAAAACGCGTGGGCGTTTGCCGGAACGAAATTTTCAAACCAAATGGATCTAAAGGCGAGGTTCTCGCAATTTAATTGGCTAGTTAATAGTTTGAAAGCATTTCTAAATGAGTCATTAAGAATGCATTATTTAGAAAACGTTATTATGCATTATTTAGAAAAAAGTAAGAATTAGCTAAATTACTTCTTAATACATTATTATCATAATAATCATTAGTCACTATAAATCACTAGAAAGTTTACAGTATAAACGTATTATCAAGTTTCGTGAATCTGTTTTAAAACAATGAAAATAATGATAAATCAATATTGAAAAAGATAAAAATAATAATTTTATTAAATATAGTCTTTTGTAAATGATTCATTAATATTACATCGATTTTATGTTATTTTACGATTTACGGAAATATCGTTTACAGATGTAGTTTGATAAAATGATTGCCTCTCTAAACGCCCACGCGTTTTCAGGTGAAAAACGAGGTTTTCAGCAAACCGACGTTTTCAGCAAACCGACGAATTCAGCGGCGCTGAAAACATCGTTATGCTGAAAACGTCGGTTGCTGAAAACGTCGGTATGCTGAAAACGTCGTGTATCCAAATTGTCCTGATTTTTTCCAACAAACCTGAATGAAGACAGGACTTCTTTCTGTATCTTGCGGTTTATTCACTGTATGTCCTATTCTGTCTTGAAACTTGTGTCCAAACGCGCACCATTCTTTGTCTATCAGCACTAAGAATCCCTCCAAAGTCCTATAGTACCCATCCAAACAAAGCTGCGACAAAGCCGAAAGTTGAGGTGTACGATCCCACCCGTCAGAACAATGAATAAGGGTGGAATGGCCGTTGTTTTTTATTCTGTCGACGACGCGATTTGAAGCTATCAAAATCAACCTGAAATTACAGCGTCTTTGATTACTCGTTTAGTTCTTTCAAACCTCAGATGCTGCATCCATTTTGAATCGTCCAACAACTCGAACCACTTCTTTTCACCTTTTTTGTTTGGATTGTTGAGTGCCTCGATCACCTTGGCGAGCGAGTCGCGCATCACGTGGATGTTATCGATGTCGCAAAAGATTCGCTCGATGAAGGTCGTTCCGCCGTGCTCTTCATAACTATCGTGAGATTCGTAGCCTCCACCTTTTGCTCGATTCGCTAAAATAAAAAGGTTATCATTTTTTTTTAAACCATAAAATGTAAAATGAAACATAAGACTGATATCTTATTAGCTTTTATTTTGTTCCTCTCGATTTCCCTAAAATGAATCAGAAAAAAATATATCGCTGCCGATTGAATGATCATCAATTAAATTAAATTAAAGAAATTTTTCATCAAGGAAAATTGTTTGATTTTACCAAAAGAGTAACTTTTAGAATCTAAAAAATTTTAAAATTATGGGCGACATTGATGGATTAAAACAAGGCCGACAGAATATAATAAACCACGACAATGATTGAAGGCCAATCTTTCACCTTTCCGTCCCGCTTTTCCTTGCTTGAGTCCACATCTGAAACGCGCGACGCGTCTAAATAGCGCTCGTTCGCCCAATAAATACGGCGCGCGCAGATCATATTTACTTGATTTCATAAATTTTCAAACACAAGCTACTCTTTTCGAAAAACGAGAAGAGAAAAAAATTCAAAAAATGGCCATGGGTTCGAAAAAGAAAGAATTTTTTGATAAGACAGTATCTTAAGAAAAAAAAATTAAAGAATTCAGAATGAAAATAAAATGCTTCGTTTTTCAACAAGAACTACCATAAAGCATCTTTCTCGAACCCTGAATCAAGGACTTCTTCAAGACTTGACCGCATCATGCGTCACCGTTGCCGACGAATCCGCCGTGCTCATCCGAAAGATCTTCAAAAATGGCGACCTTGGAGTCATCGACAAGGGCGGCCTTAAAAACTTCCAAACCGAAGGCGACCGTGCTGTTCAACGATTGATCCTGAAGACCTTGAAAACCAAGTACCCACAAGTCACGGTCATCGGAGAAGAAGACGGAGACGACGGAGAAGCGGGGGATGAAAAAGTCTTTGATGCTCTTGCCCCGGAAGTTATGGAGAAAACCTTCCCAAAAGACCTGCAAGATGTGGCGCCTGAGCGAATCTGCATCTGGGTCGATCCTCTTGATGGAACGATGGAATTCATCGACCGAATGCTTCATCACGTGACCATCTTGATCGGCATCGCCGTCGACGGAAAAGCAATCTCCGGAGTGGTCAATCAGCCATTCTTTGGATTCGACGATGAATCCAAAAACCCGATCAAGTACTCCCATTCATATGACTTTGAATTCAACCCCCTTTTTAGTGGGGAAGATCAATCTGGGGAGTCGTCGGTCTTGGATCATTCGGTCCTTTCGAGCAAAAACCACTTCCAAAGGTCATGTTTGAGAAAAAATAAAACAGAGAATGTAACACTTCGTCCTTGACAAAGAAAAAATGAATCAAGGCCAAGTCAAACAACTTTTTCTTAACCAAAAAACAGGACAAGAAAATCATCTGCACCACTCGATCTCACGCTTCCCACGATGTCAACGCTTGCATTGAAGCTATGAAGCCTGACGAAATCCTTCGCCAAGGTAGGAAATCAGAAATCAAAGGAGCTTATGTTTATCTTTAGGTGGAGCCGGAAACAAGGTCTTGCGAGTCATCGAGGGCGACGCGCACGCTTACGTCTTTGCTTCCCCTGGCACCAAAAAGTGGGATACATGCGCTCCAGAAGCCATTCTTGTTGCTATGGGCGGCGCTTTGACTGGTAAAATGCCTTTTCTTCTCCCTAAAATCAGTCTCCACCCTTTAGATATGCACGGAAACGTGATGCCATACGACAAGAACGCGAAAAAGCCCAATTCCGGCGGCGTTCTCGCCACAATCTCCCCGAAACGCAGAAGTGGTACTTGGAACATGTGCCCCAGTCTGTCCGGGACAATCCTCAACTCCAGCCTTGAAATAACTCAAACCCCTTCCTTTCTAGTTTTTATAACTGTATCAATAGAATCATAGAATAAATCAAAGCAAGAAAAACTAATACGGGTCTCTCCTAGCTTGAGTCATTGAGCTACAGTACTAACCTTGTGCATTAACCTTCGGTCTGCAGTCATAGATCAGCAATTTATTCGCCTCCGGTGTTCTCAAATCTCGAATTTTCTTCAAATACAGATAGTCTTCCCCACATCTTCTTTCAGTGACACCAACAAGGGGTTGACTGCAGCGCGTAATCACGGCTCCATTCGTTGGGTGAATCCAAGTGGCGACCGGTAGACGATTTCGGCTTCGGTAGGAGGCGACTTTTTGTAAAGTGACTTTTTCTTTCTCCATTTTTGGAACAACGAGGTACTTTTTAAGGCTTTCAAGAAAGCAATTTCTCCTTGAAATTGGGAAGAAATGGACATTATTTGATAAGCCGTTCCTTGGGATAGGTATCGCAAAGGCCGAAATTATTGTTCTCCTCGGTAATAATCCACTCTCCCTTACTCTGTAAATTCTTTGTCTGCCTCTCGAACTCTTTGTGAACATCGTAGATGAACCAATTTTCACTCGTTTCGGATTTCTTCACGAAGCAAAATAATCGCTCAATACTAAAAAATGCTATTTTATAATTGGGCAAGAACAGGCTCTAGTGATGGAATGATTATTGTTTGTCGAAATCACCAATTTTGTGGTTGGATTTGAAATCATGAGTTTTGAATTTGAAACTTGGAGTTTAAGTAACCTTTTTGGCGAAAAAGTCTTCACGGAATAGTCTCTAAATTATTATCAAATTCTACACTTAATTTTGAAGGCCTTATTGTCGAAACTTACTTGCCAAAAGCCCGTTGTGAAACATTGTTGTGAAATTTGCTCTTGTCCCCGTTGTCGTGTTTGAAGTCGAATTTCAGTGATCTGAAGTCTTTGCATTCGATTTCCACAACGAGTGGGCTTTGTTCTGAGCCGTTGAGGAGGTTCTTTGTGTTGGTAGTTCGGTGGGGGCTTTTTGAGACTTTGTTTATCGTGTTGTACGGCACTAGAATCACCTTCGTTTGCCAGTTTTGAAGCTAGAACGAACCTGAGACGATGAACCAAGAATTTCCTTTTGCAGCGAAAATGAGTCGATAGTTTGTAAAGATGATTCTTCCATTCACTTCGCCGCGGTATTGACAATGATGAATAATATCTTCGGAGTTGTTGTTCTTATCTTGCGCTTCTTCCTGAATAAAAACGGTAAATTCTCTAGAACATGGGAAGGGATATTTTCGCGGAAAATCGCTAGAATTTCGACCTGGAATTGAAACTTTTTCACAGGTTTTCGATGGTCAAAACTAGGAAAAGGCGAAAGATTGACGATTTTTTAAATTTGAAAGGTTGAAAAATAATGCTTTTACTGAACTCAAAAAGAATCTCAATGAACAGAAGCCAATTGATGAAAGAAAACGACACGAATGAAGAAATCGAGATAACGAATATACAGCCTAAAGCTTGGGGTCGACAACTAAAGAACTCAAAGTTTGATAGTTACACTAAAATAAGGATACCGATCCCAGTTGAAAGAAAAGGACGAAAATGGAAACGCTATCAGTACAGGTCCTGTAGTAAAGAAACAATCGAAGAAGAAGTCGAAGAAAGCAAAATCGAAAAGGAATGCGTTTACAATTTTCTAGAGCTCAGTCCAAGACAGTACTAAAGTCCATAGTTCTATTAGCCATTTATTGGCCGAAATTATCAAAAAAAGGGATGAAAATCACCGAAAATTATGCAAGAACCATAAATATAGCTAGAACTCACGAAAACAAAAATTAACCCCAGAATACAATCAACGATACCTTTATATTTTCCACTAGATTTTCTTTGCGTAGCAAGTCCAAACTGATCGTTTCCATCTCCAATTCGTCTTCGAGAAGAAAAAATTGAGGACGTTTCAGATTCTCTTACTCGCTGAAAGAAATCGTTGTCGGAAGAATTCTCCTCCAGTGGAAAACTCGAGCTTGGTTGGCTTGCCTCCCGCCCGCGCTTTTTTCGGATTCCTCCTCGGCGGGAAATCGAGCTCTCCAGCTCTCGCGGAGAACACAAAAACTCTAACTTTGCTTTTTATCGTTCATTACTCCACTCGGTTCTGTCAAGAGATTCCAGAGATACCAGAACAATGAGTTAGGACTAGTACCACAATAACCAACCCCATTTTATTCGCCAAAAATGTCAGTAAACGGTGATAGCGAACCAGAACGCAAAACAAGCAATGACAAGGATTCCAAGGCTGAGATCAAAGTCGGAGATGAACATCAGGTACTGTATTTCTTTATTCTTACTACAGTCATTTCTCGACATTGAAAGAACGACTCCTCGTTTATCATCAATAATTGCAGTTTTGAAATGCCCAATATTGATAAATTCATCCGTTTTTCCATCTCAAAAGTACTAAGGAGATCCTCAAGAAGCTTTCCTAGTGATACCCTTAAGACTTTGATTAGTAGAAGGACCAATAGGGCACCTGCTTCCTTGAAGCTGCAACATCGATTATCCAAGAGCTCCATATTCCATCGTCTCCTCCATGATTTCACCCTCCATTTCAGGCTCAAATCCCAATGTACGAAGGTCCCTACAGCCAACCCAACGAAGCCGGTGATTTCATGGATACCGGCCTCACAAGCATCTTTCGCCAAACAACAGAGCTCGAAACCTGCATCTGGCGACCACCAAACATCAAGATTCCAGAGCACAAAGTCCAGGAGTTTGTTGAAAAATGTTACCTCGAACACGGCTGGGCCGAGGAACAAGCACTGGGGATTTTGTACGTGAGAAAGTTTAATTTTCGCAGAGCAATGGATACAACTAAAACGTTCGAACCCATGCCCAGTGTGATGGAAAGCTTCACAGAGGATGATAAGAACGCGTTCTTTTATGCTTATAAGGTGCACTCGAGACAGTTTAGCAAGCTTAAAGGTACCGATGATACCAGATATGATATCAAACTTTCAAAAATAAAAGGTATCGAGAAAAACTCACTTCAGTTAAGGCTTTCTCTTAGATTTTCGACAAGAGGTCATCTAAGATGACTCATCTTTGTCTCGATGTTTCTAATAAAAGACCATGAAGTCTACCTCTTCTCGTGAATCTAAGAGTTGGCCTCTTTCATCGTCAGAATTGTAAATCATAGATGAATAATGAGATTGTTTTCAGGTTACCTGCCGCACAAAAAAATCTCGGAGCTCGTCAATTTCTACTACATTTGGAAGAGGAAAGGAGGTCTCAAGAAGAAAATCAGCCGCCTGAATTCAGGTTCAAGGCATTATGACCTCGATGCTGATCCTGGTAAGGAAATACAGTGAGTGAGTGAGTGAGTGAAATATCTTTCAAGAAACGCCTGAACTCAAAGAAGAAGAATCTGACGAATTTTTGGACTCCGTCTTCAACGACATCCCAAAAGAAGAAAAAGAAAGAATCGAGAAAAGAGCGCAGCATGAAATCTATCAGACGTATCAATCAATTCAACTCTTCAAGCAAAAAGTCGAGGCGCAGAAAAACGAGACTCAGAAGAAGCTCAGATCGTACAATCCAAATGGCGAACTTGACTTGGACCAGATTCTCAAAGACAGGTAAGAGCTAGAATTTCTGACAACGGAGGTTATCGTGGTCACTATCCAAGTTTGTTCGTTTTTGACCCTTCTCGATTTTCGATAAGTCTTTTTCAGTTCGAAGTAGAGCTTCAAATTTAGACAAATTGGCACACAAAACGTCTCCACCATCTTCACTCCTTTCGAAGTCGCCGCTTTACTGAAAGGAGTCACCGAATTCGGCCCCAATTTTGAGCTCTTGTCCAGAATCATCCCTACGAAATCACCGGCAATGCTTCAACACTTCTTCGAGCAAAAGAAAAAATTGATCAAACAGCATTGTTGTAACATTCAAAGTTGAATGTACTTTTTAACTTTTATGCCACTATTTTTTCTGTCCGTTTATTTACTGAAGAAATCAGCCGTCTTCTGCAAAGTCTAAAATTAATAAAGTGAGCCAATCAAATGATTTTTTGACCAAAAAAAGAGGTGACCTTGTTTATCCTCGAAACCCGCGCATGTGTACCCTTGTTCATCTCATGGCCACGTTTCCATATTCCGTAAGCTGGTTGGTCGAGGATACGTGGCCAAAGGATGAACAAGGGCACACATGCAGGAAGTTAGAGGATGAACAAGGGTACCCCCTTTTTATCTCTTTAAACTCGTAGATACAGCCAGTTCTCTGAAGCCTTGGTTTATTCAGTGTTAGATAAGAGCATCTGTTTTGTCAATTAAGCAAACATCATTATTTTGGGCAATGTGTTATCGTCGATTTCGTGTCCGCTGATTCGTGACGTTGCGTTCTTCCGCACTAAATAGAACATCTCGTTCAAATCACGTGTTCAAATCTGCCTCGGCCTATCCGATCAACTTCTCGACGCCGGATGTTTTACCACAAGCATCATTTTCACCTATTAACTTTTTACTTGAGCCGGAAAGACATTTTTCTTCGACTTTTCGGACGATTTTCCCATTGTTTCGAAAGCCTGTGTAGAAAACCTGAGTCAGGGTTTGAAAGATCGCTACGCGGCTTCTTATCAAAGATCTTCCAGACCCTTACTCAGGTTTCCTTTACAGGTTGCCAATTTTTCTTTCTGATTATTTATCCGCCTGAAAACGGTCATCAATTCCTCCAACCTGTTTATTTTCCCAAGGAGAGTTTTTTGTTAATGTTAAAATTTCCGTTTATTTCCCCGTCGATCCGCAGGTGCAGCAGTTTTCCTGACTGGGAGGGGTCACTTGAGCAAGTTTTATTGCTCGCCACTCAGAGTTTCCGTTCTCAGCCCAGGCCGCTATTTTCTCGGCTAATTGGACACCGGATGAAATGACCAGTGTGAAAACGGAGAAATTGATTTCGGGCGATACTTCCGTTTGCTTTATTTATTCTTCATGTTTGTATTCAATTTAGTATTGGCTGCTGGTATATGGCGTGATCACATTTTTTTGTTAATTTCGAATTCTAGAGAGCTTCAAAAATTTATATTTACAAAGTGATAATTCAAAATTACGGTCCGTATTTTGGGGTTTTAAATTTCTAATTGGTTCTGAACAAAAAACCAAAGAGCCCTGTCAATCACGTGGCAAAGCCCCCATATCACAAAATCCCTTCTTGTGGGAAAGATTAGACCCCACCTCATTTGTATATAATACCAACTCAGCTTTGGCCTTTTCTTGACACCTGTTTTCCAGCCTTTTTTCTCAAAACCAGCTTATCCTTTTCGCTAGTCCAGAATTCAAAAAAATTCCAAGAATTTCTCCACTAGAATTTTTTGTTAGAAAATTATTGCTTTGATTGTCCGACTGGAATTTCGAGGCACTCAGAGTTTCGATTGAAAAATGCGAATTGAAAATTTGAAATTTGGATTTTGAAAAATTTGAAATTTCGCGACAATCAGATTACAGATTTGGAGCTTTCGTTTGTTGAGCTTATTGTGCTAAAAACAAAACTGTGCATCTGTGGTTGATCCTCTAAGCTCACAACATATGGCTGTATACACTCGACGATCCATATGTGGTGGAGTATTTGGCGCGTATGGCTAATCATGTGCTCTTATGTTTACTTTTTACAAATGGTGTCGAGAGGATTTTCATACCTTTCCTTAATTTTTGCCTCGAAAAAGACGCTTTTTTTCAACATCTAGCCTCAGTAACCTGTCTGGAAACCTGACTCAGGGTTTCGAAAAGAAGCCGAAATAAAGAGCCGCGCCGCGGCTTTTCTGAGAATAAAGCCGCAAAGCGGCTCTGCTAGAACTTTCATCTGAAGCTTTATATCTTTCGTCCAGCTTCTTTCAGGACCCTGACTCAGGTTTCTTGACAGGTTGTCGAGCCAAAAGCATCATCTTCGAAAAAAGCTCTTCCCATCAAAGAAGACAGAACAGCAAAAGATCAATTCCATCTGAGCGCCCGTAGATCAGAGCGCTTATCCACTGCCATTCAAGTTTATCCACCATAAAAGTCGAATATAAAATCCTCCCTTCCACCCAGTTCCCAGCTGTTGCGGTCTCGCGCTCGGCCAGCTCGGATCAAACCCGAATCCGAGATCAGTCCGTTTCCGGGAAGCCCCCAAGTTTATATTAATCCTAGCCTTTTATCTTTGAGACAAGGGCAGGTCAAGGAGAAAAATAAAAATATAAACTTGATTTCTTCAAAATTGAAAATCAAAGAAAAACATGAAAGGAACAGATTTTGAACAGGAAGGAAAATTGGGTTTTGATAAAGGTTAGTTTATGGTTTCAGCTGCCTTAAATATATTTAAGTCACTTAAATTTAAGGTTCTATACCTCACTCGAAGGGTTATAAAAGTAAGCGATTTCTCATTGACACCCTTAATAATTTTTGGCTGTTTTCCGCGGAGGAATTCATGGAAATCACGGGGTCAAAAAATTTTGCTCAATTTTCATCAAATTTTTTGCTTATCAAAAAGTTCATCTTCAATTCCTAGCTTCGCGATCCATATCAGCCCAGGCTTGAATCAGCTGTTCGAAGAATCTTTCCCCGAAATTCAAGCCCATCCCGTTCTGGCTAACACCTCGAACGGGCCAAATTGCATAACGAATTCAAATTACAAAAAGCCAAAACGCGAAATTCCTGCTGTAGCTACAGTAGCGGCTAGCCACAATCAAAATTCTAATCAAGTGCTTGGATCTTGACTTGGACAATTGAGGCGAAATGCATAAAGGTCAAAAGTCGATTTTTTTTATTTTTAAAACTTGCTTTTTTGCAAAAAATGAGCGGAAACGATTATTTATCGTATTTTTTAAATTTATTTACAAGTTGGAAGAGCGAATATATACAGTAATCAGCCTGAAAGCACAGTAATTCAGTTAATAGAAAGTCGCTTGTTTTGCTTTCTCGATGATTTCCCACCGGTCGGCTTGAGGATTTCGAACTTGCTCTTGAAGTTCTTGATGAAGTCGATGGCGGATCTCCTCCTTGATTTCCTCTTCTCCTGCTGGTCCAACGATTGGTCCAGTTCTCGTTCTCCCAAGTTGCCGAGGTGGCTCATCGCGCGGGGGCTCATCACGTGACGGGAGGTGTTTCTGACGCTGCTGCTGATGGTCGAGGAGTTGGCGAGGGAGTGGTTGTAGCTGGCGGTGACGACTTTGAGCCGCTTTCGAGGGTTGTAAGACTCCGTGCCAGAGGAAGAGAAGGATTCCTGATCAGAGTAGAGGATCGTGGGGGTTTCCTTGATCGCAGCTGGGTAAGCGGAGGTGATGTTGAGGGCGTGAGCTGGGGTAGAAGTCGAGTGAAGGACTTGGTACCAGTTTCGGCGCTCGATTCGATCTTTGAACCTGAAAAAGAGGGTTAGGGAAAGGTCTGATACTGAGAATTTCCCTAAGAAAAAAGTGGTGAAAAAGTTGACTTACCGAAGAAGAAAGCCGGTTTCCTCGTTTTGAAGCTGAATGAAGAGCACGCCGCGTCCACGGAGGCGGCACTCCTTGATCATCGCCTTGTTGAGCTTGATCTTTTCTTGAAGCATGAAAGAAGTCGGATCGGAAATGGCGATAATGGAGCCACTTGTCACCGCGTAATACTTCCGCCACTTCGTGGAAGACCCGTCCCAAGTGCTCTGCTCGGAAGTGACCGGAGAAGATCTGTAGACGAAGCCGGAGATGTACTTGGGAATGACTTTGCGGCGGCGGTTCGAGGTGGAGCACATTTCAGTGTCGGAAACGGTGAGTTCGACGTCGGAGATGACTTCTGAAGAAAAATGGTTAGAAATCGATCAAATATTTTGAAAATTTCAAAAAAAAATGTCCGAATTTTCGGCTCGAAACTCAAAATCTCTTTACTTACCGACTGATCCTCTCCATCCTTGAGACTTGAGAGGCATTGCTGTCTGCGAATCATAGTCCCTCATCGTGTTTTTTGGTCTCTTTCTTTGGATCGTCATTGGCATCCTGAAGCTTGATGTGCGCTTGACTTCGTGCATTTTTGCTGCTGGTGAGTTTTGCTTTTGGTTTTTTGAGTTTTTTGATAAGTGAAAAATTTCTCGGTTCGAATTAATTTGAGATTACAATTTGAGTGACTGGCTTAGGTCTCAGCACTTGGTAGAAGTAGTCCGAGCGCCGAGGCGCGCGCGAGCGCAAATTTTGAATTGTCCACCAAAAAAGCGTCGACAGCGCCCTCCAAGATAGCTTCACAGGACAGTGGGTTATCGGACGCCTAACGAGTACCGAAGCAGGTGCGGGTTGAAATCTGTTGGGGCTCTTTGAGCGTTAATTTGTTTAGTTAACTTGTCAAATTTCTATCGCTTCTCCTAATGAATTAACAATTATGATCTGATAAGACTCATTTTCAGTCACTTTTTTGAAAATATTTAAAGTAAAGATTTTCATGAGTTTTCACGAAAATTAAAATTTTCATGAGTTTTCACGAAAATTACCGTACGTTTTTTAGGCCGAGGTCTTAGCCTTTTGGAGATAAGATTTTCCATTCCAATGTTACACTCCTTGGGGTTCATTTTCCCTTCTATTTGTATCACTCGACGAACATAACAAATTTATGGGAAAACAAAATCGCTGTCTTGATCAACTTTCGCGCGGATTAGGCGCAAATAACAACTTTATGAATTGGCTCAACAAACAAACTCAACTTTCTCAAGCTCTAACTGGGTAACAGCTACAGTCCTTCAATAAGTAACAGTTAACCGTATCGATATCGAGAAGAAGAAAAAAGAGGAATCGACAAATGAGGAACTAAGTAAATTTGGCGCGAGGTTTGAAGATGAAAGCGCGCCGCGGCGGCAGATGGAAAATGAAGGAAACATTAGAGCACTAATTAGGTCAGTCAGGGATCGATACTGACAACTGGATTATCTCCAGATAAAATATACCTTCTTTGAATATAAGAGTCTTCCGAAAGAAGGGTCATTTAGATTGAGACAAGTCTTTTTTTGGCTCAAAAAGGATGCGAAAATGAAAGATTCTCGCTAAAATTGCTTATTTTCATTTTAGTGGAATGACACCCTTAATTCAAAATGCCTCGAAAATTGGCCAAAAATCGCTAAGTAGGGTACTCCTCTATCACCTCTATTTGCGTAATATACAATCACCTGTCAAATCTCGACCCCTAAACTAGGCTGATTTTTGGCGATGAGATCGAGGGGTGTCCTTATCTGCTCGCGTGATCCATAAGGGTTGAGCTCCCACTGAGCCACTCGACAGCAACTGCTGGGCGCATTCAAAATCAGCACACACACATTTGGACGCATCTCCAGCCTGACCTCGCCATTTTCCCATACATCAGCCAAAATCAGATCCTATTGACAGATTTTCTTTCCCAAATTCGCGTCTTTCTGACTTTGAAAAGTGCGTGACACATTTTTCAAATAATCGAAAACACAGGATTTCTTCCTCCCCATGAAAAAATCTCCTTTCAACCTGTGTTGAAACCTGAGTCAGGGTTTACTAAATGAACTATAAGAAATAGCCGCAAAGCTTCGCCAAAAAAAAACATCATTTTTCAAATTCAGAACCCTGACTCAGGTTTCCACACAGATTTCCGAGACCAGTTTCAGATCCAAAAGTCCATGAATCAATCAATTAAAAATGCAAATCGTCAAGTTGAAAAAGTCGGAAGCCCATAAATTTCACGTCCCTTGAAATTCTCTTTTCAACCTTCGCCCCCATGTTTCCGAATCAATTAGGATGAAAAACTTCAAGTCCAGTGTCTCTTGTCCCCGGTCGTGACCACATGATTATTTGTCAAAAAAGGAGGACAATGAAAAATTTTTGATCAGGCCGGTAATGGATTCCTCGCGCCGGCCTTCTTTGAAATTCCGGTGCCGCGGTTGGAGATCCATTAGTGGGGTTTATAGGCGGTTTTGGATCTTTGAAAAGGGATGAATTTGTTAGTCAGCGGAATGTGCATTGATCAGTAAAAATATTTTTTGATCAATTTTGAATCTGAATAAAAATAATTGATCATTTTTGAAGCTCCAGGAAAAAGTTTTATTTTGCAAGAAAACCCCTCCCACGGATCTGTAGATCGCTAAGTAGCAACATATGGTATCTGCGTAACGAACCGTTGAATATTGCAATCACTTGAGTTTGCGAAGCACTTGGGAACCCGGCTCAGATTTCTGCTTTTTCAGGAAATGGTTATATTTGCGAAATCTGATATACGCCCCTTGTTGCGTTTTATGGCGTTTTGACTTCCCAGGAAAAGCATTTTTCGAGTCGACCAAGGGGCTGGGCTTGGCAAGGCTGTGTAGAAACCTGACTCAGGCTCCCTGAGTGCAAAAATTTTTTGTGGAAAAATTGGTAAGATTAAAATTTGAGCCCGATTTATCCGTCTGAATTTGTTATTTTGTCCGGAAGCAGAAAGTGTATCGGTTCCTGACAGTGACCTGATCTAGTCAGCTAGTGAGCTGCTTAGTTTCACGCTTAGAGCGTAAATACTCGGGCGATTAGCCCGCTCAAAATGGATATTAGGACACCCTGAAGCACACGACCGGAAACAGCTCAAAAGCTGCACCAGCATGATATCCTTCCAACAATATTAAAAACTGCAAAATACACCTTGGTTGTTGGCAGAACTGTAACTGGCAATATACAGAATTGACGGGCGCAGCGGGAGGTGGATAGACTGGAGGGTGGGAGGATCGATCAGGGGAGGGGATAAATTTGTACCTGTTGGCTGAGCCGCGGATGAGAAATGGATTAATATGCTAGTAAGGGGATGAGATTATGAAAATTTTAATCGCATGATTTTTGAGAAATTTATTCCTTTTTCAGAAAATCGAAAAATGAAAGGTTTTTTTTTGATACGAACACGGATAAAGGCTCATTTCTGTTAATAAATGCATAAAATTCTAGAGCTCGAGTAGTTAGGCTGTGTATTAAGCCTAAGTCAGGGTCCTGAAATAGGTTAATTGAAAAGCCGCGCAGCGGCTTTTTTTAAAACGAAGCCCTAAAGCGGCTTCGCCAGAATTTATTTAACAAATTGATTTGGTCATTTTTCTCATTTTCCGATCCTGACTCAGGTTTTTCGCACAGATAGCCGATACTAATTCTAGAGTAGCCTCAATCAAGCAAATCAGCAAGACAAAAAAAATTGCGTTTCAAATATTTACTGCTGATCTGATTTGTGGCTTGGATTTGGATCCTCTTGATCCCCTTTTGATCGCCTGCCAGGAGCAAGGGTTTTAAAAATTTGACTTGCGCCAATAAAAATCGACGCCTTAGAATCTATGCCTAATTCTTGCAAATTTGCATAACACGTGTAACCCTAAACCTGTCGAGATTGAAGCAAGAAACAATGTTTTTTTCGATTTTGGGCCATTTTGAGTACCGATGGGTTCAATTGATAAAAGATCCTGCTCCTGCTCCTCTTCGCGACTGAATCACGTGATGACCTCAAATTATTTTGGAGAAGTTTGTCCAGATCTCTATCTAAACGCAAAGTTTTCTGGTTTAATGGATTTGATTTTGCCTCAAAAACCTGTGTAAAAACCTGAGTCAGGATCTTAAAAGTCTATTAGGATCCTGACTCAGGTTTTCACACAGGTTTTTGAGCCAAAATCACACTCAGAACATGATTTCTTATTGAAACTTATTCAGAAGCCTTTATTCAAAAGTCTTCAAAACAAAACTGACTGTATATCAGTCTTCTATCAATCAGAACGCTGTTTACTCCTGTCAAAATCGTCATGTCCGATTCTCTCAGCGGATAAAATTCTTGAGCCCATTCTTGACACCTGTTTTGAAAATAGTCATTTTCCACGAATCATGTTTTCATACAACCGGGTTGACATGCATTTTCTCGGACGAGAGGGGCGGACAGCTGATTGAAGGGAGCGAGCCGAAACATGGTTTTCTCAGATCAGCCGAGGGTGGAAGAAGGGCCAACTCTGACCCCGCCAGACACCTGCTTGTTTTGTATTTCAGGTGGAGAATATATTATTCCAGGGAAATTTCCCTGTTACAACTTTTAATAAAGCATCCAAGGCTAATCTTTACTAGGTCTCTGACAGAGAATATATCAAAAGATAGGAAAGGAAACTGTAATAACTTCCGGTTATTTATCCAAAAATAATTATCAAAAAAGAGAGAGATTAAGAGTTTTTTTTTTATTGGCACGAATAAGAATAAGTTTTCAAATTGGCAATTAGTAATTGTAGACGGAAATCTTATTTAGCATTGTACAGATTGTGTAGACAGTTTACCTTATGAGTTATTCCGAATAATTTATTCGCGTGCCATTGCAATTTTTCTAGTAGCCGCCGTAGCCGCTGTAGCTGCTGCCCTCGCTGCTACCGTTATTGCCGTCAGTAGAGGCCTCGTTGTCGACCTTGACCAGGTTGCAGATGTAGGCCATCGATTTGATGAACTCGTCGAAGCTGATCTTCCCGTCGAAATCCTTATCGATATGGGCAACGAGCTCATTCACCCTTGCCTCAGAAGAAAACACCTCAGGGAGCTCTTGATAGAATCATTTAGAAAAATAAGCTTTATGATTATCAATACCTTGTCCCATCATTGCCTTCAATTCTTCCTTGTCGAGCAAGTTGTCCTCACCAGCGTGCTCGTTGAAGATTCCAATGATGGATCGCATCAAGTGGACAATTTTCGTCATGGCTCAAAAAATTGACTAGCTTATTTGATATGCGACTACTTACAGGAAACTCTCGATAATATTCGCAATTTACTTCCGTTTTTTTAATCTTAACAAAGCAAAGGCCATTACAGAAGACTCTATTTTAATGAAAATTGAAAAATTTAGCAAGAAAATTGATATTTGTCTAGCTTTTTCAATTTCTTACGAAGACACTTGTATCGATAAGAATGCCAAACAGCTCGTGTCTTTCTTGAGCCGCCTTATCGGCACCTTAATTTGTTCAAATTTCTGTTGTGCCTTCTTCTCGACACAAAGCGGAGCCGATAAGTGGAGCACCGGGAAGTACCGGTTGCGCAACTTTTCAACCGCGCATAATTTAAAAACGCTAATCCTTCGCTTTTTCAAGTTTATGGAAAAAGATCAATTGTGAAATGTAAAGTTCAAATCCTTTTTCAAATTTCCGACCAAGTGGCTTCTTTCGCGCTTATTTTCGAACTTCGCAGCGGGCAACACGAATTGACCTTTTACGCAAAATAGAATTCCAAAATATTTTGGCAAAGGAAAATGACTGGAATAACCAGTTTTACAGACCTGTGTGTTCACAATCGACTACTTTCTCATTATCTCTGATTCCGAGCTCGGCATCCTGTGTAGAAAGTCTCAGTCAGGCTCTGAAGAAGTCAAATGAAAAGCCAAAAGCGGCTTATTTTTAAAAGAAGCTGCCTAGCCAACTTAAAAAATAGAAATGGTGTTTGCGGCTTTGACCTTTTCAGAACCTGACGCAGGTTTTCTACACAGGTTGCCGAGCCCACCTTCGATACTAACTGTTAAGAAAACGCTTATAAGCAAATAAACGGGAAAAAGATATAAAAAGCTTCCGCACGTTCATACCATATTTAGTTTTAATCCTCTTATCAAAATATGATCTAAACTTTAGATTCTAAAGAAAAAACTCTGCACATCTGTACCTGACCTAGATTTCCTTTTTTAGAAAGAAACTTGCGTTTAAAAATGAAGCGCGGTCTATTTTTGCTCTTACTTCACCGCCATGTTTTTGAAAATGTCATTTTTCTATATTTTTTTAACAAAAGAGATTGATGCGAGATTCGATCTACAGTGGATTCAGAATAACTACATGGAAAAAGTTGAAGGAGCAATCATACAGGTTGCGAACACGAACGTGCTGGAGGCGAGAGACTGGCAAAATGGCGATGAGTGTGGAACTTACATGAGGTTTTTCAGCGATTTTTCGGAAAATTTTTGCAAAAAAAAAATAATTTTTTTCACAAATTTTTGCAAAAAAAAATATTTTTTTTTACAAATTTTTGCAAAAAAAATATTTTTTTTTACAAAAATTTCACAAAGGGCTTCTCATTCAGATTTGAAGATAGTTTGATCAACAAAACTTGCACAATCAGCGTCCAACAAGGCCTCGAAACTGAAATCAACTTCCTGACTGATGCAATTTTCGTCGGTGGCGGAGCGCTTATCAAGAGAAACATGAAATACCCGAACAAGAAGATGTTCTTTGGCGTTGAGGGACTATCGAATCAGGAAGGCTTCGACTTGGTGATCTTCTGGGAGATGAAGATCTCGCAAACATGCAGAAACTCAGCGTCTGTTTTGGTCAATTGCGAGGAGGATAAGCCCGAAGAAGGGAAGGTTTACTGGATGGAGACGATCAATGATCATCGAGGCGATTCGTCGAGGATTAATTTTCAAGTCTACGGGGTCAAACCAGAGACATTCCTACAGGTTCAAATTGTGGCTTCTACAGTGACGCCCTCTCTCAAATTTCTCAAAATACTTTCAGATTGAGCTAACACAAAGCCGAACAACCGAAAAAGACCAAATAATCTGGCCCTGTATTGGTTTCTATTCCCATCAGGTAACATCGTAAGAAAACACTTTCTTGAAATAGAACTTTATTTTAAGGGCACGCCCGACTGCACTCCAAACGGTTCTAATCCGAATGTTTACGATTGCAACGCTTTTTTTGGAGTTTATCTTGATAACTTGTACAGCGATGTTTTTCACTTTTCCTGCGATAGAGTCGATGAAAGCTTTCCGAATTTATGGAGAAGTAGGGTTTCTGCGATTGGAATTAATTAATGGCTCTTCTTTTTTGAGAGCCTGATTTTTGTACACATTCATTTCTTTTGTGAATTTTATTGTTTTTTTTTCAATAAAACTTGTATTGAAAATCGTTGCGTTTGTAAATATTCATGTGATGAACTTTCACATGATGAGAATTAGTTTCGTCGAAATGTTGAACCGCGAAAGTCGCAAAAATCAGCAAGTTTTTTGTAATTTTCATTTTCGAAAAATATGTACAGATACATGCCTGAAAGTCTTATTTTAAAGTTCTTGTTGTATGATTATTTAATGAGTTGAGGCACGTGCAGAACAATTTAATTTGTATTTTTTTCAATTTTAATTTAGGATTCAAGATAAGGACGATAAAAATATATTCCTGAGAAATTTGAATATTGCGTGTTTTGATCCTTCTTGTTTCAAGCTTTTTGAGTATTATCAGTGCTCAACTATGCTTCATAATATACCAACAGAAAGCTTAGAGCCTCTTCTAGGGGGATTTTAAAGAAGCTTTGCTTTTTTTTTTTGAATTTAATTGAATCAAACGAAAAACCGGCGATGAAAAAAAGCAAATCAGAGCTTATGACATTCAAAAAGGAACGAAAAGGGAGTTCAAGCTGTCCAACTGTCAGACAAACACTCGTGACGAAGGTTCTCACAAGCGAAGGCTCTTTCGGTTTTCCCTCAGAATAGCTTTTTCTTTTTCAGAGATCACTCGCTATGGTTATCGAAGAAGTCGATGAGAAAACAGAGAATCCGATTTTTCGGACCAAAGTTCAGGTAAGTAGACTTTGGATACGAAAAAGACTTATTTTTAAAGTGTCTTGATTGCGATTGTGTGGGTGTCTTGAGAAAATCAGAGAAAAAAGTATATTTATTTCCGGAAGAAGTGTTGACCACTCGAAGCATTCACACTCGAAAGCGAGATTTGAAAAAGGAGAAAACATGGAAGAAAAAAGCGGCCGCGCAACTGAGCTTTGCCAAGCACGGATTTTCGACAATGCTTCAAATGGGCTCCTATCTCAGTTCTGGCTCCCTGTTTTGGATTACTGTCATGCTTCTTGGTATTTTTCATGAAAATTAAAATTGATCGAACTTCATTTTTAGCGAACCTGCATTCTCTTCAGAAATCCCGCGCGGTTACGACATTTCTGACTTCGACTTGCAATCGAAATTACAAGGAATGTGTTCGACTGGCCGAAATGGATATCTGCGGACATTTGATGAAGCAGTGCTTCGAAACTCAAGAATTTTTGCTCCCGGAACCGGTTTCTCAGATTGAAAACGTCCAAGCGGCACCGCTTGACTTTTCCGCAGAGGAGAACGAAGTCAATCTCCTTCGCTGTCAGAAGAAACAGTTTTACGACCAGAAGATCTGCCGCCATCTCTGCTCCGAAACTCTTGTCTTGCAATCAACAAGGACAAACCCGATCTCCCCTTGCGAATCGATGTGTTTTCAACTGACTAGAGCTTCCGATGCGGCCGGAAAAGTCTGCCCATTCGAGGAATACTGCCCGAAGGGGTGTCCTTGTCCATTTTACGAATGCGAGAAGTTTGAGTCGCGGCAGAAACTTATACCTGTTTTTGATTTGGAAAAGAAGTCGACGAACGTCGCCATTTCAAACTCAACGATAACAGGCTCAAATGGTGATATTCAGCTTATAATAGATCGTTTGGAGGATCGAAAGAGCCTTGAAAAGGGGAAATTCTCAGTTCTATTTGCTGACTTTGACGGCAACTCTCAACGACTGAATGGTTCGGATTCGCTGCTATCTTATGAACGTTTTTTCGAAGAATTTCTTTCATCTGAAAAAGTATATATTTGGCAAAAACGTGAAAGTCGATCGGTGCCATTTTTCTTAGTGGGGAGCATTATCTTGTCGATGCTCTTGGAAACTTGCTCAGAGTTAAGGAATCCGGAATCGATCCGATCTTCATTTCGAATCGGCGTAAAAACATGTAAGCTGTTCATTTCGATGGGGTTTTACTTCTCTTTTTAAGAGTTTTTTTTGTTTTTCACTTTGGGTCTTCAATCGGTACTCATCAAATTGAAATTCGCCATCGAGAGAACGAAATCAAACTGCTTCCAGTCGTTGTCATTTGTAAATGGTCTTTTCTCGTCAATTGTTCATATAACTTGTTTTTTGTGTTAGTTTAATATTATTCAAAGTCTATAAAGCAGCGAATTTTGACCGTTAAAAGCCGCCCAACTAGCAGGGACGAAAAATGCTTCTACTACGCTCCCGACTATAATTTGCAGCGATTCGAAGAAGGTCAAGGTTACATCGCAAGCAACCATTTCAACACGAAAGTATCTTCGGCAAGTTTCAAAGGAGTTTTCTATTTGATGAGTGTTCGGATGGGCGACTTCTACATCAAATTGTCGACGACAAGGGCCCTCAATAGAATAAGAAGAGACGAAGAGCTCGAGAAAGGATGGAGAAAAGGCGAGATGCAAATACCACGAGAATTGAGGGATTTGGATCCAGTCCATGTTTTCCCTTTGAAATAGGTTCAAAATTTCAAAAATTAAACGTATAAAAAATTTTAATGCATGGTGCTTTGTTTTTTCAGGTTGAAAAGTTTGAACTCATATAAGACCGATTTGGGGAATCTGATTTTGATTCTTGTCACAAGGAGTATAAAGCTCTCAAACACACTATTCTCTGTGTTGCTGGAGGCTGAGGGCAAATTTCTGACTCTCGGTCGCGAATGGATCGGTTCATTGGTTCAATACGAAGGTGAACCTCAAGATTCTGTCTGTTATTCGAGAATGTTTGCTTCTTATGATCCGAACTATACAGATAAAGAAGGAAGAAACAAGGACGAGTGCGAGTATTTTGGAAACGGAATCGTCAACGATGAAAGAATCTTTGTTCAAAATTACGTTTTTGATGTGTCATTTGAAATCAAATTTCTTTTCGGAAAGGATTTTACTTTTTCCATTGAAATCGTTAGCTTAGTTATAGACTATAACTTATAGTGTACTAACTTTGTATCAGATAACAAATTCTTCCAAAAGAGCTAATCGAGATCGAATTTGTTCAACAAAAGTACGATAAGCAAATGCACGTGACGAGTAACCCGAATTTCGCCTTCCACGACGACGTCTTTCCTGCTTTTGTCAAAAATGCTGTTGCTCAGAGAGAGTTTCCAAAAACAATCTTTTTGAAAACAATTATTCCGGATGAATTCTTTACCTCCTTCGAAGAATTAAATCATATCTCAACACTTGAGATGAAATTCAATGAAAAAGAATATTTTGGATTCGAAATCAACTTTCCGCAGAAATCGCGCATTTTTGAAGAAATTAAAATACTTGAATTGAGTTTCTTCGATGGATCTACTTTTCTCAGTTTTGGAGTTTATTCAAATAATTCTGTTTGGTTTGACTCTGATTATTTTGAAGCTTTCTCATTTTCGGAGACGAAAATCAATCAATTGTGGGAATTCGAGTTTCATTTCAACTCATCAAGTTTCATGGAAACTTCTTTGCAAAGTACGAAGATGAAAATGAGCGGCCTTGAAAATTTGAAGACGAAAAAACTTCGGACCTTCAAGTTCGACGATCGCGCGGAAATCAAAAACTTATACTTTTATGGAAAGGCAATTTTGGTTATGGGTGATAACTTAAAAGAAGCATTTTCGATTTCATTGGATGGAAAAACAAGCAATAACGCGACAATTGTGGCTCCGAGCGATAATTATCTTCATGACACTCCGCATGCTCTTGTCAAAAACGAGCTCTTTATTTTTGGAGGATGGTTGGGTCGACAAAATGTAAGAAAATTTCGAATTTTTAGAATAAATGACTCAAGATCGGGAAACTGGAAGGCTGCACTTGGACAGAACAGCAAACTCGATTGATAAACGAATTTTCGTATGGCTCCGCGGCGCTTTCGATCGATGATGGACAAAAAGCATTGATTTGCTTTGATTGGGCCCATGAGAAACGATGTGAAGTTTTCGGGGGAGAAGATTCAACCAAAATTTTCTCTTCACGTTTTCGTCATTGGGAAGGAAAACTTGGCTTTTATAAAGGAAATCCAACTACTGTTGGAAATTACGAAGGCGTTGGAAGGAAAAAAGTGGAGACTCTTAGTAACTCGGGCTGGACACGTTTAACCGATTTCCCGAAAAAGTATTGAAAAAATAATTTATTAATTATTCTTATTAAAGTTTAACATTTTCTCATGTTTTGATGGGCCTTCCAAGCGGGAATCTTTTGCTCGCCGGGGGATGGGAATCATCATCGGATGACTCAGAAAGACAAAAAGCAATTTGGCTTCTTGAAAACGACATTTGGAAACAAATCGGCGAACTTCAAAACGTAAGTTTCTAAAGCTGTCAGAGATTTGGATTTGAATTAAGGCTTGCTCTGCTGCATCTGCAATTCAGATCGAAAACTCAATTTTTATCGTCCCTGGCTACGGAAGTCCTTATGCTATCGAACGAATTGATTTTGAAGGAGATCGATTAATTGGTCAAAGAGTCATTGGAAATAGTATTTCAAATGAAATTCCTGTTCTTTTTGAAGTTCCCGCTAATTATTGCGTCTAAAAACGATAAAAAACCTTAGTTTCCTTAACCTTAACCTTAATCTTAACTTTAATTTTCTTTCGACCTAATTTTTTCCTTCTTTTTTATTGAACTGAATAAACTGGGCTCATTTGAACCAAATTTTATGGAAATTGCTAAAATGCAAAAAAAGAGCAAGATTATTTTGTCTGATTTTTTATTTCGTAACGAGCTTGAGTTTTACAGTAGCTGAACCTTTCTTTACTAAACATATTTACAAGTTAGAATACAGGCATGGCTCAATTGCACGTGATCGGAGTTTCCGATGACACAGAAGTTCGTCGCATCATGTAAGTCACCGCGTTTATTGCGTCCACAGCCTTAAATCAGCTTATTTCTCGCTCAAATGCAAATTTTTACCTTCCACCAGCGAATTTTGTTGATTCTTCTTTTGATCTTCAGCCTCGATCGGAGCTGGCCCTGCCGCTTCGAGGCCAAACTCGAGATCCAAGGATGCGCCAGGCATTGATTTGCGGACATTCGACCACTAGAATTATCAAAAAGCTGATTCCATCAAAGAAAGGGGACTTACCCTTTTTGATAAACAATAAGTCGTTTGATAAAATCCCTGCAGTCGTCTGAGACATCGTCGAATTCCTCGCAAAATTCCCACTCGCCGTCTTGAATATTCGCCATTGTATCATCCTCATCGTCTCCGAGGAAAGGACTGTTGCCGGAAATGAGGATGTAAGTTATGACTCCTACGCTCCACATGTCACTAGCGTAGCTAAAAAACGCTGAAATCAAGGAAGAGAATATTGTTCGCACCTGACGAAGTTGTAGTTAACAACTTCCGGAGAGACGAATTCTGGGGTTCCGAAGTTCACTTGAAGCCGTTGATGAGGAATGTAGCGACGGGCAAGACCGAAATCGATGATTTTGATCCAGTGCGACTCTGGGCTGACGCAGACGATGTTCTCGGGCTAGAAAAATAAGGATTTTGAAAGGATCTTGGCGATTTTTTACCTTCAGATCGAGGTGCAAAATCTGATTCTTGTGAAGATAAGAAACTCCTTCGCAAATCTGCTTCATATAAATAACAACATCAAGTTCGGTCGGATCATAATTGAGCTGCACGATTCTGTCGAATAACTCGCCTCCAGTCATGCTAAAATCATGAGTCAGATGAATAGGTGGACTTAGATTTTTATCGCTTCCTTGGGTTCCGTATCGGGCCATGGAAAAAAAAGGTGCAAACTGCATGGCAGTAAGCGGGATTTAAATTTATTGACGTGCACCGTGAACGTGCGGAAACGTGCACAATGCACGCTTGTTTTTGAAATTTAGTACTTCTGGAAGAAGAAAAGCGTCTTATGACCAATTTTACTGCAATGCCAAGCGGAAGAATAAAATAAAGTATCAGGAAATTGACTTGCGTAAAATAGGTTCGTCATCCTGTGTAGAAATCCTGAGTCAGGGTTCTGAAAGAGCTAAATGAAAAGCCGCGTTGCGGCTTATTCAAAAATAAAGCCGCAAAGCGGCTTCGCAAAATTTCATATTTACTCAACTTTCAAATAGAGATCTTTGCAAGACGGTCAGGCCGAGACTTAGGTTTTCTACACAGGTTGCCAAGCCCAGAATCAACCCTCAACCTAAGTCAGAGCCCAACCCTAACCCCGAAAACAGCTTGACTTACTGTTCCAAGACGAGAGTCACGTAACAATCGTGTTCCATCGCATCGTAAACCTTGACAATATGCGGATGATTGAGTTGGTTCATCAGCGCGAGCTCAAACTTAACATCTTCTTTTGTCAGCCTTTCCGCCCTCTTCCTCGCGTTGACCTTCGAAATCGATCGCTGCCTCGTAACAGCGCAAGCTTTGAACGCTAAATTCATGCTCCCATCGAGAGTCGAGCCGAGATAAACTTTTCCAAATCGACCAGAGCCCAGTTGATTTTCTGGCTTGAACTGGACATTGTATTCGTCGCCGATTTTCTTGTCGAAGCCGTTATAGCCGACGACTTTGAGGGGGCGGACTTCGACGTGGCGGTGCTCGAATGGAGCGGGAGGGATCGGGCCGATCATTTTCATGAATTGCTCGTCCAGGGTGGACTCGTCTTTTTCGGTCCAGAGCATTTTTACTTAAATTTCAGATTAAGGTAGTAACTATGACCAGCTTTTATATGTCAGCATTTTTACAACTTTTGGTAGACTACTTTGGGTAGATGCCATGTTACCATTAACACTATGTTTTAGAGGTCAGATATCGTGTTTGCTCTTAATTATCTATGGTAAACGAAAAAACAAGATCTTATGGTTGTTTAAGAATTCCTCTTTGCCTTTATTTCTAGAGATATTATCGCTGTTACCTTTTGGAACTGATGGTCTTCTAGGCTTCACACCAGGTCGTTTTCTTGACGCTTTAGGAACCTCCAGCGTTTTCGATTTCACATCAACTTCGATTTGAATTTGCTCCGGTTTGTTCATCAAAATCCCCGGCGACCCGGGAGAGCTGACTTCTGGCTCAGTCGCGCTTTCTCCAGGAGATTCCAAATTCACGCCCGAGTCGTTGTTCGTTTTCTTGATTTCGGTCGGTTTGGAAGTGAGATTTTCGAGATAGGAAATGTCATCATCGTCGTCGATGAATTTCTTGGCGCTGTTGTTCCCGTAGCGATTGCTGTTCAATCTTCGGATCGCGTCTTCTTCTGTTTCAGAGCAATCATCTTCGCTTTGTTGTGCGAGCAAAACGCTTTGAAGAGCACTCATTGAGCCAAATTTACGCCGCTGTTGCTCAAGTTTAGCGGCTGCTTCTTGCTGCTGTTCCTTGAGCTTTTGCGCGAAGGTTTTTTGAAGACGGTTGAGGGAGGGATCGTCTTGCTTGATTCGAAGTCTGGATTTTCGGCGACCAGTGAAGAAGTCGATTTCTTGGTCGGAATCGTCGCTCGGCAGCGCATCGCACTGGAATGTCTTCTTTTTTGGCGGCGGAGGCGATGGCTCTGGCGATTCTTGAGCAGGTGCTGGAGCAGGAGCGGGTGGTGGAGAGGAAGATTTGACTTGTTCAGACGTCTCTTTGGAAGGTTTTGGGACTGGAGGAGGCTTTCCTTCCGGAGCCGAGGCAATTTTTCGCCGACCAGTGAACGGGTCGAAAAAGATGCCAGGTTCGTCGAGGCACTCAGTGTACCCATCGTCCCAGTTGATTTCGGAGGCTTTTTTCATGACTTCAATTTTCGGCTTCTCTTCCACCGACTTTTGGCTGTTCAAACTCTCGCTGGAAAGATTCACTTCTCGTATCGACCCTCTTCTGGCTCTCGCTCTTCTGTCTTCTTCAATCTGCATTCTTTCCTTTCTCGCTCGTTCTCGGCGCTTTTCTCGTTCTTCCTGGAGCTTTTCTCGCTGGAGCCTGGCTTTTTCTCGCTGCTCGGCGATGATGTCGTCGGATCGAAGGTCGTTTTCGGAAATTGATTTTGATTTTTCGAGCGATTTTCGTCGCGCCTCTCTTTTTCGCTTTAGCATTTCAAGCGCTGAGGGCTGATTCTGCTCCTCCTGAAAAAACGACAGCGATAAGTCTAGGAGAAGAAAGAGACAAGTGTACCTGCTCGCGGATCTTTTTGATCATCGGGTCTTCCAAAACAGAGCTTTTCTTGCGCGCCTGGTCGTATTCTTCTTGCCAGGCAGCGTCTTTTGCGTACTTTTCTTTGATAAGAGCGTTGACATCGTCCATGCGGACTCGTTTATCGAGAATGTCTTTTTCTTGCTTTTCGGGACTGTCGGGGACTTCAAGTATTTCAAGCTTGACTTCGGGCTCGTCCTAAAATTTAGATTTTTAGAAGTATAATTGATAATTTATATTAAGGTAGATGACTTTTATCGAAATACAGGAATTGTTTATTTTTCATTATCAATTCGTTGAAAATATTATAAATTATTACTAAGAAAAATATTTTTATGGTTTCTTGATTACAGAAAAATCGAACAAAATTGACTCGTTGGTAGAAAACTTGGCATCGGCAATCTGTGAAGATACCCTGACTGAGGCTCAAAAAAGCAGAAATATAAAGCCGCTGCCTAGGGTCGGCACCGACCCGACCAAAAAACCCGACCTGGTTGGAAATGGTCGGGTTTTTATGGGCACCAACCAGCCCGACCTCAGATTTTGTACCTCGATTTTGGATGGTCGGCTTTTGGTCTGTTTTGGTCGGTTTTTTTGTGTCTTTTGGTCGGGTTGGTCGGTTTTTGGTCGGTTTTAACCTACGCATTTGAGCGATTTTTTTTTATTTCTCTCCGGCGACGAGAAAAATCGACGGCGAGTCCGGGCTAAAGCTCTTGAAAATTTTACTTTTCATGGCGAATCGACTGCCACAGTAAAATGCTTCGATCCGAGGCCCTCGAGGGCTGTGTGCGATAGAAGAATGTTGACAAATGTTAATTTTGCTCTTTAAAAAAACCGACCAAAAAAAACGACCAAAAAAGCCGACCCGACCGACCAAAACGACCACGGATTTGGCCTCTTTTCACGGGGACCGACCAAACCGACCCCGAAAAATGGTGGTCGGTGCCGACCCTAGGCCGCTGCACCCTGACTCAGGTTTTCAGCCCAGGTTGCCGAACCATAATATCTTGCTTTTAGCAAATTCCGTATCTGTTTTTTCATACCTCTTCATCAGAATCATATTTTGCCAGCGGCTCGAGTTTTTTGACCATCACTGGGGTCGTCGTCTGACTGCTTTGGGGACTCTCATCAACAATCGGCGTCAACGGTCCCTTATTATAGCACCCAGCACCGGATTGAACCATCCTCAACAAACTCTGCTTCTTCCTCAAATTCTTTAGCCGCTGACTCGATCCTTTGGACGCCTTTTCCTGCGCGTTTTTCATCTTTCCTTCTTTTCGGCTTGAGGAAGAGTTCTTGCTGGACTTGGCTTTGGAATGATCGACCATGTTTTTCGCTTCCTCGCTCGTGTTCCTCTGCTCTTTCCTCTGAGACTTAAAAAGACTTGTGAGTAAGAGAAAAAGTGTTAAGAAATGATCGACACCCGCTGAGGTTATCACAAGAAGCGAGAACAACTAAGAATAGATTCCGAGTGCGGAAAGGCTCATAAATTGAACCCATCCCACTGAAAAACAAGGAGACCAGGAAAATTGTTTTGTTGGAAGTTCATTTAGACACTAAAATTTTAATGTCGAAGTTATCAACTGATTATTCCAAATATAGAGAGAATATCGAGAAAGACTACTAATTCTAAAAATCTTCTATTTCCTTCATCAGTCATTAATATAGTATCTTCGAAAAACAAACCTTTTCTTCTGCCGAAACCGCCGAAGACTTCCCACTGAGAACGACTGAAACCTTCCTCTCGAGTTTTCTGAAGAGTGAGTGCTCGATTTTCACTTCGCATTGGATCGCTGTAGGATGGTCTTAAATCAAGTTTTATCGTCTTGCAGCTACAAAACGTGCATTTGACAAATCCCCTGTCAAGTCATTATGTCATCCTCATCCGGGGAGAAAATTGAAATCAAGGAAGAGAATATTGTTCGCTTACATTTGTCCCAAAAACAAGCGAAAATATCTTCCATCTTCAAAACTCTCTTTCTTCCTCTTTTAATTTATTTCTCAATAATTCTATAAGTAGCTTCCCTAGCTCCGTGGCCATTTATCATCACCTGTGTGGACTTACTGTTATCGTGGTCACAAGGCTGGGCCGAAACCACATCATCGTTTGGATCATCTTTTGCTCGGCAGCTATCATCAGCTCGAGTCGTCGTTGATTGTCCCTGCCCGATTAGCTTCATCAATCCAGAGGTCACTTTTTGACTCAAATCTTTCAACAGAGTTTTCATCTGTACATGAATAGCACCACAATTCAAGTTCAACTAGAGCCTGATTTGGCGGCATGACTCAGGTCACCTGAGTAAAAACCTGACTCAGGATTCTAAAAGAACTAAAATGAAAGCCGCGCAACCCCTTCTTCAAAATAACCATATCAATCTAAATTCTTCAAATTCTACTTATTCAGGACCCTGACTCAGGTCTCTACACAGGTTTTCAAGCAAAGACTAGTGTTAAATCATCTCCTACTTCCTCCTTTAAAAAAAAATAACTCATTCCTGAGAGCATATCAGTCGATTTCTTCCTCTTCTTTGTACTGTCCGTCGAATTCTGCTTCTCCACATTTTTCTTTCTCGCTGCAGGTGAGTTTTTATGATTCGACTTCGCAACTTCCACTTTTTTCACCGGCCTATGACCGACTTTTGGCGATTCGTTCGTTCGAGTCCTTGCTCGTCCGCGATTGTCTTCGAGAATTTCTTTCCGGAGCTGGTTGCTTTCTGCTTTGAGTTTGTTAAACGCTTTTTGTTCTCGTTCGATAAGAGCTTTGAGCGCTTTTTGCCGCTCTGCTTCTTTCTGCGCAGCGCGGATGCCGCTTGGAATGTCGCCTTTGTCGAACATGTTGATCGCCGTCAACATGGCTTTGTCCGCGCTTGGGCCTCGGGCGCGAATTCTCGAGCGACTTGCTGATCTGTCCCTGGGTCGGCGGGATGAGTCCTCGTTGTTGTCACTTTCCGTCGATTTTTTCGATGCCTTTTCTCGATTTTGTTGAAACGCGATTCCACGATCGAAGGATTTTGCTCGTTCTCGGGCCAGATTGGTCCCTCTGTCGAGCGATTTGGCCCGGAGATTCGAAAGAGACCTGTCCTAAAAAGAGATTTAAGGGGGAGGTCGACGAGAATCGGGATTTCCGTGACCAAAAATGCGGAAAAACCCGATTAGATAGGGAAATTCTGACTTTTCAGATTTAAAGAAAAGGGTTTGAAAAATTAACCGGCAAAAAGCAGAAAAAAATTTTTTTTGAAAAATTTTTCAAAAATAAGGGTTGAAGTGGGGGTGTCTCGTGACCAAAAAATCTCGAAAACCGAGTTTTTTTTTTCTTTATCAAATATAATTAATAAATAATTTAGACCCTTAAAAATTAACCGGCGATCAAAAAATTAAGGGTTACTATCATAAAAAATTTTTTCTTTTTGATTAAAAATATTCGATTTTCGTCAAAATCGTCATTTTTACCCATTTTTCATAGAGAATTTTACCAAAGTCGTGGAGACTTGGATTCTTTTATTGATAATGATTAAGATACCATTAAAAAACAATATCTTGCAAAAAAAATTTGGATGAAAATTGTTTTTGAGCGAAAAAACTAACTTTTAACTTTCGAAAAATCTCGGATTTCGGACAGAAAATCGAAAATTTTCTTAAAAAAAGTTAACAAATGCGCAAAAAGCTGGGGACCAAAAATGTTCCTTTTTTATTAATGAATTCAAAAATATAATCGAAATTTTGAAAGAACGAAAAAATTTTTCTCGTCGACCCCCTCCTTAAGAGAAAAAATCATCAATCGAAATTTGAAAAAATGTTATGAAAAATCACCATTGGTGCGATAAAGGCGAAATACTCGCCCACTATCAATCCTTCATTTTTATACAGCTCCTTGACATGATTATCCGTCATTCTTTTCCTATCGAGAATAATTGCATCTTCCGCATTTTCGATTCCAGAGCAATTCATCCTTTCCAACTCTTGTTTGTGGAATTTTCTTGGAGAAGAAATTGATTCGAAGATGGAAACGATTTCGGAGCGATAGTTTTCCTCGTTGATTTCAAGGTCTTCTGGGTCGACGGTGATTTGAAGAGGGATGTTATTGGAATTGTTGTTGTTGTGGTTTTGGTTGTAGCTGTTGTAGGAATAACGCTTGCTGCGGTTTGCGTTTCGGTTGTAGTCAAACATCGAGCTTCTCCATCGCTGGAGGCTGTTTATTGGTCAGAAATAGACAGAGAAAAAGCCATAATAAAAGGCCATAAAATCATTTAACACCGCAGAAATCGGACTTTTTTATTTGACAATTCTTTGAGATTCAAATTTAATCGTTATTCAAGAATAGTTTAATCTTTATCGAAGAAGAACTCGTTAACTACGAATCATTTTTCTTTGACCCAAAAACATTTTTTCTTGTTCAGATTTCCGATTGAAATTTTAGTCTTCAATCAAAGATTATGACCCTCTCCTTGAATCAGTCGATAAGTCGGATGTCGTTGTTGATCTCACCAACCCGGTAGCTTTCTTGATTTCTTCCTTTCCATCCCTTTTCTTCGTCAGAAACCGCTCGAATGTCTTTTCATCCAAGTCTTCCTCCATTTTCTTTTTCCCAAGTGAAGACAAGGATGACCACTTGTTCAAACTCTTTCCGCCATTTTTCTTCTTTGCTTCAGCTTCTTTGCGTTTCTTTTCCAACCTTTCCTTGACCAGATCATTGACTAACGACCGCGACTCTCGGTTAGTATCTTCCGGTCCTTGATTCAGTCCAAGATTTCGCTGGCGATTTATTCCACCGCCGAGGGAAACGCCTCTGCGCTCGAGATTCGGGTTGAAAAGTGGTCTTTTTGGCGGCTCTTCGGGCTTTTCTGGCGGATTTTCTGGTGACGGAGATTTGGGCTGTTCGATTTTGGCTTCCGGCACGGGGCTTGGAGAGGGTTTTGGAGTGGCGACGCCATTTGATGGTGTTTCTGGACGAGTGTAGGCAGCGATCATTTGAAGTCTAGAAATTAGTTAACCTTAGCCCGCCAAGGTACACCACAACTCGAGAACCGGTCACTAATTTGCTCACTGAGCTGGACGTTGAAAATTTTTTTGAAAATTAAGGAAACGTTGAGACGGCTTTATCGATTATCTATCGATAGTGGGCTTTTCGGCCTGTTTCTGATAGACCTTAGCGTCGGGAGACCCTTATCTTTACAAAGAGTCCATGCACCATATATGGTGTCGAGCTACAATTGTTGGTGCACCATATATGGTGTTTTTGGCGGGTACCCCAGCTTTTTCCCAGCGATTTTGCCGTAAGTTTACCCTGGTCAGCTTCTCTGATCCTCAATTTATAAATTCCAGTGAGTGGGTTTTTGAATGAATGAACTCTAGAATCATCATGAGAACACCTCAATACATCAAAAAAATTATTTTCGAACAAGGACTTTTAATAAAATCATGAGAAACAAAATATGGTGTCGAGCTACAATGGAGGATGCACCATATATGGTGTTCTTGGCGGGTACCCCAGAAGATCCACTTTTGGCGGGCTAAGGTTAAAAAAACCATAAGTGGTCTTTCAATAATATCTATATATAATAAAAGATTATCTGCTTAGTGATATTAAAATAACAATTATGTGTAGTAATATAACATCAGAGATGTCGATTGACTTTTAAGTTTTACCTAATTCTACGTCTCCTTGCAGCAGGAGATTCCTCCTCCATCTTCTCCGGACTCGACCTGCTCATCTCCAACGAAGACATGCTCTCAAACTTGTTAATCAGCGGCATTACTTCAACCGTCGGCGATTCGCTTTGTTTCGACCTCGAGTCCTCATTATCTCCAGCTACGACTTCAGTAAACGGGCTCGAAGAACAGCTGACATAATCCGAAAGAGCATCGGATGTTAGCGAAACAAAGCTGGAAGTTGATTCCATTCGGCGAAGAGCAGGATGGACTGGCGCGTATTTGGGAAGGATAGAAGTCGAGGTCTTTCGTTTTTGATTGTTGCTGGAGTCGATTGAATCGAGAGCGGAAAGAGATTGAGCCATGATTCGAGATTTCCCGGTGATTTTTGAGGAGTTTTCGGGGGTGAGCTCATTGATGTCGAGTTTTTCCGGAAGTTTTTCAGTCTTTTCGGCTTTTGAAATTGCGGATTATTGAAAGAAGATCTCTGTGACTCGTTGGAAGTTTCTTCTAAGGAAAGTTTTTCCGAAATCTTCTTCAGAGCAGAAAGCGAATTCGGTATTTCTGGCTCGTGCGGCATCAGTTTTTCTTGGTCTTTTTCCGTTGATGAAGCTTCGGTTGATTCTGTAAGACTCGTTTCTTCGACGATTTTGATGTCTTTCCTAGAAGATTTTTGAATTTTTACAATCTTCGGTGCGTTTTCTTCCAGATCAGCATTTTCGAGCTCTTTCTTATCGTTGATTTCATCAGCTTCAACAACGTCAGGCTCACTTTTCTCCACTTCAGTCTTTTCCTTATCATTCTTCTGCATTCCCTGCACCGTTTCTTCTGTGTCTGGCTGAAGCTCTTCGCCCTGAAGCAGAAGAAGATCAGAGCAGCAGAAATCATCATCTGTCATTGACGAAGCTAAAAGCGTCGCGCTCTCGGAATCTGGACTTTTCGACCGTTTCTTTTCATGACTCAAAGACGTTTCTGTTTCTTCCTCGTCGATTTCTTCTTCTGAAAAGTCAGATGCGTCTGTGGATGAGTCATTGGAAAGAGGAAGGCTTGATGTTTCATCCTCGCCGAAGCCATCATCGTCTAGGAGGTCGAAAACTTCCGATTTCTTGACGATGATGATTTCCATCGGATCCAAAGAGGTGCTCGTCGAAGCATCTTTGAGCACCTTTGTCGGTGAAGGAGGAGATTCTAGAGCTGGCGGCTGGTAAAGAGGATCTTTTCCAATTTTCTTGCCAAAATTGAGGGTCCTGCAGAATACCTTCTTCATAATCTCCTGGTTGTCATGAATTTCTTTGACAATATTCGTCACATTTACAAATTCTGCCCCAAGTGGTCAACAAATTTCAACGGAAACAATAACCTTGAAGGTGTGTGATAAGTGATTTGGGGACCACAACATGTCTAGGTTGGCAACAAATTCATCAAGCTCGTTTTCGTCACATTTCTTTCTGTTGTAGAGCTTGAGGATATCATTAACGGCTTTAGAATTGTCTTCTATTTTCATTGGATCTTGACCAAGATTGACTTTATGAAGATTTTTTACTTAAAATTAACCCGACCTGATTTCTGGGGCATACGAAATGCAAGAAAAATATCAACTTAAAGCGCAGAGGAAGAAATATAAAGAAAAATCTCCTCATAAAATTATGGTCTTTAGATCCGAGCCTAAAGATAGAGACATCTGAAGCATCGAGTTTTTGAAGTCTTCGATTTCTTCAATGAGTCGATAGACATCTTCATATGGATAGTTCTCTATCAATTCCTCCATTTTCTTCTTCTTCTTCTTCGTTTTATTTCTATGGGCCGTTTCGTTGTCTTATATTTCCCCTCTTACTCATTAAAAAAAGCTAGAATCCAATAATGACTCTTAAAAAAGCTGAGTATGATTCCCTCTTTTTTTTTACAAAATGTGTCAATGGGCGATTAGAGGTCACCACGGGACCCAGCCTTGGCAAGAAAAAAAGGATGGAGCGATTATTTGACACAATCAGTTGTCAGTGCCCCGCCGCACGCGAGAAAGGGATGAGAGATCCTTCCCAGGTGCAAAATAGCGCGCTATTTTAAAATTTGGAAATTTCCGAAAATAAAAAATAAATTAAAAAATAACTTTTGTTCGCGGATTTAAAACGTTTAAAAAATTGAGAATTTTATTCATTAAAAATATTTTTCATTGAATCAATCATTTTTTCAGCCTTGACCTTGGTCGCTCTAGGATCTCTTCAACAACAGTAAAAGCTCTCTCCAAACCCTTTTCTTCACAGAAAATAGCGTAGAAAGCACGTCAAGCTGTGAATGACGGGATTGTCCATAAATTTAAATCAAGGATTGATAGTGACAGAGATGCACCGTTTTCGAAACAAGGTGTTTATGATCAGGTTTCAGAACATTCTCTAGCCCTTTCGCGGATGATCAAATTGTACTTACTGTGTCTCGCAAGCGGCTCTGGCTCTTTGATCGGGTTTGACCTTCTTTGGCTTCGCGCAGTGCTTGCTCGATTCGGGCCATTCTTTTCGGGGGTTAAGGATATCATAACCAAGGGGTACAAATCATGAACAAAATTTTCCTTGAAAATACACTTGAAATTTGAAATTATAGCAATCAAATAACAAGAATAAGGTTCGAACCTTTGGTTTATCAAGTTTATTAAGGGTGTCACTTTGTTAATAAAGGCAGACGAGCCTTCAAAATTCTGTGTTCTGCTATATATAGGGCCGTCAATCAAACCTATTCACTGAATTATATGGACTTTCATTCAATAAATCTATCAGAGTCCCTAATAGAAGCGAAAATTTACGAGAGTAAAAGAGGAATTCGTCAGTACTCGATGATGCCCAAATCGTAAATAAGAAGAAACGCCAGCTGAGCGTTTGGTGAGTTCTTAGCGCGCCTAGGTCGACCAGTCCTTAGCGCTTCAATTACAGTCTGTAATTTATAGAGTCAACGATTTTTCAACATAAAAAATGCTGATTTTACATATAAAATGAAAAGATAAATGTTTTTTTTATGACTTTTATTAATATTTATTATAACTTTTAAAATTTTTTTATAAAAATGAGAAATAATTGCTAAAAAATATGATTTTTTAGCATTTTTTCTATAGTTTTTCTACTACGCAACATTGGCAATGTTACATTGCCAATTTCACTAAAGAGAAGCTACTGTCAAGGTCAGCAAAATAAGACTTCACAGTCTAGTTTTATTTACGATTCTTGATGATGCGAAATAGAACTCGCTACCTCTGACAAAATCTAGACTTTAACTCGGAGTTGGTAGTTTGTTTATTTCGAATAATTTGACAAGGCATGACTCGCTTATAAAGGCACAAAACAGCTGAGAGCGTCATCTGGCGCAGTATCAGAAAGAGGTCAATCGGAACTTTAGCTCAGCAGGTTGCGTCACTACCGCTTCGCTGAAGCCCGAAATCGGTCAAGCAGATAACACAATATCGTAAATCAATAAAAAGGGGCGCGGAAAGGTCAAGTAAATGGCGAATAAAGTAAAAGGCAGAAAATAAAGATTTAAAGTAAAATATTTTTTCTCGTAGCTTCCTTTACGCATCAGTGTCGTACGTCCGGGGGTTTTTTTTTACAAGGTGTCCGTTGAGCGGTTCGTTTGAGCTATTTTGTTCATCTCCGCAAATTGCAAGTCAAGGGCGTATTCTTTTGGTGTTTCGTGTCTGCGGCGTCTCCGGCTATTGCATTTGATGATGATGTAGATTGCGAGCGTGATGAGCACAATCGATGAAAGTGTTCCGAGGGTTCCCATTATTGGTGCGATGAATTTTTTGTAGAGATATTCTTTGGCAGTTTCAGCGGCGTTTCGTGACTCAGTCGCTGCGGTTCGTTTCATTAGCTCGAGAGTTGTCAAATTCATCTCGATCATCGTGTTGCCCATTTCCTTCACCGTGTGAAGGTTTTTTGCAATCCTCGCGTTCATCTCGTCCATTTCGTCGTCTTGCACAGTCCGCATTCTGACTTGAATCGGCTGGATGTAGGTCATGACTGAGTCCACTTCTCGTGTTCCAGGGATAATGGCACTTATTCGAAGGATTTGTGGTCCGCAGTTCAGGGCTCCAGCAAAGTGCGTACGCTTAAAACTGTCAACTTTGTTTACACTTTCCGATGGATGGTGATGGAACCACTGGGCGATTCCAGGTTGTCGGATGCTCACAAAGGCTCGCGTCGAATCTTCGAAGTATCCACACTTCGTATTGTCAATCTCCTGTGTCTGGCAATATTTTGTCGAATTTCCGAGGAGGATCGATTCTCCACACTGGTTGGGGGTCAGAGATACCGTCGAGCATGCAAACGAAGGAGTAAATCGTAAACATGCGTCTGGTTGCATTTCTAAGACTTCGTTGCTTGGCATCACCACTAAGTGCTTGGGTAGGTCTACCATCCATCTTGATCCGTCTTCTTTGAAATGTCCAAGGTTGATCGCGGTAAATTTTCGAGCGGCAAGTTTCATTCGGGGGGATTCGAATTTTTAACGAGACAATCACCTGTCGGATCTCGAGGTCGTCCTTGCCTTGTGCGTTGCCATCCTTGCGAGGCCATGTCGTTAAGCCGAGGCCAACAAACCTGAGTCGAGTGTCCCAACGAGTGGTATGGAATGCGAATGCATTGCAGAATTTTCTGGCTTGTTCTTCAGGGACGGTTTGATAGACGATACACTGAGCTTTGATCGTATCTAGGAAGACCGGGTTTAATGGGAGCCGATGGTTCATCAATGTGAGAATCGATTCGACAATATCTTCGCCCATGGCTGCACTTTGGGAAGCGAAGTATTGGTTTATCTCCGCATCAGCTCCTTCCAGAATTCGTTCAACAGCCTTCGCGTCATTCGGAATCGTTAATCCACCATAGGAGACGATTGGGCGTTTTGCTTTGCGGATTCTCTTGACGGCTTCGTCAATCTTATCGTTTACCGTTTCCACCACTTCTTCAAGTTTTTCGATTCTTCTCCGTTCCAGTTCTATTTCGGCAGCAAGAACTGCGTCTCTCGCTCGTGATTTTGCGTCGACGACACCGGTGTAGACGTAGGAGCCTGCTATGGCGACTCCCCCAATGACTGCACCTCCTGCCATTGCTGCGCGGCGATTTCGAGTTTGCACTGGGTTCTTTGGTAGTCCCTTCTTCAGGTATTCTTCATACGTTAAGGGATCATTTGGGTATGCTTCCTTGAACGAGCTGAATAGTTGGCGTGGTCGGACAGGGTTCTTTGGCAATCCATTTTTCAGGTATTCTTCGTATGTCAAGGGATCTTCGGGATAGGCGTTCTTGAACAGGTTAAAGGATTTGCGATCGCTTGAGTCCAACTTGTGCCTCCAGCTTATGGTCAAATCTTCCCCCATGAAGCTTTTTATTACCTCGTCGAATGTTCTGAATCCAAGAAGGCAATCCTCGGTTGTTTCGTTAAAGTCGGTTCCGTTTCGGCCAAAGAAGTTCGTAGGCTTGGATTCGAGCAAGTAGTCTTCTCCACAGTCGGCGTTGAGGGCTCTTCGAAACTTCTCTCTCGGGCTGTCCAGAAGCACATTGACTCTTACGGGGATATCAGCGTCGTATGTCCAAAGGGGTTCGTTCTCTTGGAATAAAACACCATTGGAATAATCAAAGGTGTAATTGTAGCTGTTGGCTGTGGCAAAAATGATTGTGAATAAGATCATTTCGACTTAGTTCTGATTCTCCAACTGCTGCTGGCTGCATTTATAGGCTGCTCCGGCGCCCCCTGTTCCGCATCATCTGTTATCTTTGTAAATAATCGGCGGGTCACGGGGTCAGTTGGTGATCAATTTTCCGGTCACAGTTGGTTCCTAGGTGGTTTGGTCTGTTTTTCCTCCGCAAACCGTAATTATGACGAAATTGAAATCAGTGTTTTCCCTCTAAAACCTTGTGGACATAACTGACAACGATGTTTAAAGACTTAAATTGAATTAAACACCATGTTTATTCTTCTCGCATTATGAGCACTTTGCTTCCTTCTTCTTTTTTCGTTTGGCACGACGATGAAATTTCAAAAATTGTAACCGGTTACAAATTTTTGAGTTTCGAAATTCTCTAGAATGCTGATGACTCATCGCAGACGGCCTCCAAATAGCCGAAAACGTTCCTCTTGCCAATCACTATCGGCTGTTTTTCGCAGAAAGTGATTATCGTGTATCTTCATAATTTTATAGTCCAGACAAGTTTTCAGTTTTCGCCGAATTATGACTCTCCCGTTTTCGGATTTTCTCCATTTTCTAGAATACCAATGAGTCATTGTAGGAATTTCGAAGACTGATAGGAGTGCAGATCGTTTTCCAAGGATTCGTTTGAGCATTCACAGTTGTTGATATGGCTTTTGTAAGCGATTCTATGTGTTTTGCAAGAAAGTGTATATTGATATACACTTTTTTCCGGAATTATGTGATCACATACAAATTTCTTCTCCATTTTTGTTCTAGAATCGTTTGTAATGACGTCATCATGCTCTCAAAGGGCTCAAAATGAAGATCTCAGCGAGATCTATCGTTTGCGGATCTCTAAAACTTCGTAGGATGAGTCGATTCTGTTTTTGGACTGTAATCTTCCAGAATATCGTAATTCGGTCGAAACCAAAATCGTGTTTTCCCTCTAGAATCTTGTTGAAATGATCGCGAATTATGCTGGAGGGCTCAAATTGACGTTTAGCCGGCGCCTTTTCATATCTCAGTATGAAACTTTTGTTTTCTTCTTCCATTATCGTTTCGCACGACGATGAAATTCCAAAAATTTTGTCCGGACAAAAATTTTTGAGTTTCAAAATTCTCTAGAATACTGATGATTCATCGTAGACGGTCTTCCAATAGCTGAAAATGTTCTCCTTAACGATCGCTATCGGCCATTTTTCGCAGAATTTGATTATCATGTATCTTGTTTATTTTATAGTCGAGGCAAAATTGAAGTTTTCGCCGAATTATGACTCTCACGTTTTCGGATTTTCTCCATTTTCTAGAATACCAATGAGTCATTGAAGGAATTTCGAAGACTTATAGGAGTAAAGATCGTTTTCCAGGGATCGGTTTGAGCCATTACAGTTGTTGGTATGATTTCTGGAACCGATTCTATGTGTTTTGCAAGAAAGTGTATATTGATATACACTTTTTCCGGAACTATGTGATCACATACAAATTTTTTCTCCATTTGTGTTCTAGAATCGTTGGGAATGACGTCATCATGCTTCCAAAGGGCTCAAAATGAAGATCTCTGCGAGATCTGTCGTTTGCGGGCTTCCACAGTTTTGTAGGATAAGTCGATTCTATTTTTAAGCATGATTCAAACTCGTCTACGCAAAATTTTTCGGGTCGATGATGAGGTTTCCACTTTTTGTACATGCAAATGAAGGGAATTTTTCCAAGGTTTTTTCTTTGACGGTCTGGATGATTTCCGTCTTGTCCTTCCCTGTGAAATCAACAACGAGTCCAAGATGTTTTGTCAAGACTTTTATCTCGGGGATTGTCATTACGTTGAGGTACAATTTCCTCTCAAGATGGAGTGAAGAGTATTTAATCAGGTAGTTTCCATCATCATCCTTGTCCCAGTTTGGCCGGTTTTCTGTAATCCATTCAGTGATTTTCTCCAATTTTCGCTGCTTTGAGTTGCCTCTTATCGCCGACATTTTGGATATCTTCACTTGTATACCGTACTCCCGAATAAATTTGTCGAGAGTTCTTTCCGCTAGCTCGCTAAACTTTTGTATAACTGGAGAGACTACCAGACGAGGTTTATCGGGCTGTTCCTCATTCTCCATTATCTGGACAATTTCGGTATCTTCCGATGCGATTGTAAGCGTATCGTCTCTGGCGTCTTCATAAACTGTTGCGTTTGCTACATCCTCATTATCACTAGAATCCTTGTCCCCATCGACGGCTATATTTTCCGTTGCTTTCTTTTCATTGCGAATCAAAGAATTCCCTGTATCTTCAGGAGTCTCCATTTCGTTTGTCTGCGGTACATCTGAATTTGTTCCCACATCTTCGGCATTTCTGCTGCTTCGTAGAGTCATTCTCGAGAGAATCGGCATGCTGTAGGATTTTCGTCGTTTTCTTTTTTCGGGTTTCGGGGGAGTAGGTGAGTCAGGTTGAGCCGCTTGATTGTTGTCGTGACGTTGTTTGAATGGCTTAAGATGCGAAATGTGACGACTGACATATTGGTTTGTTTCAAGATTGAGCAATTCAAAACTAAGATTTTGTTCTCGGATAGACGTAATTCTATAGGGTCCGGTGAATTTCTTCAGCTTCTCCTTCGGATCGGTATTTTTGCAAAGGACCAGATCGCCAGCCTCAAACTTATGAATTTTCGTGTCTTCGCTGGCTCGTTTTTCATGATTTGAAAGTATTCTTTCTTCGACAGCTTGAAAGTCAACTTGATTTCTGGTTGGTCTCGTTTTGTAGGAGTCTCCAGGGTTCTCTCCACAAAATCCAGTCTCGACCTCGTATGGCGAGAGAAGTGTGACCGAGTGTTTCGCACTATTCATCTGGTGAACAACGAGTGCCAAGTGGTTATCCCAATTTTCCATATCGCACATCATTTTGAGCCTTGACTTAACAGTGCGATTTCGGTTTTCAACTTCGCCGTTGGTTTGTGGGTGAAAGGCTGGTGACAAATTTACTTTAATGCCACGGTCTTCGCACCATTGTCGTAATGCCATAAACTCACCTCCATTGTCCATAAGAACGTTTTCAGGGAAATGAGGATTTCTGTACCAATCAGCCAGGGCGGCGTCAAGAACTTCTCCTGGTCGTTTTGTTCTTATAGGTTGCGCGTAAGTCTTTTTACTAAAAAGGTCGGTAGAAACAACGGCGTATCTATGGTATCTGTCGGTGATTGGAAGAGGTCCGATGAGGTCGATTGCGAATCTTTGATATGGCTGTGTCGGCGGATGCACTCTTCCCATTGGAGAATTTAGCGGGTTATTATTCGGCTTGTATTTTTGGCATTTCTCGCATGATTTGATGTATTTCGACAATTCCATCTGGAGATCCGGAATGAAGTATTTTTTCTGGATCTCATTTAATGTTTGGGCGATTCCAGGATGACCATATTTATCATGGTATTCTTTGAAGATGTCCGGTACCAGTACTTCCGGAGTAACCACACGAAATCCATTTTTGCTAACGCCAAGCTCATCGTTTTGTCCAAAACAGAGGTTCTCCTTTTCTCGGTAGAAAACATCAACTTTCTTCGATCGTATATTTGGCCATCGATCCAAAAGATGATACCTTCGGATTTCGTAAATAAAGGGATCCATTTCCTGTAGTGCCTTCATTTCTTCCGCTTTAATTGTGGAGACTTTAGCAGTAACTCTTGCGACTTGACGAGAAAGACAGTCAGATACCACCATTTCTTTAGATGGCTTAAGAATCGTCTGAAAATCGAAATCTCCGATTTCTGCAAGCCATTTTGCTATCTTCGTTTTTCTGCTCTTTATCCGATGGGCCCAGTTAACACACGAATTATCGGTAAACCAAAGAAATTGTCGTCCAAGAAGGTAATGAGACCATTTTTCGAAAGCACGTTTTCCGGCGAGTAGCTCCTTTTCGTTTGTGTTATAATTTTGTTGAGCTGCATCAAATTTCTGAGAAAGGTATGCAACTGGGTGAAACTTTTGATTTTCCTCGGCTCTATAAAGAAGTACCGCGCCGAGACCTTGATCGCTCGCATCGGTTTCGACCGCGTATTGGCCTTCGTTTGGAGTCGGAATCTTGAGTTTGTCTATTTTTGAAGCAATTTCTTCTTTCAATTCTTCCAAAGCTTGTGCGGCCTTGTTCGTCCATTTGAAGCCGTTTCTTATTGCTAATGTTATTGGCGCTGCTTTTGTTGCGAAATGGGGGATAAAACTTCGATGGTAGTTCAGAAGTCCAAAAATGCTTTGTGCTTCCTTCTTGTTTCTCGGGTGTCGTATTTCAAGAACCGCTTTGACTTTGCTTGGGTTCGCCTTCCGGAACCCGTCTTCGATAATTGCTCCGCAAAATTTGACTGACGTTTTCAGCAGTTCGGTTTTAGCAGCTCTGATTTTAAGATTATTCTTCCTTAGAATCGTAAAGACCTTTTCCAGGGTTCGCAAATTTTCATCGAATGTTTTTGAATGAATGCAAAGATCATCAAGGTAGATTGCAAGCTCGGAACTCGGAATCTCTTGGAATATTGCATCCATCATCTGTTGAAACACGGCAGGTGCGTTTTTCCCACCCATAGGCATAGCTGTCCACGTGTATTGTCCGAAATCTGTGGTGATGGCGACTTTCTTTTGCGTTTCTGGGGAGCATGGAATTTGATGGAAGCCAGTAAACAAATCCGCTGTTGAAAACACACGGGACTTGGACATCTGGTCGATCAGACAGTCAATTTCCGGGAGTGGGTAATTGTTTGATATGGTGACTGAGTTGAGCTTACGATAATCGCAAACCAGTCTGTACTTCCCATTTGGTTTTTTCACAAGCAAGACTGGTGCTGCCCAAGGGCTGGAGCAGGGAATCAGCAGTCCTGATTCGACGTTTGAATCGATCATCTTCTTCATCTCATTCCTAAGATAGTAGGGCGTTCGATATCTCTGGGAAGCTGTTGGTGCCGCGGTTCCAGTATCGATGTTGTATTCCATGGCGTCGGTTGTCCCTAGTTTCTCGCCGTCAATTGCAAATATGTCTTC